TTGGAGGATATAAATAGGCAAAGAGTGAATATTTCCACTCGACTAAGAATAGGCCATCGGAGGTTGACAGACAGATACTCTATTTCATATGTAAGGCTTAAAAATTTAGAAATCACAAAGTACAGAGTAAAATTTAGAATTAATGGAAGAAAAACAGGGTCCTAATTGTCAAAATTTGCCTTACAATCCAGTCCCCAGACCCTGAAAATGTGTTAAAAGATTATTAAATTGAAATAGAGCATCAATTAGCTGGGAAGGGAGCCTTAGGATGATCTGAATAGGTGCAGAAGTACGTTTTTAAGAATAGGCCAAACAGGGTTGACAGATTCTCTGCTATGTCCGGCATGAAAAGTTTACCCCAGATCTTCCCCTCCCCAATTTCACTATAGCATATCTTTTAACTAGTCTGATTTAAAAAAGAATTCTCAGTTCTCTTTAATCTTTTGAATTTGAACAAATTATTTCACTGATTATTAACAAAAGCAATGATAATTGGAGCTGTTTAAACTGACTTTTGCACCCACAACAAAAGAATTTGACAATATTAAGTCAAAGTTATTTTACTTCATTTTGAAATGTTCTTTTTTAATAATAACCACATGTACTATATTGTATGTTTTGTAGTTATTGCTATTGTATCAATGCTATTAAAAATGTACATTTTATTGGTTGACCAAAAGTTCATTCCTGTTGAAAGTTCAAACAAAACATACTTAAGATTTTTAAAATTATTTATATGGAGATTCTATTTAGTATTAGTACAAGAAATCATATTCTGCCCTTTTTGTATGTTATAGTTATTATTTAATACGATTTTTCTGTAATCTGATTGTCATTATATATTATATTTCATTTATTGTAAGTTTTATACATTTCTTGTGTTTTGCTTTTCTAGATGGTGTAGTGCAGTTTTTGTATGTTTTTTCGTACATTTTCACAAAGTGCTATTTAAACAGTGTGTTAAGTTGTTTCGCGAGTGTTGAACAGTGTGTAGTTAGCTGGTTCATCATAGCTGTTTTAAAACGAGGATTGTTGCCTTCAGAGGGTAAATTTCATTTATATAACATCTATTTATGTACCTTGTCTACTATTCCCTCATTTAATCTTTTTTTTTCTTTTTCCAGGAGGGATTTACAAATGGTAAATCAACTCTCTCTGCTGGCAGTCAGGTTAGTGAGCATGTTAGTATTAATATTTTAGTTTTAGATAGCTTTTTTACATTTTGCATACAATTTCTGGAGAGATTGGTATCTCAGATCTAGTAGAAATGGTAGAATACATCGGTATTCAGACTCGCAACTAACTCATCCACGAGTAGTAGGAAATCTAAAAACCACTACAAACACCTACTTTTTCAAAAAATTGTTTAAAAGTGTTGATCCATTTTTACATCATTGTTTTACATTTTCACAAAGTGCTATTTAAACAGTGTGTTAAGTTGTTTCGCGAGTGTTGAACAGTGTGTAGTTAGCTGGTTCATCGTAGCTGTTTTAAAACAAAGATTGTTGCCTTCAGAGGGTAAATTTCATTTATATAACATCTATTTATGTACCTTGTCTACTATTCTCTCATTTAATCTTTTTTTTCTTTTTGCAGGAGGGATTTACAAATGGTAAATCAACTCTCCCTGCTGGCAGTCAGGTTAGTGAGCATGTTAGTATTAATATTTTATTATTGGCATATCAGATAATATTATGCTCTTGGTTTAATACTATCTGCCTGTAACAATAAAATACAGGTAGTGTTCCAAAAACATTATCTACTATCTACAGAACTATCTTAGAATGGTTAGAAGTTGCAAAAATGTGTTTTCCCAACTACATAATTTTTATTTTTTGTTCATTAAACTTTAATTCATACAAATTCCAAAGAAAAATATACAAAAAGGTCAATTTTTTATTTTTTGGGTACAAATCCTGGAGCCATCAATATCCGAGATCTGGTAGAAATAGTCGAATACATCAGTACCCAAACTCGAACTAACACTTCTGCTGGTAGGTTAAAATTTAAAACCTAGTTAATCACTTACATTTTGGAATTTTAGGCCAGAGGCGATGGCGGGAATTTAACCCACGACCGCGGGGTCTACGAGCCGAGAGTCTCACTCTAACCACGCGGCTACCGCGGCTCCTTTCACTAGTTATAAAAAAATTTTAAATCTGTGGTACAATTGCTAGAAATTTTTAAAAATAATATTGGAACAATCGGTACTGGGTAGTAGGAAATCTAAAAACTGGTTAAAACACCGAATTTTTAGAATATTTTTGTATTTTACGTGTTCCACTAGTTTTAAAAACTTTTTTTCTGGGTTTGATTTCTGTAGAAATTGGTATCTGAGACCTAGAAATGATGGAGTACATCAGTATTCAAACTTGCAACTAACACCACCAGTAGGTGAAAATCTATACACGAGATTCAGTTGAACTAGTCCAAAGGCTTCATTCGCTAACTTGCAACTCTCGACTCAACCGGTAGTTCAAAATCGAAAAACCAGAAAAAACATACTTTTAGGAATTTTTTTAGACTTTTGATATTTCCTTACATTGAGAATGTTTTTCTATATATTTGGACCAATTTTTAACAAGATTGATACATGAGATCAAGTTGAACTGGTCGAATTGCTTCATTCCCTAACTCGCAATTCTCGACTCAACCGGTAGTTCAAAATCAAAAAACCGGTAAAAAACATACTTTTACGAAGTTTTTTTAGACTTTTGATATTTCCTTAGTTCTAGAAAGTTTTTATATATATTTGCACCAAGATTGATACACGAGATCAAGTTAAACTAGTTAACAGGAATCATTCGCTAACTCGCAACTCTCGACTCAACCGGTTGTTCAAAATCAAAAAACCGGCAAAAAAACATACTTTTACGAATTTTTTTTAGACTTTTAATATTTCCTTAGTTGTAGAAAGTTTTTCAATATTTTTTGACCAATTTTTACCAAGATTGATAAACGAGATCAAGTTGAACTAGGCGACAGGCTTCATTCCATAACTCGCAACTCTCACTCAACCGGTAGTTCAAAATCGAAAAACTGGCAAAAAACATACTGTTACGAAGTTTTTTTAGACTTTTGACATTTCTTAGTTTTAGAAAGTTTTTCTATATATTTTGAGCAATTTTTAACATGATTGTAACACGAGATCAAGTTGAACTATTCGACAGGCTTCATTCGCTAACTCGCAACTCTCGATTCAACCCGTAGTTCAAAATTGAAAAACCGGCAAAAAAACATGGTTTTACGAAAAACTTACATTTTCGAACTTTTCTTAAACTTTTGATATTTCCTCAGATTTGAAAGCCATTATACATTTTTGACCAATTTTTAACAAGATTTCTCCACGAAATCAAGTTTAACTAGTCGAAAGGCTTCGGTCGTGACTAAACCGGTATATCAAACTCGAGAAACATGTTGAAAAACTTACTTTTTCCAAATTTGTTTAGACTTTTGATATTTCCTTAGGTTTAGAAAGTCATTGTACATAGTTTGACCAATTTTTAACAAGATTCCTCCATGAGATAAAGTTTAACTAGTCGAAGGCTTCGGTCGCTAAATCGTAACTTGCGACTCAACTGGTAAATAAAACTGGAAAAACAGGTTGAAAAACTTACATTTCGACATTTTCTTAAACTTTTGATATTTCCTTAATTTTAGAAAGTCACTGAAAAATTTGAATTGAGTAGGAAAATGTGTGTGGCCACTTTCGTCTGACATAACACCAAAGTAATTCCTAAAAATTGAAAGTGAACATTCTTCGTTACAGGAGACTTTAAACGTGTTACTTTGAACTGTTTTAAAAAATCAGTCATAATGACTGTGCTTCAATATGAAAAATTTGTGGCAAATGATCTATTGGAGCTGGAAGTTGATTATGAAATAATATTATTGGAAAAGAATCAGAGAAATTCTGCTATGCCTAGTATTATAGCCGCACTATATATTGAGTTTAGTTATGGGGCGCGTTAATGTTGATTGCGCCATGTGATCACTATACATCGCCAAATTTTGCCATGAATAGTGTGATTGAACAGGCTGTTTCATTTACTAAAGATTGTGTCGTGATATTCGGAATCAAGCCAAATAGTCCAAGTACAGAATATGGTTAAGAGTAGGAAATATCATAAAGCATGATATAGCATATAAAGTAGAATCATTTAAATAAAAGGCAGATATCAAGTCTGCAAGTAGTCAGGGGAGTATTTTTGAAATTCCGGATATTTTTTAGTTAAAGCAAGTAAATATTTATCAGTAATTTATGACCTTGAGCAGGAAATATTAAGGTATGGTTAGGGATGGAAAAAAAAGGATATTAAGTAAAGAAGTGTTTACAGGTAAAGTAAAGAACAAAATGTATAATTTACATACCGTAAATACAAAGTTTGTTATGTCTAGTATTAATAGATTTGCAGAGAATAAATATTTCATATGAAAATAGAGAATGCTTAGGAACTGCAAGCAATCAGTCGATAGATGAGATTGTCAGTAAATCTAAGTGCAAATTAATGACAATGGTCGAGTTAAAAGAAATAGAATGGTCTCATTTTGAAGTTAGTAAGAAAGATGAAAAATATAATTATATAGCTGGAAATGTTTTAGCGGATCAAGTTCAATCAAGCTATATAGTAAACCAAAATGATGAAATGATTGTAACACTGGGTGTTGAAATTAACAATTTGTTAATTAGACACTGAAATCTTAGAATTTGACAAACGAAACCACATGTCATTTGACATATATATGAATTATTATGATAGATCCTTTACCCAATATGATGAAATATAAAGCTATAACAACGCCAGTTTCAAATTAAAATTAAGCATCTACACAATTAGAGCATTTCTCCCATCAATTAATAATTGATAATGTTATATTTTTCTTCTTCTAAATTCATCTCCCTTTTTATATTGGACTTCCACTCATTAATTTCCAATATTTGCATATTAGGCTATCTGATATAAATATGTAATTTGCTTTGATTGAATAATAAATTACAGAGACAGAAGATTCCTTTATTTACATTTTTTTCCAAATGTCACTATTTTTTTCCTAAAATATAAATAAGTAAATAAGTTTATAAAATAAAGTTTTTCACTCTAATATTTCTTTGGGGTAAGACGTTTTATTTTTCAGTTTTTTCTTAAAGTCTTCGCTGTGTTTAATGTTAAGTTTAAATTTGGAATTAAATATGAGACGCACTATTTCCCTCTGTAGCTCATCAGCAGAACCTTGTGGAAATTCTCGCAGCAATGAGGCAACATACTTTCCAAAATAATCAAAACTGTCTTCATCTTTTAATTGTGTATTCTTGTTACATTCTCCAATGACAAAAGTTTCATTTTCCATTTTCATTAATTTCTGTAAACATCTTACAATGGCTGGTTTTTACTGTACCTCTTCATAGTCATGGGTGGTTGAATGCTTCATATCATTTATTTAGGTATGTTTTTCTGAAATTAAAAATTACATTTAAAAATCTAATTTGATTTAGATATAAAATAGTTTACATTTATTTATTAATTATGGTTTTGTTTTGTTTTTAATTTAAAAATACTTTAATAGCTACTACTCACCTCATGTCATTCTTCTGTCTCTGTAGAGATTCGAAAAAAACATCTGAGAAGAAATATCCTTATTTGTAGCTCAGTTTATGTCGGATGACAATATTTTCTAAACTTATCAAGTTCTAGTTGCTTATTAATTTAATCATATGCTTACTTCAAATTTTAAAATGTAAATATTTTTTATCAAGCATGTGTTTCAAGGCCAAGTAAACAAGTTATCCTGCGGTTAAATTCTTGTAAATACTTCTATGGTAAGTTACATCAGTTTGTTAGTAGCCCGTTTCAAACATTGCTCCACACAATCACAATTAAAGAAAATATTAACAAAGTTCCTTGTTATATTTGCTGCCAATGACTAATGTATAATCAATACATTGAACCCTCTCATATCACAGTAAAAACCAAATAAACACATAAATGCTGGCACATTTTGAACTTACATGGTCAGGTTCAGATGGGTAGTTTACTTGTAAGCTACCAAAAATCAAAGAATGAGAGGAAAAAATGCCATGTGATTATTTAATACAACTATTAAATTATTGTGTCACATAGTATAATTCAAATTAGCTGTAAAGCATTCTTTAACAAAGTTAATTGAATGTGTAGAAAAGGCTTTGCTACTTCAACAAAAAGTTTCCTTAATAATTACATAAGTGTATGTTATAGTACTGTATAACTTTTACAGATGGTAAAAATAGAAAAAGTCCATGAATGAAAATCTTAAGATTTATTTATAGAATTAAAAGTTGATTTTAAACTCCTTTTATTTTTAAAAATTTACATGTATATATATTAAATTGTATAATGGCTTTCATATTTGCTGTGTTAATAAATGAATTTCCTTATTATAAACTAGAAAGCACATAGAATTCAATAAATATTAACAAGAAGTTAATATTCTTTTAGAACTTTGTTTCTGCCCAAGGAGCTAAGTTTCTTTTAGAAAGTGACCATTTTGATAGATTTTTCTAAAAATGTTATTTTTCTTTTGTTTATTTGCAGAGAGAAAATATCTTTCCAAACTTTTTCAAACCATTTTCTCATTCATTGACCTGGCTTTAAATGTTATGGATGTATATGTGAAAAGCTTAAAAAATTTGGAAAAGCTTAAGAAGTTTTTATAATCCAGATGAAAAATATCCACCAAAAAGAGAAGAAAAAAATATTTGTTTTTTATTGTTATATTAATTACAACACACTTGCCTGAGTAGAAAGAGTAAAACAACATGTTTTGTACGTAGAACCATCTACCACCACCAGTGGTGCACTTATCTTAATGTAAGCCAAATTAAACGAGATCATAAAATAATGAGTTTTAATAAAAATTATTTATTTATGGTGGTTTGTAAAAAAATTTACCAAAACACTGGAAAAACATTTAGTGTAAGATTAAAATTTACGTAACAATTTATTCTATCACTATGATGTTTGGGTGTTTTGGTAATTATTTTTTTTTTCAAGCCATTATAAACCAATAATTTTTTAGTTTTAAAACTCGAGAATGTCTGATCTTATTTAATTTGGTTTACATTAAAATAACTATGTTGTAATTAATATAGTGATAAAAATAGATAATGTTTCAAATAAACAATAATGAGAGAATGTGTTGTTTTTGTCTTGAGTGTATTACCTGATAAAAAAACAATGTTTCAAATAAACAACAAAATGAGAGAATGTATTGTTTTTGTCTTTGAGTGTATTACCTGATAAAAAAATAATATACTATTGTACTAGCAAAGAAATGAAAAGTACTGTGTGTGCATTTTTGTATTATGCATTTATTTATAATTTTTTTTTAAAAAGTATGAATCAATTTGTATGTTATAATAATAGATTATTGTGTTGCAGAGCTCGTTTAAACAAAGGTTGTCATGGCTCAAATAAACCCCTTTTATGAAGGTGAATTTTAGGGAAAACCAGAGAAAAAACAAAAATTCCCTAAAATGAGTGCCAACAATGTATTAGAAAACAAAATATGTGCCCAAACAGAAAAATCGTCAGTTCAAGAAAGCGTTAATGGCGGCATTACAAATTCCCCTGTGACAGTTAGAATAAAATATGGAAATAAAAGCCTTGAAAAGGACAAAGAAGAAAATGAAGAATTTAAAAATGATGATTTCCACCAACATATTACCTATGGGCAGCCAATCAACTGTATACCTACAGTTACATTTGATTCCATCAATTCATCGTCTGATTTAAAACACTTATCTACTTTACCACCAATTAATTCAGGCCTAGTAGTTGATCCTGACCAAATACTAAATTCTTGTAACACAATTGTTGATGAACATTGTATTAATTCTGGTTTAACAAGTGATCCTGACCATTTGTTTAATTTTCAACAAGATGATGGTAACTTGACCATTAATCCTGGTTTGATTACTGATCAAGATAAAATTAATAAAAACAGTAAATCTGAAGAGATACTGAAACAAAATGAAGAAACAAGCAACCCAACAGACAAATTCCTTCTGATTGAACTTTCAGAATTGGCTGAGAGTTCTGCACCAGCTGAAGATATAATAGGGGAAAAATCTAATGACCAGATAAAATTAGACAACAATGGAGAATTTATTCATCAAGAGTCATTTGACAGAGATTCAGCAGGATTAGACAATGTTGAAGCTTTTAATTGTAATCAAAACTTGTGCAGGGAACAGCCGGATAGCAACCAGGAGATTGAATCTGTTAAAGATGCAGATACTCAAATCTGTGCACCAGCAAAATATGATTATCTAAGTATGATTAATCAGGAGGTGTGCAGTCTTGTTAATTCAATCACAGAAGAAAATTACAGATCTAGTGATGACGATGAAGTTATTGATGATATTAATTCAGAATCGTCAACAGTAGACAATTTGGAATCTACTTTTAAAAAGCCTATTATTTTGGAAGAAAATGATGCACAGTGTATTTTTGGTTGGACACTTCTTTCTCCAGGATTGATGGAAATTAAAATCAGTCCAGACTCGGATGACTCAAATGATGTAATAAGAATAAGGCGAACAGCATCGCTTCAATGTCGCATTGAATCGGGGGATATTAATAAATTAAATGCCTTCCGAGAAAATAATGAAAAAGCTGAAAACACTAATGACTTTGGTGAGATGGAATATGTAGATTTCCTAGAGTATTTATCTCAAGTCACTAATCGAAGTGCCAATGAAATGCAAGAGAATGATGACCAAATTAATCTTGTATTCCAAACAGAAGATGACAAAGATACGGGTGAACTTTTTAATTCTAAAAAGAGGGTAATGCAAAACATACAGCAAATGCTTTCTACACATTCGCAAAATAATACTTTAATGGAAAACTCTGTTCAATTACCATCTGAGAAAAAAGGGGAATGTGGTGTTGATGTCATAGAAGGTCCCCAAGAAATGTCATTTCCTACAGAAGAAGATAATGTAATGTCTGTTAAATTTCTAATGCCATCAGATTCAGCTGAGCTACAACCTAAAACCAGAGAAGACGGTGAGGCAGCTTCTATTTCAAAAAGTCCGGATTTAATAGAACTGGAAGAAGCCAATCAAAATCTTGCAAAAGAAAAATCATTAATATCAATTCGTCATCAGCAATCTCTGGAACAGCAACACGAGCCTGTGGAACAATCAAGAAACAAAAAAAATGGAATAAAAAAGAAAAACACATTGTACAGATGGTTGAAATCAAAAAAAGACATTCCCTCGACCAATGGTAATCCCTCAAATACACCAAATGAGGTTAAAAAAAAGAAATCTTGGTTTCGATTTTGGTTTTAATCATTAAATTATTCAAGTTCGTTTCATGGCCTCTTTCTAATAAACATAACCATATTATTTCTTCAAAGTTATTAATCTAAGAGGAAATGTAGACTTGTAATAACATTTATGAAAAACAGTATTTAAGAAAAAGATTAACATATTGTATTATCCAAAATGTTATTTGTATCTTAGCAATAAAGGAAACAAAGCCATAGTATGCATACTGCAAAATGCACTTTTAGAAGGTATTTTAAATACATTTTGAAATATGGGAAAGTGAGCTGCTCAGATTCCAATTAAACATATTCTTTAGTTTCTTAAGTAATTTCATTTTTTTACCTTGCCTATATATATTTTTATGCTTGGTTTATAAAATAACGGGTGTTCATATTTTACAAAAGGATGCTGACAAGTTTTCTCTTTTGACACACATCATCAAATGCACTAGACCAACCTTATATATTAAAATTAGCTTACATTGTAAAAGAAAATCAAAATGGATGTCAATAAAACGAAAACTTCATTATTTCCCTGGACAATTAGAAAATAAAAATAAAGCTTGGTGCTACATTGAAAAATAAACATTGTGATAATGTTATAAAAAGATAACCTTCTATTTTTGAAGTGAACTAACTTTGAAATATTCAAAGTTAACAAAATAGCTGAAAATTTTACTTATCGGCCTCGTCCATGATAGTTTTTTAATATATACTTATATTGAAGGCTGATCACTAATCATTATTTAACTATGAACTATCAGAACAATATTGATATGAAGTATATGTACATATTTTGTCTTCTGAATTGACAAAGTAACTCATTATGTTGCATTAGCAGAAAGGTGCATTTTGACACTTTAGCTGGCAGTTCACATTAATGCTGTATGCATTGAGTTAGATTGTACTGACATTCAGAATGATCTTAATGTATTTGTTCATTGGTATCATTGCAACATGCTTAGGGTGAATTGTGAAAAATGCAAAGTTTTTCAAATAGGAGAACTAAGGATAAAATGTAACTTAAGTTTCTATTGAGGGTAAGCAGATGGAGGAAGTCTCTAAAATACTAAATCTCAGGGTAGTTTTTAAGGATCAATGTAACTTTTCTGGTCATACTGATACTGTATCTCCAAGGCTACTGGGAACTTGGGTCTTATTAAAAGAATAGCTGGTGATTTTACTAACTCATTTGCCATAAGGCTTTTGTCCCAGTACTTGTGTAGAAGGGATATGAATTGTGCGTAAATTGTTTACAGTCCTTGTGGTTAGGTTAATGCTGACAGACTTGAAAGAGTTCAGAAGAGGTTTATCAGCTATATTTCAGGAGCATATTTTTTTATGAGGATTTATATTGCATTTTATTTGATACATTTGGGCTAAATACCATCAAACATCGATGCATAATGACTTGTTACCTTTTGCTGGAAATTATATAACAATGAAGTGGATACTCCAGAGATTCTGGCAAAGTTAGATTTCAATATTCCACAAAGACATTTGAGAGCATGATTTGCTTTATTGGGCTTACTATACAAGGGAATATGGGCTGTCCTCCCCAATGGTTCGGATTTTGTGTCTTCTCAATACATTAAGGTGATGTATCCAGTATTGTATAACATCCAGGGATTGTATAACTTGTATAACCATGTAGATATTTCTATGTTAACTATCATTGAATATATTATTAGCCTTCATGATAAATATTGAAGTAAAGTGATCAGGGATGAAGCCATGTAGGTGAAAAAAAGCCAAACTGTTTTTCTGCTGTCGAGCTTTCGGCTGTATTCGACACCATCCTCAAGACTCTATTTCATTTCTATTTTAACGTTAAGCTTGGCTTTTGTTTTAGATTTTATCTTGTTACTTAGTTTCTTAGCTTGTTTTATGTTTCCATATTATTTGACATGAGTATTGTAATTAGTATAACTTACAATTATGACTCTCCTTTGTGGGGCACTCCTGTACTTGCTTTAATAAATTAGTTCATGTATAGTAATTTTCTCTCACTCCATCTGTTCTTGCAGCATACATAGACTTACACATCAGAGTCAAATAAAATTTTGTTTTGAAAAACCCAGTCTAGGCCAGATAAAAGCCAGTTTTAACATAACTTTGTTTATAAAATTCCTTTTTTATGGAGTTATAAACTTATGTGAACAGGTGGCCATTGAGTGGTGGGTCAAAACCACAATATAAGACATTTCCTTTCTTCAAACTATTCAGCAAAAACGATAGTGGTACACCCTAACGATTCAACCACAGCAGTCCCTCACCACATTATTACGTACATACTCATTAAATGTCATTGTGTTACAATAATTCCGTGTCTATAGTCCTACTGGATACTATATTGCTGATTTATAATTTTAAATTATTGATCATATTTTTGATATCATGTGTGTGTTAAAATTATGATTATTATGAGGGGGTACATTGATTTTTAACACGTTTATACCGTGCAACCAGTGATTTAATTTTTTTTTTGTTTATGTCATTGATTTATCCATTATGGTAATACACAAGGAAGCTTCGGACATCTCTATGCCATGCACCCAATTATGTGTGAAGGGAGAGTGCACCTTTCAGTAAATTTGTAATACAAGTAGTTACAGAAACACCCCAGTGTTGATTGATTTAAAGATAAATTTTGTTTTCATTACATTAAAATTTTATTTAATTATTGATTTGCAAGTTTACATTATTTGAAATTACTATTGATTTTATTTATATTAAGGATTATTTCCATAGCTATACACTGTCTCATTTCTCAAATATACTTAACATGTACATTGCGATAAGAGAGTTGTTTCACCAGGCTGGTAAAATATAAAGCTTATTTTTTTCAAATCTCTCAAAAAATACCTGTAAACAAGTCAAACAAAAATGGAGCCTTTAAGAAACTACTATAATAAAAAGGTGGCCATCCTTTAATATTAATGAAAACAGATTTAATTTTAACAATTGTACAAGAAAGAGATATATAGCTAAAGTAGTATAGTAGGGGGCCACGGTAGCCGAGTGGTTAAGGCATCAGACTCTTGGCTAGTAGATCCCGTGGTCATGGGTTCGATCCCCACCGTCGCCTCTGAACTTTTTCTGACGCCTAAGGGGACGGACCAGTGGCCGCAATTGAAAGAAATTGACACGGGACTCATCAATGGAAGGGGTGGGATCGGATCTCAGCGACCCTGAATTTAGTCCCATCCCCCTTCAAAAATGGGTTTCTTCTATGGAAGAATACCGGTTCAACGGGGGCTCAAGTTCACATTTGTGTTACGAGCCCTCCCCCAAAATATGGAGCCAGGGAGAAAGTACAATAAGCTATACAGCTCAGCTGCAGTACTCAGGAGGGAACTCCTCCAGTCCCTGGTATCCGTTGTAAAAAAAAAAAAAAAAAAAAAAAAAAAAAAAAAAAAAAAAAAATTCGATTACACGACATTTGAAAAATGGCAAAAAGGAGGGGAAAAAAAAGATGAGGTTGAGGTGGGAAGTTAGTGTCCGAGTGGATCGAGGTCACGATAGCTCAAGTGGTAGAGCAGCGGCGTATCTAGCCGAAGATCACGGGTTCGAATCCCGCTCGTGCCATTGTCTTTTTTATCTCAACTAAAAACCTTAATTAATTGTAAGTATTTACAAATTTAAAAAAGGAAAGAAAAACTATTTTTTATCTTTAAATTTGATAACCTATGTGAAAAAATTCCATTTGAAAAAGTGTAAATATAATTATTTTTCATTTAAACATAACATAAAACACAAGAGAAAAAAATATTTACAAATATACAATAATTAAAACCAGAGGCCTTCATCGTCAACAGGATCTGGGGGTAGAACTGAAGTTGCTTCAATTGGAACTGTTGTTTGTTCTGGAGGCATCTCTTCATCTGATTCACTCACTGCAAGGTCATCTTGAATTTTTATCTCTTCTCTGGGTTGATCCCTTTTTAGCCCTCCAAGGAAATCAGATGGATCATAGTTGGGATCTACATCCATGCTCTCATCTAAAAGTTAATTATGTTTTTTATGTGTGTTGCACAATTAGTACAAAATAACCAAATCATACCTTGTGGGGTTTCAGTGTAGTATGCAATATTCCCTAATTGAACCATCGCTTCAGCAACTTGTTGACTGTCATCGTCTGGCATGGGTTCTGTTTCATAAGTCCCGACCTCTTCTAGTTCTTGCTCTTCTTCACTTGAAAATTGAAGATCTGCAAATTTGTTTTTGTTATAGTTCTTTAGTAGAAACCTAAGAAAATATTTATGGTTTTTAAGAAAGAAAACATACCTTCTTCAAGTACACCTGGTTCCTTCTTGAAGTTGACTTCTTCAGACCCCTCAACTTTCATAAAATCGAAATCATCAGGATTGGAAACACCCTTAAAATTGAGAATAATATGACATAAAAATACATTACAGTATACACTATTGGCTGAGGTCATATTATAAATTATGTTTACCTGTTCTGGATTGTCATCTTCATGACCAAGCCAAGGCCCTAGTGAATCCATATCAGCTTGCTCAAGTGCTCGTTCTTGTGTTACACTAATCCTTTGTTCTAATTGAGCAAGGTGCTCATCGTACTTAAAAAATAAATATAAAAAAAAATTAAATAATTATTAACAAATGAAAAAAAATGAACAAAAAATTCCTACTTCGTCCAAAGTACTTTTTGCAACACGGACAAGATTTTCTGCTTTTTGTGTAAATGGGGATTCTTTTCCATTATAAAGAATACAATTGTTAAGTATTCTTTCAACGTCCGCAAGGAATTCATTTCTTGAATGGTATTTATGCACTAAACGCAGATACAATTTTATATTTATGTATAATGATATGTTATTACAGAACTAAAATTGTACTCACATCTAACTTTTCTTTCAATTGTTTCTAGGTCCATAGGTTCTTTTATTATATTGTAGTAATCTTTAACAACTTTCTTGTTCACCGGTTTGGCGAATGGCCAAGATTCTGACATTGTTTTTAGTTTATTGTTAACAACAATGCCAAGAATATACGTAAGACCGACTTGGTCATTGTCATCCAATAAAGGATTGATGGCTTTTTCTAATCTCATCAATCTTTCCTCTTTTTCTCCAAGACGTTCTACACAAACGCTTAACATACGTTTTGCAGCAACTGTTAATGAGCTTTTCCCACCTAAATAATACAAAAAAGACATTATTGATTACAACACAATTTTGTATTTCTTATTTAATTAAATACCATTGTAAAAAGTAGAGTTTTCTACAATCTGGTTAACATCCGCTAAAAATTCTTCTCGACTTTGATATTTCTTTTGACGTAAATTGTCCCTTATAGTCTGAAGATCCATTGGTCTTTGCACAATTTTGTAATAATCTGGAACAACCTGGAAATGTTTTGATTTAGAGTAAACTTCTAGAAAACAAGTTCTTTTAATCAATGAATATATTTTTGTACTTTTGCATTTACTGGGAACAAAAACGGTTGCACATCTGGCAAATCTCTCATCTCATTCAAAATAGATTCTAATAGTGTCGATAACACTACGACTGGATCAGTTCTTCGTCTATTTGCAGGTTTCTGGTGGCGTTTCAGATAATCACAATGAATATCTGCTGCAGGCTTTCTCTTTTTTTTCGAACTCATCGCTTCCTTAGGAACTTTAAGAAGGAGTGACCTCCTTTTCATTTCTTCAGCATGCTGTTAAAAGCACAAAAAAAAGAAATAATAAATCATAGACCCCTTGCTTTAAGTTGTGATCTGTATACCTCGGGAGAAACCCAGATTGTAAGAAATAATAATGAAGTGTCTATTTATAATTTTTAGATAAAATAAAAATACCAACAGAAAACCCACATTACGCATACTTACAAGTTAAAGATATCAAAGTCAAATGACTGTTAGAGGAGTTTTATTGTTCTTAAAAGCTCAAATGTAATTTGTTCTCAAAAAATAAAATTTTACATCTTAATTTTTTTCTAAATTTAAATTTTGTAAAATTTAACCTTCATCTGGAGTAGTATTTTATTTAAATAATAATTTCCATGTCTATTTCTGTCATTTTACAAGATTGGATTACAAATCAAGAAATTTGTACAGGAACAACAGATGTTATGTCGTAAGTCTAGTTGAAAGTTAACATAAGCCAGGCACAATGCTGGGAAGTGAAAAAGGTCTTCCACCTCTTCCCTACCACAAAAGTGACAAAATATTTTGTTTCGCAAAACATTTATAATTTAAATACAATACCAATTATTATGCATCTTATTGTAATCAATAAAAAAAGACCTAGGGAAACAAAAGGCTAACTATTTTATTAATAATATTTTCTTTATGAGTTAACTGAATATTCAAATAAAATATTACTTACTTTCAGTAGTTTAGATGACAATTTCACTTTTGTTCCTTCAACATTGACAAGATCTTCATCATCAGTATTCAACTGTTTCTCAAATTCTTCCTCCTGCTCCTCAGTGAGTGCTACACTCATAGGTGGAAGAGGTTTGTCCATACCAGAATACATTGGACACGCTTTGTTTGTTCTCATGTGGCCAACCTACAATTCCACAAAAAACATATTAAAAAATTTGTATGCAAGGAAACTATTAAAGATGCATACCTGACCACAAGCACCACATTTAAGTTTAACATCTGGTTTTATCTTACTAGGTTTCCTTCTCTTTGGTGTTGGTGGGGTTGTAGGATTCGATAATGGAGGTCTGTTCCTAACAAACCCTGACTTCAAAAGAGGAGGTGACTGAGATCCTTCCCTTAATGTACCTTCAAGTGTTGTTGAAAGTGTTGAGGATAATGCTAAAACATAATGTAAAAATTATTAAAAATAAAGTTAATTATTTACACGGATCTTACTTGTTTGTTCAGCCAATGTAGCAGATGATAATGAAGGACGATTAAAAGTTGAGCCGCCAGTGATTCTTTCACGTTCTTGGTTCCTCCTGATTCTTCTTAGTTGTTCTTGTATTCTTCGCTTCTCTCTCTTCATTTCTTCTTTCAATTGATCATCCATTGTTGAATATTGTTTAATGAATGCTTCATCTTTGGTACTCCTGATCTTTAAGTATGTATCAATTACTGCAGGCTTTCTAACCACTTCTTGTCTAGTATACTCTTTCCCATCAGTATCTCTGAATGTTCTGTATATCCTTAAAACACGACCTGAAATGAATGAATAAATGTATATATTTTTTAAATATTTTAATGGTTAATTATTTGATTTGAAATATATAACAGATGAATCTTTATACCAGGATGATTAGCAAAAGTATTTGAAGTTGAGGTGTCCTCATCCTCCTTCTTTTTATCTTTTAGTTTTCTTGGGTCTTGATCTTGAATAGTTTTCATCATAAGGAGTTTTCGTAGTTCTTGCCTTTCTTGTTCCTCCTTCTCCAGTGATAACTGAAAGAATTTGTTTTCAAAAAATGTTTATTTTCAACTATACTCAATTGTATTTTTTTACCTGAGTGCTAGTTTTTTTATTAGCTAACATATTTTCAATGTTCTTTCCCATTTCTTCAATATCGGAGCTGTCTTCATCAGAACTTTCGCCTTCATCTGTTGACAATACTTCACAAGAAGATAATACTCTATTTTGAAGGTCAAATATCCTCTGACATTCCTCTTTGTACCTACAAAACACCGATTAAACATTTATCATTTATTCTTGCATACTATTTTAATTAAAGTACCGCTCTTGGTGTTCAGCAATAGAAAATCTATTTCCTCTGGAAAATTTTGTCATGCCTTCTTCACCAGCTTTTGCTTTCTCTGTAGATAACGTTCGTACAACGTCAATAACTTCCCACCTTGACAATTTTTTAATCTGAAATGAGAGAATACATAACCAATTAATTGTTTCTTACAAAGTAGAATAATTTTAGTTTTTGGGTAATTTTTTATATATAAAGAGACATGTACACTTTTTTTTTAATATAAATAAAAAGAAACAAAAAATAATAAGAGTGAAAAGGTGCAATTTTATTTTTTTCAACAGACCTCTTCTTCAGGGACACCAAATTTCCTTAATAAGGCCTTAGCGTTGTTCAGAGATAGTCTTCTGAGGTCAGCATCCGTTCCAGTAACAGTTCTCTTTGGTTGTGCTTCTTGTTCTTCTTTACTTTGCTAAAATGGAAATATTCTACTATACAAACATGACCTACTGTGCATTCTACAACATGTTAGAAATTAAGCGTACTGTTGGTTTATTTGGCATTCTCACGTATGAGAAACCTTCGCCACAACCAGTAGGATCAGCAGGTCCAGTAAGTTGAAGAAGGCATTTTCCTTTCATAGCTTGTATATATGCTCTAGTCGTGTTCCAAGGAGCAACTTTAACTTCATCATCCATTTTTAGCTGAAGATCTTCATCATCGTCATCTTGAGGTGTAAGAATGAATTTTTCTCCATACCCAGCATCCTTAGCAATTTAGTGAAGAATTGACAAGTAAAAAAAATACTATTTACACAAATAAGTAAAAAAAAAAATCAAAAAATTTAATTGAGGAAATACCTTGAGCCTTTGTTCTGCAGCCACCATACTAAAGTATGCACAACATTGCTCTGGAGAAACCATTGCACGGATTTCCTCTTCAGTAGGGAGACGAAATTCTGGTTTGATGACCCACCAATTTGAATCCATGCCTATTAAAAAATGAATTTAAAAAAATAAATAAATTTGTAAATGGAGAGGAGTGATGAACTTCTACAACCAGATTTTCTTTTCCTTTATTTTGTATTTATTTCTTTTAGAGCTATGCATCTCAGGGGCCATCCATCAAATACAAACTCCCTGAAGGTAGCCATGAAGAGGGAGCAGGAAAAAACCCACGAAATGCATAGCTGTAAAAGAAAATTATATAAAATAATGGAAAAGAAAATCAGGTTGTAGATCATTATTTTTCATCAATAAAAGGAAAAACAACCAATAATAAATAAAAAATAAGAAACATGATTTTTAAAAAAAATTATTTTGAGCATATAAATATAAAAATACATATTTCAAATATGTGCTTATACAGTTTTTTCTCTCATAACACTGACACTACAGCTAGCACAACACCCAGAGGACAGAGGTTAGGAGATACCAGCTGATGCTGGCAGTCAGGGCTTACGGGACAAGGGGGTCTCAAGGCCATCGTATTAAGGATGGAAAGTGTAGAAGATAGGCAGTAAAGTTAGTACGGATTAAAATCATAAATAAAATAAATTAAATTGATTCACTTGTTTTCAAAACTAGTCTATTTAATTTAAATTTAAGTAATTTAATTTATTTAAAAACACTAATTACCATTTAATTAATTGTGACTTGTGTTCTATAAAATTAACATTCACTTTTGGTTTTTATTTTATTTTATCACTTATAGTTAACACAAAAAATATTTCCTGCTATACAGGAGGGCTGGATCACATTTAATAATACTCCATATTTCATTGTGTTGCAGTTGAGGGGTCAATCATCTCACAATATTTATTTTCCAAATTATTCTCAATTAAAAGTCCAAGGATTATGCCCGGATTCGAACCCATGGCAAATAAGGTTGGTCACCCTAACTTCTCAATCACCACAGTTCCCCTTATTTAACCTATAGAATTATAATTATTTATTTACATCACCAGAGATTCACATTTTAAGAGAAGGTTTCCGACTAATGTTAGTTATAGTTTTATTTTTTAGTTTAACAATGGTGTGAATTTCACAAAAATCCACCTCAGTAATAGGGAGAAGGAAGATAAACATGCATACATCTTTGTTAATAAAGGGCTATACCACCTAAGGAGTTTACAAGAAAGCAATCAAGTTATATTGGCATTTATTGGCAGCATCGGGTATATGTCTCCCCACCTGTCTGTACACAAAATAACTGATTTTTCTATCAACTAATCGGGCACCAACAACAACCATTACCCTTCTATCAACAGAAAGATGGACCTAGCTAAGGCTTACTGAAAATGTTCACAAAAATTTTAAAAAACTAATTGAAGAAAATATTAAGTTCTCGGTTATAATTTTTACTTTTACTTCAGTTTATTAAAATATAGGCAAATTCAAGAGGCATCAGTGGCTATCTTAATAGTTAAGGCTATCTTCACTACAAGCTAAAGGCCCTGACATAGGGGCTTTTTTTCAAAAATTTTCAAAAACACCGGCACCCCGGGGTTCACATAACTTCGTAGTTAAAATACCCTAGTATAAAATTAATTAATTTAAAAAAATTAATATCCTTTTCTTTGCTTAATAATATATGTACTAATACATTAAATTAAATACTATTATAAAATTGGCACATATCCATATATAAATAAATCAGCCCTGATTTGCTCTCTCTACAAACCCAAAGACTAACATTGTCATTCTTAACACAATACTAGATAAAAATACTATTTTTATGGCTGATCTGATAATACAAAAAAATTTTTGTTTTTTTAATAAGTAACTTAGTAAAAATGAAATATATACATTAAAAATTAAACAATGATAAAGGATTAAATAAACATTGAATAAAAGGAAATATAAAGAAAAAAAAAAGGAGGAATATTTACTGTTTCGTCTCTTTGTGTAGGAATAGGAATTGTTTCTTGGATTATGGATCAGAATACGGGATTTTAGCTCTTCAGTACCTGTTCTCTTGAAATCAGCACAAAGTTTCAGACGCTTTCTAATACTGCTTTCTGAATGTGAAGGGAAAGCTTTCTTGATATCATCCATTCGTATCCTACGTGGGGTGTCGCGGCTTTTCCAAAACAAACGGTAAATAAAAACCTACAATGAAGATTAATTATTTAATTAATTCACTAATGTCAATTTAAGGTACAAAAAGTTTTAAACTCACTTGTAGGAAATCACGGACAAAATTGTTAGCCCTCTTTGAATTAGGCCCTGGTACTTCATACAGAGGACATAATTGTCCAGCTACAAATAATGCATCCATTTCACGTATGGAATACTGATGTCTGAAGTAATAAATTATTTTAATTTTTAACAATGTTGTGTGTATAACATAAGGTGCTTATTCCATGGTAAAATATATACAATTAAATAGTAAATGACTTACCTCGTCCTTATAATTAAGAAATCAGTTGTAGGAATTTTATGTTCATATATTGGTACTCTATACATATTATTTTCTAATGCCTGAATAGATTTTCCTGGAGGTAAAACTCCAAGGAATGGTGACGTATGAGCATATGCAACTTCCCCATATTTATATTCTTGGGGGCCATTATCTTTTCCAGCCCTTCTTTTGTAATAATTTTTTATTTTAGTGCACATCCCAACCTAGTGAATAAAATAATATGATTTTTTTTTTTTTTTTTTTTTTAATGCAGATATTTTATATTCATCCTATGATTGCTTGCCTGATTTATCAAAGGAGGGTGTTCTTCAATAAATTCAACCAAAACCAAATCACCATCTTTGCCTGACAGGTCCTCTGGGGTCCGCATAAAGAAAACGTCACCACCTCCTGATGCTGCTCTTTCTTGTTCCCTTAACTTATAACGATTATAATTAATATTAATTTAAAATTAAAAATAAATTAATTTAAATACTATGAAATGAATAATTTCAACAATACGAAATTTTAATCAATCTACCTTTGCTTTTTTTTTAATATGCTTGAGTAGTGGTAGTACTGGATGTGGTCCTGGATGAGCTAAGGCTCCATGAGAAAACCGCTTCATCGGTGGTCTGTGAAAATTTCTAAGCCTTACTTGGCCCATGTGCGTTTGAATAAAGGGTACCCTCAGCTCAACAACTGGTGTTGAATGTTGAATCAAGTTACCACCACTAACTTTCAATCTCAGAGCAGTGTCTGATGATCTTGGCATATAATGGCTAAAAATATATGTGGACAAAACAGTATATAAACAAAATTTGTACTATTACAAGCAATGTAAAACAATTATATACATGCCTGTCATTTGAAACATTAAATGGATCTCTATCAGGTGATTTTGGAGTTGGAGGTGGTGAATCTTCCTCTAGCACATTAATGACTCCTGCTTTTCCAAGTAATATTTTCGATTTTTTTACATGTGGATGTGGTATTTTTACTTTCACTGGAGTAGCATTATCTAACCGTTGCTTAGCAGGGTCAACATCATTTGGTATACCTTACAAATAGACATAATTAGAACTAGAAATTTAATTCTAATATTAAACACCCACATGCACCCAGGTTACAAATAAAAAAAAATACCTAAAATGATATTTTCATCATTTGGATCAAGAGTGAGAATTTTAGGTTTAGGAATTGATATCATGGAGTCTAAATCCCATATTATTTCATCTTCCCAAGTACCATAAACAAGTTCTTCATTTTCAACAGGAAATATAGAATACCAAGTGTCATCAGTATTATCTTCTAAACGCCCTTTATTAGCAGCACTAAAAAAATTCATTTTTTAACTGAATGAAACAAAGTTTTGACAATAATTATATCTAAATGAATGACAGTACTGTGCTGGTTTGTTTTGTTGCTGTTTGCTTGCTATTTGATTTGCCATTTGATTACTAGCAAGCCGAACTCCTGAGATATGTGGCAGTCCTTTCCCAGGCTGGCTAAAAGCTTGTGCTGTCCTATTCGCACTGCTTGGAAGCCAGCCTGCAGCATTAGTTTTGCTGTTTAAGTTTTGCAAAATCTTAAATCAAAAAGCATTACTACATTAATATATTTAAAATGTAAACTGCAAGTTTTCTAAGGTTTACTTTATTTTTAATGTCGTCACCATTCCAAACAATGTCATCTTCCCAATGCAATTGACTAACCATAAGAAAAGCGTCATCAGAATAGTTACAACTTTTATGTTGTTCAGCTGTTTCCTCAACCTAATAAGATAATGTGAAAATAAATATTGATTATAAAATATGATAAATGACTAGAATTACTTTTTCATTTGGAGTGAAGCCATAATTGAAGCCGTCTCCAGTTTCTGGTACTTTCAGCTTATCGTACCAAAGCTGAGCAGGACCAAATCTCCAATCTGCAACTTTTGGCCCAACATCGTTGTTTTCACCATTCTCGGGCTTTTTAGTTACATCTTTAGCTTCATATGTTTGCAAAAACTTAACCTGTAAAAGTAAATGTTTATTAATTAAAATTCAAAACAAGCGACCTCCTGCCATCAAGCTTACCTCATCATCTGATTGAAGTGATTCCGCTGGTGTTTCTGAAGATTTGTGGTTGAAAGACCAACCTCTTTTGGGTCTTTGGATGTCTGTATCTGATCCAGAGTCAGAGTTTTGATTTTGTTGATCTCTACTGGTCCTCTTTTTTTTCCTCCGCTTCTTAACATTTCTCCACAAGTTAGGTAAGCTACTCGGCTTCCCTGGACCGAACAATCTTGAAAATCGTAGTACCTACCCAAATTCATCATGTTACTTAATGGTTAAATTTAATTGAGGAAAATAACATAATTTTTTACATATCGGCACCAAAATGTTTACTAACACTGAATACGTTGGTATAAACATTTATGAAAACCCATTAGATTTTGTGTTCCAATTGACCAAATAACTTCTTTCAATTAATGAATCTTTATGTAAGGTATTGGTTGAGATAAAACAGTCAGTGACACGAGCAGGATTCGAACCCACAACCTTCAGCTTTCAAAAATGGAAAAAAAGAGGGAAAATTCAAAAGGTTGTAAGTCGAGATGGGGAGGTGGTGTCTGCGTCTATGAAAACATTGACAAGTCTAATAAAATATCGTTTAGAAGCTTTACAACTGTTTAGGTTTTCAAAATGTTAACCCACATAATTAAAAAATGTATGATTTTTATACAGTACTATACCACTCGCATTAATGATTTCAAAATGAGAGTGATAAATCAGTAAAGCAGCGTTTTATACAAAATTAAATAGTTTTGTCATTTCTGATCAGTCCTGTCTGCCTTCTCTTGACAGTTGGGTCTGTCAAATGCATTTCGCTCTCTTTAACAAGCCCATGATGACATGCCGACGTAAGTCAGATAAACTGAAGCAGCAAGGATATCCAGGTCAAGATGATTTGAAACGGCTCCACAGACATCAACAATATGAGGGTGTATCAAATATAAACGGGACTGATTTTCTAAAAAATATCAGAGAGGCCATAGACCTGAAAGGGGTTGATGTGGAGGTATATTGTATCATTAGGAACAGGAGAGAACTGACCGCATCTCTCTCAGACCCCTTTAATATCAATAGAAACTACGAGTGAGAAAGAAATGCGAGTTTTAATGGAGCATCAAATTATTATCAAGTTTTCACTACGGAGGGAGTTAATCCAGCTGAAATTTTGTGCCGATTAAAGGTACAGAGACAAAACCCTGTCAAGATCCCGAAAATTTTCTGGAGGGCATGAAAACGTCAACAACCGAGGCCAACATTGAGACGTTTTTTCATGTTGGCTTTCTCCATGAACAAAGTGCAACTAATGTGCAAGTTATTGGGCATTGTTCTGTATGACAATGCCAGGCCTCAAACAGCTAATGCAATGGGATAGGAAACGTTAGAATATCAACCCTACAGTTCAGATTTGTCACCTTATGACTTTCATTTTTTTTTAAAGCACTATGATGCCAGTGTTTGGATGTGACAACAAAGTGGTGGAAGCATTTTGCTACAATGACTACAAGAACATGTCAAGAGTTTTTATGATGATGCAAGAAACAAACTCCAATCCGATGGGAAAAATGTATTTTTAGGGCAGGAGAATATGTAGAAAAATTACATATTTTTGTACGCTTAATAAAATAAAGTTAGAATTTTTTTTAATGAATCCAGAATATACTTCGTAAATCCCCGATTTTATATAATTCCTTCAACTTTACCTTGTCAACACGAAAGTCTGGAAATAACTTTCCCACATCGACTCCCGAGTACTTGGAAGGCAACATAGCTGCAAGAGGAGTGTCCAGTTTCTTTTTGTCATCATCGCCTTCGGGACTCTTCCCGTCAGGCAGAGGAGGTGGCGGCATGAGGTCTGCATCAGTAGCAAACGGCATACCTTCATCATCGGCATCATAATCGCTCGTGCTTTCCTCTTTTACATAAATATCCTCTGCCAACTCGTTTATGTCCGAATAATCGACAGCGGCCGAGTCTTTGACGGTGAAGTCCTCTTCCAGTTTCACGTCAGCTTCGCTGTCCTCTTCGTTTTCGACGATCTCGCTCAAAAACGAATCGAAACCAAGCCTTGCGAGCGAAGACAAGTGTCGTTTTGACTCGTCGTCAAACACGTCTGTATCCAAGTTTCCCTCTTCATCGATGTTTCCGAACAAAACGTTGGTCAAATCAAATTTACAATCATCATCACTATCGCCCATTTTAACAAATGATGTATTTACAAAGATATCTTTAAATTTTCAATTTGTTTTTTTGTGGGGTGACAAAGTAAACAAAACTTTAATCACACCTCTAGCCTTCACTAACCTGCCGTAACTGTAAACTACTAATCATGTCCCGATATCAGAACAATCGAATCTTTTGTTTTTATACTTACTACTTAGTACATCGAAGTCCAAACAAAAGCATTTTAATATTTTCAAATAAATATACTATATATATTGAAAATATACCTATTATATATGTAAAATACTAAATATTTACAAATATAAAAACATACGGAATAAAAATCTATTTTCGTTTTGCTCTTCTTTTTAATTCCTTTATGGATTTTTTTAATATTTATTAAGCTATTTAAAAAAGTATTGTTCAATGTTTAGACCTCCTATGTCATAATCCTGTATTTTATTTCTTAAATTTTATATAAATCTAAAGAAATCTGGGCCTAAATCTAGAGAAAACAATAATCGATTGTTTGATTAAGTGCAACGACAATTTAATAGTCATAAAATCAACATCAAATTATTCGATTAATTTCACGATCATCGTTATTACGTGTATAGTAAATTGTAAAAATATCTTAAGGTTAAAAGGGATAAAACTGCAAAGTATTTAATTCTATATTTCTCTTTATTCTACAGGCTAATTTTTCTCTACTGCCGGCGTTTTATAAATTATTTAAAATCTCTCAGTTAAAAGGCTAATGCCTTTTATTGAGACTTTTTATTGAGTCTCTGATGACTTTTTTAAAATCTTTAGTTTTTATCTTTCAGTTGTCTGCAGCAGGGTCAAAACATCTACATATAGGTGATAAAGGAATATTAACAATTTTTGGTACTGGGGTTCAAGCTAAAGCACAGGCTCTGCTTTTCAATATTTGTTTAAATTTAACGAGGTTTGTCTGTTATAATAACGCACTTTTTAACCTTCCGTTATTGCAGTGCTCCAATAAATTTTATTGCTGGTGAAGGTTTGGAGCCGAAATTTTGAAAAAGATAAACAGTTATGCTCATGATTGGGGCCAAAGTTCTCCGCATCTCAAAATGGAAAGGACTGTGCAAAAAAATTGTATATTTATTTTTAAATAATTTTAAACCCATATTACGGTCAAATTCTCCCGCCAAATTCGAAGAAAGAGGGAATTAAATTTTTCTTGTAATCAAAACTATAGATTAGAGGCAAATAACGTGCTAACCTTGAGAAGTCTCAGCACCTTTCCTCAGTGGATTCGACTTGCAAGAAAATCCTTTGGTTTTGATCGTTCCAACTCAAATCCACCTGCCCAAAACCACTTTGGAAAAACCAAAACTTACAAGTGTTAATTTTTATCGTATTTGAAATGCATCCATCTGTTGTCTATTTGACAGAAACTGACGTTGAGAAATGTTTAGATTGGTCTTTGCTCATACCAAAAATGGAATCGGCTTTAATTCAAATAGCGGAAAAAAGTGTAACACAACCACAACGGATAATGATGAACATTCATGAAAAGAATGGGTAAATACTAAGCTCTGTATAATACACTCGCCCCATAGAAAAGGCCATTAGTCTAATCTAATATAGCATGAATATAACATTAGTTTTTATAGCAAGTAAAATTAAAACTATGGAATGATGGATAAAATAGTTAGGACATCATGTAATGATGTAATTTAATAGATATGATAATTGATTGGATAGGCCACAGGCATTTCACACATGGCTATCTTCTTGAGGGTGGTCAACAGGGACGATGAGCACAGTGTGATGAGCCGGTGACTGCACATCACAAGCTAGTGAAGTGTGAGAAACTAAAACATAGATTAAGGAGTGACCTACCTCCAAACGAAAAGAAAATCTTGATGCATAACAGTGACTACTTGCAGAATTTATTGGAATATTTACGAGTAGTGAAAATGTATGACTTACTATAATCTGCCCCTTTGCAAATGTGCAATATGAATGTATATGTTTAGGTATGATGTATCCATTTAGCAAGAATGCTGCATGGATAGGTATGAATGAGAACAGGTAATTTGACAGTATATCTTAGTTGTTTACAACCATTACTATAGCTAAAACCTCTGAGCCATTATTTACTGTTCTTGCAATAAGAGGAACTTGCAATAACAATGAAAGTTCAACTAAATTTGATCTCAATAAAGATCGAAACGTTGGCATGATAAAGAAAATGTTTTTCTGAAACCTACATCACACCAGACCGCATCTCACGATTTCTGAATAATTATCGATTAAGGTCAGTAATCACCACACACACGTTCAACCAAATCTTGAGTTGTTTGTAGCTGTATTAATCCTCCCTGGTTTGGAAGAACATTGTAGCCCAAGAAGGTGAACTACTGCCCTTTTAAAGGCCGAAAACTTGGCAAGCTTTTTATTTTTTATTATTTTTATTTATTTTTTTAAATCAGATCTAGATCCACATCTTACACTATATAACACCAGTTGATAATTCCACATAGTCATTAATATCACTTATATGCACAAAACTAGCTGAATTTAGATTCCACTCATTGGTAGCCTTATTAATTTATTAAAGTTCAAATTGAAGTCTAGGTAGCAAGTTCATAAGACTTGGTCTTCTGTCATCTCACAAAGACAAAACTTGGGTTAAATGTGGTGATTAGTGACCGTTAGTCGATAATTATCCAGATATCATGAGATGTGAGATGCGGTCTGGTGTGATGTAGGTTTCAGAAAAAAAATTTCTTTATCGTGCCAACGTTTCGATCTTTATTGAGATCATCTTCAGGGCCTGGGATTTACAAACATTGTTTAAATTTAACAAATACATGTAGGATGTGGAAAAAAGTGTATTTATACAATGCAAAAAATATATTTTTTATATTCAGTCAAAATATTTCTACTCATTCAAAGTGTTTGTTTTCTGTGTAAGTATGCCATTCTTGCATGTCATGTTGAGAGTGCCAGTGAGATATTGCTGTTTTATGTTTATAAACACTCACTCTCAACACAACACGATAAAGAAAATATTTTTCTGAAACCTACATCTCACCAGACCGCATCTCATGATATCTGAATAACTTGGTTTAAGCTAATACTATATTGTAAATAAGTTCTCTTTGTGACATTATTGTCATTAAATTAATCATTGTTACACAAAAGAAATTTTATTACAATTATTGTAGAATAAAAATACTTTTGCTCAAAAAATCAAAAGTAATTAATGATAATCAAGGAAAGAATTATACCCATACTTTCCAGTTTTTAGGAAAATATGAAGTTTTAAAGAACAAATACATTCAAATTATTATGTCATTAAATAAAATATCTTAAATGAAGCAAAGAAAATATCATTTCCTAGCATGCTACTTGCAATGCCAGGATTTTCATCCAAAGATAACAGCCTTGGATGTAAGCTTGTTACATCGTATCCCAACAATACCAGATTGGGACTCCCATCAATAATGGCAACAATTTTGCTTTTCAATGCAGACACTGGAAAACCTGAAGTGGTAAACACAGTGGAATTGTCAAGTGGTATGTTTTCTTCTAGCATTCCATTATTTTTTTTTTTTTACAGATTTTAGAAAGTCGTGCAATTACTGAATGGAGAACTGCAGCAACATCTGCAGCAGCAACAAGACGTCTACATAAAGGTGATAAAGGGGTATTAGCAATTTTTGGTACTGGGGTTCAAGCTAAAGCACATGCTCTGGCTTTTCAACATTTGTTTAATTTTAACAAGGTTTGTCAAAGTAAATGCATTTGTTGCCTTCTGTTAATGCAGTGTTTCATTAAATTTTATTGCAGGTGAAGGTTTGGGGTCGAAATTTTGAAAAAGCTAAACAGCTATGCTCACAATTGGGACCAAAGTTTTCCGCATGCCAAAATGGAGAAGACTGTGCAAAAGATGCTGATGTACTTGTTACAGCGACCTATGCAGACCGTCCTATTGTGCAGCATTCATGGCTAAAAACTGGGGTTTTAATCAATGGTGTGTTAACAAGATGTCAACACGTTAGCTTTTTTATATTTTATTTTTATATTTTAGCTATCGGTGCTGGAATCAATCATCACTCAGAACTTGATGAAAAAATATACAGAAATGCTATTCTTGTTGTTGACGAAATGGAAGCGGCACAAAAAGAGCTGAAAGGCCTCTTGGAGAAATCTATAAACATTTGGGGTGAAGTTGGCGCTGTAATTACTGGCCAAAATACACTACCCAATTCTGAAATCACAATATTTCATTCTTTGGGTAGTTAGAAGTTATTGTTAAATAGATTCTTGTAAATTATATATATTATATTTTTTGGTGCATTCCTTTGTTACAGGTATGGCAATTGAAGATGTTTTAACTGCACAACTTGTTTACAAAATATATAAACAAAATTGTCCTAACAATCAGGTGTAAATGTGTCCTGCTGATTATTGAATTAAACATTTACGTGGTGATGGAAGTGAGTTAATACTCAAACAAAAAACAATTAAGCGTTCATTTTTCAAATTTATGAATGTAATAAATGAAAAATATAACAATGGATCAATAATTGTTTTTTGCTTCTTTTTGATTTTAATTTCTTGTTTTAGAATTTCTTTTTACATCCAGAGTTGGGTGAACTCGTAAAACCATAAAATCACCAAGATGACTAGGATCAGATTTGTTTTTTATTTGTTACCCTTGCATTTAAATCTGTAACAGGTCGTTCTTCATGGCTGCTAGGAGAGCGTAGAATAATACTCATTTTCATACTTAATCCTGGATGTAAAAAGAAACTTAAAAATACAAAATGATGGAATGACTACTTATTTCCTGTTTGATCTAATGTTCAATATTTGTTATTGGATTTGTTGATGGGGGCACAATAGCTGAGTGGTCAGTGTGATTGACTCATCTCCCCGCAATCGTGGGTTCAATTACCAACGTCACGCCTGGACCTTTTTTCACACCCCCTTCCCCCCAAAACCACCCAAACAATCAATTGAATATGAGCTCTGGCTAATATTAACAAAATAAAGACAAAAAAAGTTAACCCAACAATAAATAATCTTTGAAAATTATCTATGAATAATTTAAATGCCTTATAATTACCTTTTATTTAACCAAGTTTAACACAGACTGCAGTTGATAAATCCCGTACTTTCCTGGTGTAGACAGTGTGTTGACTTGTAACAAACAAATCATAATGAACACAATAGAAACAATAAACTTTGGAACTCATAGTAGAAGAGAGTCCAGAAAGGCAGAATGAGATAGGGGACATTCCATCTCGGGATTTCAGGTACACCACCTCAAGTTGGCTACTTCAACGTTTTTAGGAAGAGCGGTGTGATCCAGAGAACATCAAGAAGAAAGCTTTCATTGAGGGAGTTTCCCCATTCCATGTTTCCTTTATTTTATTCCTTTGGGGTTGCACAAAGATAAATTTTAATTTACTTAATTTTTATTATAGATTTAAATTTAGATTTTAATTTTTTATAATAGTTGAATGACAACAGGTATTCTTTTTTTTATGAATTTTACATTCAGAGATTTTTAAAAAAGGTGTAAAGCTAATATTGAAAAAATAATTATTGTGAGTAAATTGGGTATGCCTTAAGTGGCCTTTTATTTATAATCTTTCCTTTATTAAAAAAAAGGCTGACTGTTGTAATTTTAAACAATTTAAATCAATTTAGCACAAGGAATCAATCGACCTGTAGTCAATGTATCAAGTAAAAATTTGCCATAATTTAAATATTTTGTATTTGTTTGCATGTTGAACTAGTATTCATTTCTTGTTATTATTATTATTTTGATTTTATTTTTTAAAAAAAATTTCTTTTTGCTTTTTGCTTTAAACCCTGCCCTATAAGATTCATTACCTTGTGGGTAGGGGTTGCCATTATACTTTTACCAATTCTTCTCTTCCCTCTGAAGTGCATCTACAAGATGGAATATGATCAGCAACTGCCCATGTCTCTTTGTTGCACTTTCATGCTGGGGTTTGTTGCATACCTAGTCTGTATAAGTGAGGGGTATGACTATTTTGTCCCAATCGTAGTCTGATTATTGCTGTCAGTAGCCTAATAGGTACATTAAGAGTCAAGGACCAAGGTTTGGCGACTTCTGTTGGTTGGATTGATGCATGCACTTCACCTTTTATCTTTGTTTGTTGCATTGTATTCCTTTGTCGAATGGTTGATGACAATACAACGCTAAAACGCATTTAAGTCATTAAAAAACCAACAAGTGTAGATGGACCCAATAAGTAACCTAGTGTGAGTTCAATATGTATTCACTGAATTTCAGAGAATTAGATTTTTACCATTTCTGGTCAGTGTCAGTCAGTTTATACATGATGTTTCAGTATCGTAATTTTCATAATCTCCAACGGTCGGGTTTGATGGCAAACCAAATGGTTCATTCTCATGCAGTCTTCAATAATATTTATTTTTTGAAGTTTAGAGACATTAAAAAAATTATATGTGATGAGCAGACAATTTGAAAATTGGTGGGATGATTTGAAGCAGAGCCATCTGGCATTCTTGTTATTTGAAAACAAACTAAAACGTGTGATTTTTGCAATCGAGCCGTTTCCAATAGTTGATATATGATAAATACTTTCCAATGACTTTTGAAGGGTTGTGACAGTTTTGGTAAATCCGATTTTTTCGGCTTTTTTATTTATTTGAGAAGAAGACCTAACCGACGTACCAGTACGTTGTCTTTCCAATAGGAAATCGCCTTTCAAATTAATGTGGATCATAGGGCAAAAATATCATTTTTTAACCTTCTCCTCATGATTTGTCCTTGCTATTAAGAAAATAACGACTAATTAAATACTGCCAGGAATTGTGTTGTTTCTTTCATTATTTACGCTGGTCGTAGTTTTTAATAATGGATAATTCACCAAATAATATAAATCCGTCCCGTCAAGGTAAGACTATATTTATACACAACTCTTAATATGTTCTATTTATTAAACTTTTGATGATAATATTTATGTTACATCGTCAAAATTCATTAAAAGTTCATTCTTGTGTTTTCTTACTTTTTTTTAACATATAAAAACATTTTTTACAACCATAAACATTACCGTTTTGATTGAAAAATATAATATACTTACATATTCATATGTATACTGACAACATAACGTATACATATAAGATAGATGTAACAGTAGTATTATGGGGTTATGTAAGTGTGGTGATTAGGAGAGAATTATGACAAGGTGGAAAGTTTAGTTATGATATATGATATGTTTTTATATGATATGATCATATAAAAACAGCAGAATATATATTTACATTTCACAACTCTCACCCTAAACCAATATGACACCACAAAAATAGCAACATACTTCATGTAAGTATGTAATACTTGGTTCAAAATGTATATTTACACCTGTATCATATTTTTTCCAATCAACATGTTTTGTAATTTACCCAAACCCTGAAGATGACCCGAATAAAGGTTGAGATGGCAAAAAAATGAAAAAGGTGTTTTACTAAACTACCTCATTCTTGACCCCTCGTCACAACTTCAACAAAACATTTTACTGTGTAGTATTTAGTGACTGTTGGAGATCGTGAGATGCAGTATTGTATGATGTAGGTTTAGAAAAACATTTTCTTTATTAAATTCACTATTTTTCGTGATCCGCTTGACCAATTAATACAAGAGTAGCAGCGTATCAAGCCGAAGGTCGTGGGTTCGAATCCCGCTCGTGACACTGACTTTTTTATCTCCACTTAAAACCTTAATTAATTGAATTTTCTTTATTGTGCCAACGATTTGATCGCCATAATGCGCCTGACAGAGCTTTTCACTGAGGTCAGAGTTAATTGGAAATGACCAAATTACAGTTCCATCACCTCGCAGTCCTCAACAAGAAATCTCAATATTTAACAAGTTCAAGTGAACAAATATTTGTGGTAGCAATAACAAGTCTGATATATGGCATCACTTTTTTTTTTTTTTTAAATAATAAATAAAATCTATCCCAATATAACAAATTATGAAATCTTTCTTTCTTAATTATTATTTGGTGATAGTGAGATGCTGTCTGGTGTGACACAGGTTTTAGAAAAACATTTTCTTTATCGTGCCAACATTTCGAACATCAGATGAGATCATCTTTAGGGCCTGGGATTTATAAACATTGTTTTAATTTTACAAATACATGTAGTATGTGGGGGAAAAATGAATTTATACAATGCTAGAAATTTTAAATTCAATCAAAGTATTTGTACTCACTCAGTGTTTGTTTTCTGTGTAGATGTGTCATTCTTGTATGTCATGTTGAGATTGCCAGTGAGATATTGATGTTTTATGTTTATGTCCATTGGATTTTGGAGGGGTGGGGAAGGAAGTCGGGATAAAAAGACATTTTTATGTGAGGAGTCGGCTTCCTTCAATGACGCCGACTCCTCATATAAAAATGTCTTTCTATCCTACTCTAGTTTAGTACGAGAGAAAAGGTTTTGAATCAAGACTGATGTTTCAATTCAAGAAGGATTTTCTAGCATAAACTTATATTTGTCACTTGTTACCCTCACCACATCTGATACTTGAAGGAAACAGAGTTATTTTATTATATAGTACTGACAGTTTTCTGTCCCCAGTAAGTTTTGAGAGTGAATGTATTTAATGGCCTGTATGAAGTGTAAAAGGGCTGATTGCAGAATAGGGGGGTCACCTCAATTAGGTCAGTTGTAATATGTTTAGAGGATGATGGAGGAATGTCGAGTACTCTATTGGCCTAACTGAGTGAATGGTATGTAAATAGGAAAGAATATATTTAAGAGTGAGTGAGAATAGGAGACTGATTTTTTTGGGGGCTGATATACCGGGAGCCCAACCTTGATGGACTGCTAGTAATTTATTATAAATTACAAAAAAGCTGGAATTGCCTGTGAGCTGCGAGAAGTGATAGGTTCAGCTCTGCACATATGTGTTTGTATGTATATGCATGTGTTTAGCTGAGCTTCTATAAATCAGTAATTGGTAATTAATTCCACTGTGTTTTGTTTTGTTGTGTGTTTTGTTCTTTCTATATATGGTTGAAGGAAAAGTGATATTTCCAAACTGTCCTGGTGTCAGCTTAGAATTTGTAGACCTTAGGAAAAGGAGTAAAAAAATTGTTTGAGTATATTAAAAAATGAGAGATTCCACGAACTACCAGATTGCATAAATTTAAATGCTGAAGAAGCATCATATAATAAAAAAATAAGAGATGATAAAAATAAAACTGCTTAGTAGGATGTTTGTGCCAGTTCCTAATAGTGCGAGTCATAATGTTTATATAAAATTAATTAATGTTTATATCTGGATTTTGTATAATAAAATGTCAACAAACAAATCTATGTACTATTCACACAATGATTGTGTACATATTTTAACATTTCTTTTGATTACAATAAGATTTTGTGTTATTTTCATGTCTTCCTTGAGATGGTATTTGTTGCTTCTTTTGTGTTGGATTATAGAAATCATTATGCCATGGAATAGATAGATAGATATACTTTATTTACAAAATGAAAGAAATTAAAAAACACAGTATTATTATGGCATGGTATTAAGACCGTCAGCCAGAGTTCGGAGTGTGTTTCTATTCCAAGAAATACATAATTATGTAATTATAAGAAAAGGAGAATTTATAATATCAACTTCAGAGATTACAATTATTTACAGGATTTTCAAATTACAAGATTGAAATGCGATAAACTTTGAAAATAATAAAAATGACACTTCAAAGAACCAAAGCAAGGATTCCAACTCACATAGGGTTCCTCTCCGGCAAACAGAATTTGCATTTAGAAGCCCACGAAATAGAAATTATATGTATTACTCGCGAGAGCAAAATAAGTCGAACAGAAAATTAATTCCCTACATTCCAATATATTCATATCTGTAAAACCAGGCTTTCCGAGCAAAATCAACAAGACCCCGGCAATCCGAGCCGTTCAGAAGGGCTATAAGCTCTTCCCTCGTCAGAAAACCCTTACCCACATACAGATACCTCAATTCGTTAAGGACCGAGCATCTAGCGAGAAAATGAAATGCATCCTCACGATCACCTGAGTTGCATAGAGAGCACACTGCAATGGCATGGAATTAATTGCTAACTTTTTTTAAATTCTTTCAACGTGTTGTCCTTGTAGTTTTTGTAATATAATTTATAAGTTATATTTCCACCATCCACCAATCCAGAATAGGTTTTTCATGCATTAAGTGTTGTATCAAATAATGGACTTTTTAGTATCACCACATCAGCATAACTAATATTACTCCTATATGTTGTATAGTCAGAAGAGGTGTATAAATAGTTTTGAACTACTCTGTTATGTACTTAACTTTTACTATATATTGATAATAACACCATTTAATTTATGTTTTAAGAGAGAAGGAGGCAATTGACGTTATCTTTCCATCCCAATAGTGGAATGACAACAGTGTTTCCACCACAACTGTAAGTAACAGTTTAAAAAAAAAAAAAACTGGTTTTCTCACCCAGAAACCATGATACATCAATCCTTTCTCCTCATAACGATACACTCCTAGCAATTTGTAATCTACAAAACCATCTTCTTGCCCTTGAGCCCTGGCTCCAGCAACAAAAAACCAAACTCATAGACTTCACCCTGTACAAAAAATCTTCCTACCCAATTATATTAACCATAATCCTATCCTGAACACGAAACAAGTATTATAAATCGGATTGTAAATAGACAAATGACTGACATGGAATACCCACACTATGACTAAAGCGTATAGACTGCAACCGAAGGTGTAAAATGTTTAAAAGACTTCTTGAAATGTTCCAAACTGACATTACTTAACAACAAAAAAAAATATATATATATATATAGCCTATTGCCCGTATATGGACTTAGGTATAGAACTATATACAGCAAAAGTTCCAACTTTAACCATTTCCAAGTACAACAATCTAAAATATTAAAAACAATACTTCACACTCCAATACATGTTTCCAACCACACAATCCATTCTGATTTTAATATCCCATTTGTCAAAGACCTAGGCCGATCCCGATATAAAAAATTCCACTCTCCAATTAGCCAACCACCACAAACCTTTAATCCATAATCTCTCGAGAATCCTTCCCAATAATCCTCGTTGGGGATTGAGGCTCCCTTGATCTTTGAGTGACGTGGGCCTCCTAACGGGTCCAAATTGTGTGACTAACGGGTACCATCACTGGATGGTCGCCTTCACGCCTGACACGCCTATGTATGTACATATCTTATGTATATAAATATTATTTACTGTATATCAGTTTTGCTTGTGTAAAATATGCAGTTGCAATTTAAAAAAACGGTCATAATATTATAATAGCGAAACAAAACTTAAGACAAAATTGTTGTCACAATATAATATGATGTTATAAAATCATTTAAAATAATAATTGTCATAAAGTTTTTCTTTATTTTTATGACTATCAATTGAAACAAATAAACATATAATTTTTATAAAATAATAAACCAATAAACAACCTATATAAAAAAATTAAAAAAATGACAAGGTAATAATTTTTATAAATTTAACAAAATATTTATTTAGGTTACTAGTTAAAATGTAAAAAGCGGGTAGTCATAAAATTTCAAATTAGTTTGTTAACATGCTTGACAACTCTATTGTTTTAATGTTATTTGTTAAGTGAAGGTAGAACAGTTTGTTCATAGTGAGAATCCAGTTTGGTCGTTCGCAATGCACAAAAATAACAATTTCATACTGGCCATTTGTAGTTTTTGCTGTTTACAATTTTTATTTCAGACAAAATAGAGTCTCTACAAATTCGTTAAATATTGGAGATACGAATTCTTCATTTCTAAGACAGCAAAGATCTCCCATGAATTTGGAAGGGCATAGAGTTAGGACTCCTCAAATGTCTAATAATGAGATAGCTGAACGAACCACTCGGTTAGTATATTTCCACCATTTTCCCTGAACTTAAAGCATATATTATTAACATTATGGTAGTCAGATTCATTATGATTTCGTTATAATTCTTTGTTTATATAATTAATATTTCAGTTTCCGGCGCCATGAACGTAGTAAATTCAGGTTAGCAGATCAATGTTTGCTATTTAATTCTCGTTTTCAATTTTGGTTGACTAGCATGTTTAAATAAACTGTAAAACAATATGTCCTAAGCACTTAAACATACTTAAGTGTTGTTAAAATAATAACACAAATCCATAAAATATATATTTTTTCAAATTCTTACTAAACAAGTGTGTTTAAGAAAAGAAAGATTTCAAATCAAAAAAGAATGGATTTGTAAATGCATACTTGCTTTATACAATTTGTATTAAAGTTTCGGGGTGCAACTGTTAAGGTGTTGATATAGCAACTCATCTCTATGAGGGTCCTGAATCTCCTGATCTCAGCGGCCCTGAATTCTAACCCAATGTTTTTTTTTTTTACAAAAATACCAACTCCACAGGGATTAGTATTAAGGGAGTAAAATGTGTTTTTCATTTAAGGTGTTCAAGGCATTGTATTGTGTGTTAAATTTTTATTTTTGAAATTTGTGTAGAGATATTTGCAATTATTAACTACTAGGAGGAAAAAAATATATTTTGAACTGAATTAGTTAACATAATGTCTAAATGTTCTTTTTGTATTCTTCACAAGTTTTAGACATGTAAATAAGTATGTGAGATGGGGTATTGTATAACTGATAGTTTCTTTTTTTGATTGAACTTTTAACTAGTGTATTGTCCTGCCATTATATGTATAATAGTTCCTAATGTTCTAATAAGTTGTTTTTGAAGTTATGACGCATGATTTAGACAAATTTGACAAAGAAAAAATAGAGGTGTGTTGAATGACAATTAATTAACTCGTTAGATTATTTATAAAAAATTTAGAATAACATTTTTTTTTTAATTTTAGTTTTGTTGTTGACATCTTTGTATGCTTTTTAGAGAACGCATAAGATTGTACACCCAAAATATTCATTCTACAGGGAGCCTTCAGGTTTCTCCTGAGCAGGTAATAAATAATACAAATAAAATTAAAAATTTAATCATACATAAATGGTTTTAGGTGTACAGTTTTACATCAGAAGATTTACTTGATATGGGTGAAATTGGTAGAGGTGGTTTTGGAACAGTGAATAAAATGTGTCACAGGGCTAGTAATACATTTATGGCAGTTAAGGTGAATTGTTGAATACACTAGATAAATTGGTGTTGGTTTATATTCCTAACATATATCTTATGTGTTAATGATATTTTAGAGGATACGTTCTACCGTGGATGAAAAAGAGCAAAAACAATTATTAATGGATTTGGAAGTAGTTATGAAATCTAATGATTGCCCTTACATTGTCCAGTTCTATGGTGCATTATTTAAAGAAGTACGATTTATGAAGTTGGGAATCAACATTTTGTCTAATCCTTTATTAATATAAACTGTTTCATTTTAGGGAGATTGTTGGATTTGTATGGAATTAATGGACACATCTTTGGATAAGTTTTACAAGTACATTTATGATCATTTGCAAAAAAGAATTCCTGAGCTGATTCTTGGAAAGATCTCAGTTGCTGTAAGATTATCATATTACTATGGGCATATAACATTTATACCTGAAAACAATTGAATGGATTGTGCAGACTGTAAGAGCTTTGAATTATTTGAAAGAAAAGCTTAAAATAATCCATCGGGATGTTAAACCGAGCAACATACTCTTGGATAGAGGAGGAAATATCAAACTGTGCGACTTTGGCATTTCTGGACAACTTGTGGATTCCATAGCTAGGACCCGTGATGCTGGATGTCGACCGTACATGGCAGTGAGTAGATTTGTTTAAAATTTATGCTTTTTCTTACTTGTTAGGTGAGTATACATAGAGATAAGGAATTAATGAATACTCTAAAGACAAGATTTTTGGGCAGTAAAATCTCATTTAACATAGTAAACATTTTCTTTATGTAATGAAATTAATTATTGTCTTAAACATTGTTTATTTTATAATCGCCTATACTCATTTTGTAAACGCAGTATGTACAAATATGCCCTTAACTTAAAGTATATATACAGCTAGATAATGATAATAATGTAAGTTTTAAAATTTATATACTATGCATAAAAGAACGTATATGCAATAAAGAAATTAAATATACAATGAACGTCAATAGTGGAAAAAAAATAAAGCACAACAAATTAATTTTTTCATTGCAATTCAACACCACACCACCATACATTGCTGAGTTTTCTCGTAGGTTATACCTCCTGTTAAGAAAAGACCCACTCTTTTGCCATCGGTCTTTAGTTCAGGGAATTTTAGGTACCACAAATACAGGAATAATTTTTAATAATGCTCCCACACAGGGGAATGATTCTTAAATAAAGAGTGAGTAATATGCAAATGATCGAACAGAGCAGATCAAAGGATGTCGAACGTAAAATAATTCAGAAGATAAAAACTTGGACAAAGCACATTATAAAAAAATTTAATTATAAAAAAATTTAATTATAAAAAAATTCACCCTCAATTCATTTATTCAATACTATTAACCCATAAAAAAATTATTTTCACATACATAAAGCAACAAAACATAAAAACATTGTACTCATTTGAGTTTTGCTTAATTTACTCACTGTTCAGTTGTTACATTTTCTGTAATTTCCCATTCCAAACTTATTTGCCTGAAGCTTGTTATATTCAGTAATATTTCAATTATTTTGTCTAAATCATATTTCTTGTCAGCCCGAAAGAATCGATCCACAACGAGGGAAAAGTGGATATGATGTTAGATCGGATGTTTGGTCTCTGGGAATCACATTAATGGAAGTTTCAACAGGTAAATTTCCATACCCTAAATGGAAAAGTGTATTTGAACAACTTTATCAAGTTGTAAATGGTGATCCTCCATCGCTTAAGCCAAATTATGAACTTCATTTTTCAACTGAATTTATATCATTTGTAGATACCTGGTATGTCTATGACTTTAATTCACCAACTGAACAATTATTAAATTGTATACAACATTATTATTTTTAGCTTAATCAAAGATGAAACACAACGGCCAAAATATAATCGCTTATTGGAACATCCTTTCATCAAAATTAGTGAAAACTCCGATGTCGATACTTCTTTATATTTCAGCTATATATTAGACAATATGTATATCAATGAAACAGCTATGTTCACAACAGATATACCTTGATGTTTCTAATTTGTATACCATGTGATAACTTTCTATTGTATTAGAAGCAGTGCTTAGATTTTGAATGTTCACATTTTACAGGGTTATCATTGTTATTGCCCCTTCAATTGTGTGTTGTTTTTGTTTTAAATCTTATTGTAATTGCTATAAAAAAATTCATTAACTAAAAACTACCATGAATTTTGAAATTTTTAATATAAATATACACCTGTATTGGTTAGGTTATATAGGTTTTTACATAATAAAAAATTATTGAATATTCTTTTAAGAAAGTAGCATAAAATCTATAGTAAAATATTGATATGTTTGTTTGACAGTGCATTTATTTGCTGTTAAACAATATACTGTTGTTCAAATTAAAATTTTAAAGTTTTTATGAGTTTTTAAATTAAGATATTAAGTATTGTTAATTTTTATTCAGATGTTTAAAGGGTGGCTTAAAGATAGGGCCATTTCACACCCAAATCTGTACAAATGTTTATAATGCACATTCAGCATTTTTGCATTTGACATGTTTTACAAACTGATTTTACAGAAAGGTGGTTTAATGTTTCAGATGGGATGATTATTCGGAGATCGTGAGATGGGGTCTGGTGTGACGTAGGTTTTAGAAAAACATTTTCTTTATCGTGCCAACGTTTCGATTTTATTGAGATCATCTTCAGGGCCTGGGATTTATAAACATTGTTTAAATATATCTAAGATGTGAAAAAAAATGAATTTATACAATGCTAGACAATTTTAGAAGAAAATGAATTTATATAATGATAGAAAATTTTAGATTAAAAAAAAATTAAATCTAAAACTGTCTATCATTATATAAATTCATTTTTTTCTAAAATTTTCTAGCGTTGTATAATTTTTTTTTAATCTATAATTTTCTAGCATTGTTTTCATTCATTTTTTTCACATCCTATATGTATTTGTAAAATTTAAACAACGTTTATAAATCCCAGGCCATGAAGATGATCTCAATAAAAACTCTGTCAGACTCATTATGGCATTTCGTCATCTTTAGTGGCACAAGTACACTATGGAAAATATTTATTATAGTAAAAAGATCGAAACGTTGGCACGATAAGGAAAATGTTTTTCTAAAACCTATGTCACACCAGACCGCATCCCACAATCTCCGAATAATCATTGACTAACGGTCACTAAACACCACACATTTCTGATGTGAGTTATTTTGTTGGAAGTTTGAATGTGAGGAACACTTAAACAATTTGACTTACATTCTCATTAGCATGAAATATAAATTCAGAAATTAATTTGATTTTGTTTGACAGATGAAACAAATATTTATGTAGATATACAGTGGCCTCAATTTTAATTTAAGTAATTTCCAAGCCACAATTAATCACCTTATTCTGTAATTGTGATATTAAAAAAATGGGTTTAACATAAGCTCAAAATTAGCTGAACCTTGTAATTAATGATTAATGAGTGATTATTTTTTTTAAAATTAAAGATGGTATTTAATACTTGATAAGGGTTTATAAATTCTTAAAACTTGTTCACTAACTAATTTTATAATATATCAAAGTTTTTATTTCGGACATTGGAGGTTTCACTGTAAAATCCAGTTAATGTGTAATCCATTTTACACCTTTTTTTAATCTGAATATTTTAATATTGATAGGGTGTATTCAATTATAGTAGACAGATATTGCACAATGTTTCTTCCAGTTATGTTTTATGGGAATGTAGCCAGTCCTCAATCATTTCAATAAACATTCAGCATGTGAATTTGTAAGATTTCCTCTTGGGAGTCTGTAGGGTAATGAACACGTTTTCCAGTCATTTTGGAGAGTTGGCAGACCAGGATGGTTGTATACATCTGAAATATTTCACAAGTTTAATTTAATGAGCAACAAATAAATGTTGTCAGATCAGCTAGTTATGTATAAATTAAACAAATAAAAACCTTAGTGTTTTTTTATTAAGCGATGATGCCATCTTTAATTTGCTCGCCTATGTTCACTTGTGTTGTCATGTATGGCCTAGTCTCACTAAAATGATGTCTACTTAAGCTGAACGTATAATAACAATTAAAAAAAAAAAAAAAAGTCCCTCCTCAAAAAATAATTCAATCTTTTTTTATTTTACTATATTTGTTGCAACATGATATATGTAAATACAAGAAGAGCCTAAATTTTTCTGCTTGTAAAATTGCTATAAAATAAATTAATAAAATTAAACGTGTACATTCATTCTGAAATGAAATGGATATAAGTGTAGGCTCAATTAATTTTTACAAATTAATTATATTTACACATAGTGTACAATTTGAGCTGTGAGTATGTTTATTTGTAAAATATTGTATATTTCTTTATTTAATATTATTTTCTAAAATTTCTGTTCTGATATGTTTATACTATTTAAGTCTTAAAGTCAAAGTTTATATATATTTTAAAAAAATATGTTGGGTGCCTAGGGTGAATACAAACTGAAAATTGAATATTTTGTAATTTAAATTATAAATTTAATCAACATTTGTTTATTGGTCATAATTGACCATATTAATTATTCTTTTTATCTAAGACTTTTGGTTTAGAAGAAAAATTAGTGTCATGAGCGAGATTCAAACCCACGACCTTCGACTCAATACGCCACTGCTCTAACCACTTGAGCTATCATTACTTTATTAGAAATTCGTGGGTTTGAATCCTGCTCATTACAGTCCTTTTTAATCTCATCCAAAAACCTTAGATAAAAAGGATAATTAATTGGTATATATTTAATTTTGTCCATTGTTTACTTAAAATACAAATGTTACAAATGAAATGTAAATATGTTCTTAGGATGCTTTCGAAATCGATCAGCTTAAATACACAAATTTAAGAGATAGACATTTTTTCTACTTGTTTTTTCAATCCGATGACAATAAGTTTATTAGCATGTTGACTTTTCTGAAAATATAGTATTTTTAATAACTAAAAAATATAAAAAGATGCTTACAGCATTTAAAAAATATACTTTAAAATTATTTTCACAATGCTCTGTGTGAATATATGTAAACTATTTTATATTGTTACAAAAACTCAGGGTTTATTATTTTTATGAACCATAATTTGATTATTGTTTATGTGATGGTCCTTCATAAACTGTAAACCGTAAACGAAGTACGTATATTTATATTTTGAGAATGATCATGAAATGAATGTAAATAAATTTTGTAATATGTGGTTGTATCTCTTTATATTTGTACATACTTAAAAATCCATTTGTTTTTCATAGAAATGAAATGGATTCTGTTATTTGGTTATTACTGATCACTCTGGTCTTCTTATCCTCGGTGTGTTGGTCTGCCGAAATGCATCTGAGAGAGGAAGACAGTGGATATAAACCAGGAATGTAAGTAGGGAGGGAATTTTTATTTATTAAAGAAGTTAAAATATGTATGTAATATAAAATATAAAACGAGAAAGGTTTAAAAAAAAGGAAGAAATTTGGTATGATTAAAAGAACAATTTTAAAATAAGAAATAAAATAAAATTGAAACTAATTTCATTTTTTTAAATTATTGGGAATGTCATAATATTTCTTTTTTTTTAATACGTGATTTAACTACCCCAATTCTCTCAATAATTGCCATATTTCAGGATTCCAGTTATCACAATATCGCATGTACAATACACACTGCTCAGGTTCTCTGAGGACTGGTAGATGGCCCTCAGAGAACCCTGAGCAGGAGACGAAGGATCGTTCTCACCCGACTGAGGATCAGCCACGCGGTTGACACATGGGAACCTGCTTTTGGGCCAAAGCCTGTGCAGGTGCCCCTTATGCAGAGAAAGGTTGCTCGATGTGTCCCACATAATAGAGGCGTGTCATGCCTTGGCTTCGTACAGAGAACATGTACGCATGCCGCCGGACTTAAGAAGAGTTCTCGAACACAGTAGCGAGTTTCAGAGTCCCCTGTTCTGCTTTTTAGGGGAAAATAGGTTTTTTTTTATTATGTTTTGTCTGAGTGCATGTATTTATTAGCGTGAATGGCGAGGGGTGAGGGTGAAATATAACGTCATCATCGCCCCTCAAACGTTGAGAATGTAACGTGTTGGATGGCGGAATATTTATAAAAGTACTCCATTGACCCCAATCTAGATTAGTTTAAGTATAGGTTGGTAGAGAAATATGAAGTATTCCACCAACCGAACAGATTGAGCGTACTGTTTGGATGTATTTGTGTATGAATGTAGTGTTTGAAAGGGTTAAATAGAATATAGACTTAGTTGGGGGCTGAAATGACCTAGATGTCGGATGCCCCAGTCAAAAAAATACACATGGTATTGTATGTAATAATTGTTGGCCAATTGTTTAGTCTGGTTGGGGGCCACATAGGTAATCCCAGGCAATATAAGAAAAGTGAATCAGACTTGTAAATGTATGTGATTCTTTTATAATAGGATCTATTTTGTCTCAAAACCCATTAGTTCGAACAGTTTAAAGTTAATATAAATGGCAGCACCCTTTGTACCAAACACGCTGCATAGCATTGTCTCTACCCCTAGGCATTATAATACAAATATGGGATCTGGCATTCAACAACAGTTTTTAAAAAAAGGAAATGGACTTATTGTAAAGAAAACAAGATATATTTAAAAAGATTTTAATGTGTCTATATTTACTTTTAAAACCCCTTTTTTTCTACAGAGATTTACAGGGCACCACAATCAACTTTTTTGAGAAAAATCTTCCCAAATTACATTATTTAAACATATATTTGCACCCCTGGCCTATTAATAAATAAATATTTTTAGAAATTTTTGACTGATTTTGATAATAATAATAATAAATAAGTAAATAAACATTTTCATCAAAACTTGGTTGTTTAAAAAAGTGTGTGTGTGTGCGTGCGTGCGAGTGTGTGTATATAGGGATATCGCCAATTTTGTAGAATTTACTATTTATATACTAGTATTTTTATTATAAATTGCATTAAAATTATTGTTTTTTACTGAAGGAAAATTTAATTAAGGGATTTTGAAAAATTACAACATAAAATGATTTAATTCCATAATTTTGTTTATTGGATACAATAATTTTTTTAAACAATTAACATCATATATATCCTCTGTTAGCTAAAACCAATGTCCACCTATTAGGCATAATGTTAATAAAGTTGTCACTAATTTCTTAAGGAATTTTACTCCATAGATGTTGCCACGCTGCGCTCAGTTTTTGCAGGTCAACTGGTTGCAGATGGTGATCGAAAAGCCTCCGCAACGCATCCCACATGTGCTCAATGGGATTGAGGTCTGGAGACAGTGAGGGAAGAGGCAGATGGGAAATTAATAAACAACTCTGCCTCTCTGATGATTGGCATTGTCATCCAGAAAGTGAAAATCCCTGCCAATGAAATCCCTAGTGTGAGGAGCCTCGATAGTTTCTTGGACATAGTAGACTGCGATGTGGTTGCCTTCAACATTATGGAGTCCAAATCATCCTCCAGTGTAAATCCCAGCCCAGACCATTGCATGGCCTCCTCCAACTGCACCAAAGGGAGTATGAACTAAGGCATTGTACACATCTCTTGTTCTCAGTAGATTCTTCGGTGCCTGCTATTGCTAAACACAGAAACGCGACTCATCAGCAAATCCAATTGGTATTCTCTTCTAGGCACTCGCTGTAACATCTGAGTTGCTAATGGCATTCAGGTCATCTCAAAAGGGCTTACGATGTGAGGCCAACTTCCCACAAACAATTACGAACCATTTGTTTTGATACAGGCCTTGCTAAAACATCTTGTACTTCATTCACTAAGGATCTTGCATCAATGCCAGTATTTCTGTTCTCCCTTAGCATCGTAATGTGCTGAGATACTACCAGGCCTCCTATTAGCACTTCCATCCTCTCAGGCTGACGCTCTGAAAAACGCCAACTGCCTCTGCCATATCCACTTGCTGATGACCTAAATGACTCATTCTCACAATATTGCTTAATTCTGGTTCAAGATGTCTTTCCATGGTTAAATATAATACAACTGGATTAAAACAGAGAAAAGGTGTTACAAAATGAGTAGTCTTCATGGTTACTATTCCTAAGTAAATTAAAAATGAGGCTTAACTTTTTTAATTAATTTGTTAATTAAAAAGTAATGTATTTAATTTAAATTGTTTGATTATTTGCTTATGATTATATATATATATATATATATATATATGTATATATATATTTGCTAAAATACTCTTAACTTCTGGAATACATAGATGTAGAGTATTTTCATTTATTTAACTTGTACTTTTTGCTTGTGATATAAGTAAGTTTCTAAGTCCCATCCTCTTGGAATTTAGATACCTCCTTACAGTTCACAGCAGTCTTAGCAGAACCCAGATAATTGAATCCCTTAATGACAGGAACAGTTTGCAATTGATCAGATTCGCATGACGGCTTGTCATGTTGATGATCTAATTACTGCATTCAATTATGATCAATAGTCTTTTTTCTTTTAAAATTAGTAGTATTTTATTTTTATTTATATAATAATTAATTGTAATGATTTAATTGGTCAAGCGGGCTATGAAATTAGTGAATATAATTTATTTATATATTTTAATTTATTTTTGATAGTTTTTTAATTTAATTATATATTTTTGATAGTTGTGGCTTCAACCTCCGGCAGACGGTTTTTATCCATGCCGTTTTTCCTTTGCTTTGCACTTGTAATTGTTTGAAAGTACTATCGACGGTTTTTACCGTAGCCGTTATTTTATGTTATTGCATATATTTTTGATAGGGCTTCAACCTCTGGCAGATGGTTTTTATCCTTGCCGTTTTTCCTTTGCTTGCATTTGTAATTGTTTGAAAGTACTATCGACGGTTTTTACCACAACCGTTATTTTATGTTATTGCATATATTTTTGGTAGTTGTGGCTTCAACCTCTGGCAGACGGTTTTTATCCTTGCCATTTTTTCTTTGCTTTGCTTTGCATTTGTAATTGTTTGAAAGTACTATCGACGGTTTTTACCTCAACCGTTATTTTATGTTATTGCATATACTTTTGGTAGTTGTGGCTTCAACCTCTGGCAGATGGTTTTTATCCTTGCCATTTTTCCTTTGCTTTGCATTTGTAATTGTTTCAAAGTACTATCGACGTTTTTTACCATAGCCGTTATTTTAGGTTATTGCATATATTTTTGATAGTTATGGCTTCAACTTCCGGCAGACGGTTTTTATCCATGCCATTTTTCCTTTGCTTTGCTTTGCATTTGTAATTGTTTGAAAGTACTATCGATGGTTTTTACCATAGCCATTATTTTATGTTATTGCATATATTTTTGGTAGTTGTGGCTTCAACCTCTGGCAGATGGTTTTTATCCATGCCATTTTTCCTTTGCTTTGCTTTGCATTTGTAATTGTTTGAAAGTACTATCAACGGTTTTCACCATAGCCGTTATTTTATGTTATTGCATATATTTTTGGTAGTTGTGGCTTCAACCTCTGGCAGATGGTTTTTATCCTTGCCGTTTTTCCTTTGCTTTGCATTGTAATTGTTTCAAAGTACTATCGACGGTTTTTACCATAGCCATTATTTTATGTTATTGCATATATTTTTGATAGTTATGGCTTCAACCTCCGGCAGACGGTTTTTATCCATGCCATTTTTCCTTTGCTTTGCTTTGCATTTGTAATTGTTTGAAAGTACTATCGACGGTTTTTATCATAGCCGTTAGTTTATGTTATTGCGTATATTGTTGGTTTGTAAACATTTTGTATTAATAAAGCATATATACATTTTTTTTTCTAAAATACTCTAACTTCTGTAATACATAGATGTAGAGTATTTTCATTTATTTAACTTGTACTTTTTGCAACTTGTGATATAAAATAAATGGTTAATAGGTGCCCCGTTACAATTGTAACTTTAATAAAACGGCGGGTTGATACTTAGTGGAATTAATGCACAAATTCTCGTATATATTGTACATAGGATAGAAGTGGGCACTGGGCGAAGTCTGGGAAGGGGGAGAGGGTGGTCAACCCACACCTGTCCTCAAAGCCAACACCTGCGCTAAGCCCTTTCCAGAGGCGAGACCCGCTCCCATTTCCAATCCAAGCCTATTCCAACCCCGGGCATGAAGCTTTAACCATCGCCGCACCCCTTCGCAAAGCGTTTCCCTCCGAACCCTCCTCACAACCCTGACGTCGTTGTCTTATACGTAAGTTTGGACTGGAAAAATAAAAACAACAAAAAAAAATTAATAATCTGAAGCACTACAAAAGAGATGAGTCACTCAAGTTTCGCACGAATCACTTATCTGTTTGGAAACAAGGATTTTTTTTTTTAACTTGCCTTGTATAAATGTAGAAACATCACTGTTTTTTTTGCACGTTTGCCTCTTTTTTTAAATTTTATATATCTTTATTTGTAATATATCGTGTACATATTTCGATATCAGGCAATAAAGATGCTTTATATTCACAAATTTGTATTATTTTTTTTATTTTATCATCACTAACACAAGTGTAATAAAAGCAAGATTCTGTAATAATCAACGGTCCATTCAACATGTGCTCCATACAGTTACAGCTTCAACGTTTTTTTCCCTTTTCCACTTTTTTCTATTTTTCGATAAATTTAACTATTTTACCATCCTTTCGACAGACGGAGTTGCACAAGGCCATGAAATAATGTTTATTTATTTTATTTATTTATTTTTTAATAAAATAACATCCGGAATTCCGGCGACCTCATAAATTGGTCATACTCATTTGTCGTGGCGTATCCTCCGAAACGGATGTCAGCGCAGGAAAAATCGTTCTGGTAGTAAAATAAAAAATAAAATATTCTGATATTCTTCTTCAGATCAAATATTCCGTTGAAATAAACAAAGACAAATCAATAAATTAAAATTTATTATTTAAAAAAAAATATTATCCGGCAAATCTGAATTTGTTGAACAGACATCCCAAAAGGAAGATTTTTGTTTTTAAAACACCCTAGAATAAAATATAAATTGATAACATAAAATCGCCAGTTACACGATGGTTTTTCTCCGGAGAGGCATAGTTTTGGAAGTGGTATGGAAGAGTGGGATCGGTCATAGTGGATTAATAATGCAGATGGCCAGTATCTTGGTCCACCCCTCTACTGTTGCTGATATTGATCCCATCTGGACTGGATGGTCAGAACCCTGGTGACGTCATTGTATCGACCCGGCTGACCAACATCCACGCGGACGTCAAACCCTCCAAGATAAGCATGAGCTTCAGCAACCAAAGCACCGCGACTTCACCTACTCATTTCGACAATAATAATGAAAGAATTTAAAAAAAATCTAATTTTTTCCTTACAACAGGCCAAAATCAATCAAATAAAAAATACTTTGCCTAAGCAAGGATAGAGGAAAACGAGTTACGTTTTATTTTGTAATAAAACACAAAAACAATAATACGCCTTTTCCTTAAGGTGTTCAAACTTCGTAGAATAAGCTTTAACGAAATATATAATTGTCGTAAATTTAAATCAGGTATTCGACAATTTTAATTCAAATCATATTTACAAAGTTGATGTGCATCCACTTTCGACTTGCATCACTTGCAGGCGATTATGAAGCCGATTCCGTTTTATGATGCCACTTATAATTTCGTAAATTAAAAATAAAATGTCCCACTCCTTATCCTGTTTTACACTTCTTCAATTCAAAAATTTACAACTCGTACGTTGAAAATGTTCACATTTCGGTCTGAAACGTAAAAAGAAAAATGTTGAAATTAATTTTAAACAATTCATAAAGTAGTGAAGGGATGTGATATAGATTAGTTAGGACTTGTAAAAACTAAAATTCCTATCGAATTATAAGTTATCATCATAATTACTAATGATCGTACTAATAATGTAATAATTAATTAATTTTCCAAATATGGCATTGTGTATGTCTCATTGTATTTATTTCTGTGCTATATATTCATATATATTAAAAATTAGAAAGCCTGGTGACTCAATATTTAATATTTAATTTAGTACGCCTAACTTATGCATTAAGATTATTTTATTCGACGAAATTTTATCAAAATGAAAATAAAAGGTTGAAAATTCGAATGAAAAATGTTGGTACTTATAACGAGAATTGTTATGGGAGTTTAATAAAAAAAAAATCTTACGAGACGAACTTAAGTTAATCTAGAGAGCAGTTTCGTTCAGTGCGTTGAGTTCTTTCCAAAAAGTACGTGCTTAGTAAGTTCTTAAGCCCGGCAAGGCAATCCGCGTAAGTAACTTGTTATGAATGTTATACCGATATCACTTATATCAATGTCCCATAAACCAAAACGCGAACACTACACAATTTTTTTCTCTAAAATCTAAACGACACAATTAAAAACACCAACCAATCCTTAGGCTTAATTTTTTGGGTATAACATAATGTAAATTTATGGTTAAAACTTTGGCTTTCAATGTTTTGCAAAATCTTTTCAGAAGTTATTTTATTGGTTGACGATAATGTAAAATACTCTTCTCGATATATTTTTTAAACAAAACGCTGCCCTGTTTTCATACAACCGTTAAAACCCTTTTTTATGTATTCATAATGGAGTCCAAAGAGTACTGCATAAATAAAATGGGAGAACGGTAATGAAAAATTAATAAATCGGAACGAAGAGAAGGGGATCTGGAAGTAGAGTTCTCTGCTAAAGAGATATACGAAGAGGTTGAAGTATTGGTCGATAGCTGTTTGAGAATAGGTCCAACACCCCGACGTCCCTTTGTCCCTCCACCTGACAGCGTTTTATCGATTTTATCCCCTTTATATTTTAGCTCTGACAGTGGTTTGCCGTTTGACGTTAATTTATTGCATTGCGCGATGGCTAACAAATCTTCATCGCTACTTGGAACCAGTAGCAATTTTGAAATTTCTTTGGATCGTTCTGCCTTCCTTTAAATTGTCCAATTTTTTTTTTGTCAGATTAAATTTTCCAAATGGTATATTGGTCGTAATTCAATTAAAGAACGTAGTTTACTGTGCGCTGAGCATTGAAATCGCCATAGGAATACTTGCCTCAAGTACGCAGCGTCCTAAGAGATTTGTTACGATCAATGCAGAAAAAAATTTTATTTGTGAAAAACAAACAAAAATGTTAGTTGTAAATTTGACTTGCTTGAAATTGTCAAAAAAAAAATGTCAAAAACATAACGTGAAGGGAAGGTCAAAAGTTACAAATAAGGGGGACGTGTTATATCAGTTTTGTTCCAATAATTAAACTGAACGCCATGATTAATACACAAATATCGCTTTTGCTTTCAGTAAATATAAATTATTTATTGTTGCGAGGGCTTTTAACATTAAAAAATATTTCGGCAAAAGACGCATTTCGTAGCCCCGCGGGGCGGTCAGAGGCGACAGTTGAACGCCCTGAGAATTATTTGCGATTGTAATTCCAATAAAACTAAAAAAAAGCCTTATTCGCTTATGCTGAATTTAAAGAAGGCAATAAGAAAACATTAAAAAAGTGATTGATTTCTGAAATAGAAGAAATATAAATATGAGAGTGAAGAAGAGCAGACGCGACTATCGTCAGCTAATGGAACAACTTGCTTCGTTGTTTTTTTATCTAGTTCCACCATCGTTATAAAAATTATTCTTGCGTACACGACATCATCAGTGGATATCAAACTGTGGAAAAATATAAATTACAGTGTTAGGAATACCGAAGAATCGAGAGTTAATAAAATTTATTTCGATTTTTTCTTCTTTTTTGGAGTGTGTAGATAATATTTAATATAACAATATACATGTACTTAACATAGAAATATAATTTGTGTTTTTTTAAAGAATTTTTTCAGTTTTTCAGTAGCGTTTTTTAGATTTTTTTGTTATATTTCAGAAATTTACATCCATCATCAGGATCTAGTTAATTTTTTGTTTTTTTAATTTAAAATCTTCATTGTAAACTGCTTTTTTCAAAATGACCATTTTGCATTGACAAGCCACTTGGCCAAGAATGGTAAAATTTTCTGATCCATGTTAAAAATTACAATAAAAATATGACTGTTTTACCCTAGCCGAGTGTATAAATGAATATGTGGTGAAATATTGAAAATATTGAACAAAAATCAACCCACACCAATATTATATGTCAATTTTATTTAATTTTCATATTTTATTAAAAATTACAATTATATTTCCAGTACCACTTTTCCTTCCGTTGTAATAAAATTCCATTAGTGTGTGGGCTTGGCTTCATGTCAGAATACATTTTTCTGTGTGCTAAATTTCTTTCACAATTAATATTGAATGAAAAAACTTTAAACATTTGTGCGATAGTAAAACTACACAATGCTTTTCTACTTTAAGAAATGCAGTAGAAATCAGATTAATCAACAGTGGGTTGAATGTCATTTGTTTTGTGCAGCTGTACATTACCCTGAAATCTTTATACCTATTTTCATAATTTTTTTGTTTATAAATAAATTATAAAATGTTCAAGAAATGAACGGTCGTAAATTTTACAATTTTCGATTGGTCTAAAAAAAAAATTTATTTCATTTTACAGATATGGCTATGGTTTGTGCCACTCAAATGGATTCAAGCGGAGATGTAGAGTTGACCAGTTTAAACTGGCTGCATAATCTCAACATCATGCCTCCTACCCTGCCGACACCACCCACATCACCTAAGCCACCTCCAAAGAAATCACCTACTCTCCGACTCACACTCAGTATGTTATTCTTTCAGCATATTGAATAACAATGTTAAATGTATTTTTTTTTTTTTTTTTTTTAAACAGACCCTGCAATGTTGGAAGAATACAAAACATGTGGTGACAAAAAACCTCCGTTTTCATATGCAACTCTCATATGCATGGCCATGAGAGCAAACCAGAACAAAATGACTCTTTCGGCAATATATTCATGGATCAAAGAAAACTTTCTGTATTATAGAAATGCTGATCCCAGCTGGCAGGTATATAATCATTAAATTAAAAAATGAACCATGCTGTGGATTTTTACATGTATTTAATTATATTTAAATGTAAACATAACATTAAGTTTAGTGGTCTGATTGAATACTTCTTTCAATTAATTATTCTTTGTAGTAAGGTCTTGGTTGAAATGAAAAAGTGAGGGTCATGACCCATGACCTTCGGTTTTTTCATTTCAACCAAGAACATTACTTACAAAGAATAATTAATTGAAAAACATAAAGCTTCAAGCAGGTTTAGCATCAGTTTGCTTTCTCTATAAAACAGTAGTCCATGTCATTATAGAAGCTTACTTTCAACTTTTCTCCTTAAAAATATTTTTTATATTTTTTAAATCAATTTTTAAATAATTTAGATTTAGATTAATTGAGAAATTGATATTAATTTCACTTCTAAATTAAAAACAATAAATACTTACACAAATGGAAATTATTGTTATGTTAATTTATTCATTTATACTCTGTGTAGTGTTATATATGTATAATCAGTAATAAACCCCAATAGTAATATCATTTTTATTACAGAATTCCATTAGGCATAACTTGAGCTTAAATAAATGTTTTCTCAAAGTCCCAAGAAGCAAAGATGAACCGGGCAAAGGAGGGTTTTGGAAATTTGATATTGATACCCTTGAGGAAGGCCAACGAAATAGAAAAAGACTAGGTAACCAAATAACATCCAATTTTAATTTAAATAAATTTATGTTAATTACACTACGATTAAAACAGATGCACAAAATATTTTATTTACAACATTTATTTTAGGGAGTAGTGGTCTAACAAATAGACGTGCAAAAAGTGGAAAACGCAAAACAGTAGATGTTCCACAAGAAGTATCAATGCAAGGCCCCAATGTTATAGTACAACAAATCCTTCCAGAATTGGTAAATCCAGAAGATGAATTAACAACTATGATCCTAGGAAATGTCGGCTGGGATGATACTCAACTTGAACTCTTGCATTCACTGCTTGACACTCTTTGAATGCAGAGATACAGATAAGCCAAATACACCAATGGATCTAAAAATGTAAAAATAATTGACAAGAAAGAAATTGGAGTACCACAAAACAGTTCTTCAAATCAACGAATTAAATCAATTCTTTGAATGTGTGCCTTTCCTACTGTATTGCAGAATTTATATTTTTTGCTCAACTGGTCACATTTCCGTCCACTAACAATGTGATAAACTTATAATCAATCCGTCCAATTAGAGATTTGTAATATTGAAATGCATATAATTGCATTATTGTTTGTGGATAGTTGCATTAGTTTGATATACATAGGCCAAAAGTTGTGATTTTTGTTTTATCATTTAATTAATAGAGTTACTTTAGTGTATATTTTTGATTGTTTTAAGGTTTATTGTACAATATGCAATCATTTCTCTTCTTGCACACATTTATGAATAAATATGGACAAGTGAGCATTGTGATTGTAATTAATAAAATATTAATTTTCTTACAACATGGCAAAATTTATGACTATGAAAAAATAAGAGTAACAATTCTAATCGCACAAATGGTTTGTGGTGAAGTTCACTTTTCTCTTAGCTTTTCTCTTCTAAGGAATTGGGCATTTATGTTTTTCAAAAAATATAAAACAATCAAGTGCTGTATCTAGATTATTTGCTAGTTAACTCTTCCTCTAGTCAAAAAAATAAAACAAACAAAATTAGTTTAAGAATGTTAGAATTCAACTTTTAACTAGGATTTGTATTATATGAACATTTTTTATTTCTCAGTTCTTTTAATGATGGTTTGTTATTTAATAAATTTACTGTGCTTGAATAAAATTGTATTTACTTTATGTTGACCCTGAGAAACCTTGTTTGTTTTTCAGCAGATCAATGTTCTCCGGCAGAGGCCCAATTTGAACATCTGAGGGCCATACTGTTGATGGTTTGAGTCAAGAGGTAATTCCCAGTGAACAAAAATGTTGGAGTTATTATAATACTTATACTATATTACATTAGTTATATTTTGTATTATGTTTTATGAGATAGTTAATAATAAACAAAATTTATTTGTATTTAATATGGTCATATGAAATAAAAGATTTTAATTTATTTAACAACAATTATTCAGAAATCGTGAGATGCGGTCTGGTCTGGTGTGATGTAGGTTTCAGAAAAACATTTTCTTTATCGTGCCAGCATTTCAATCTTTATTGAGATCATCTTCAGGGCTCAAAGTGTTTGTCTTCTGTGTAATTGTGCCATTATTGCATGTCGTGTTGAGAGTGCCCAAGAACTTATTATTTAACAACATTGACTTATTGTGACAAATTGAATACACTCTTGCCAGTCAACTGAGTTCAAGATCACGTCAAATTAATTTTAACTGCATTTGTTTGGTGTAAGAAATAAAACTAATTGTTTTTGACATTCCATTTTTCTTTTGCATCCTGATTAGTTATAAGTGTAGTCAGAAAACAAATAGATATGCAACCTGCTTTGCTCTCATGCTGGAACCGACTACATACTTTGTCCATAGATATGATGAGAATTCATTTAATACTTACTACACAATCTAAATTGGCTGTGATTTTCATCAGACCGTGAATATCTTGTGCGGGTATTTTATTTTTTGTTTTTCCTGTAAGATCAAGTAAATGTTGAATTCACTAATTTCGTGGTCTGCTTGACCAATTAATACATTACAATTAATTAAGGTTTTTAGTTGAGATGAAAAAAAAAGGTAATGGCACGAGCGGGATTCAAACCCACGATCTTCGGCTAGATCTTGAAAAATGGCAAAAAGGAGGGAAAACTCATAAGGTGGGGTTGAGATGGGGAGTTGATGTCCGAGTGGATAGAGGTCACGATAGCTCAAGTGGTTGAGCAGCGGCGTATCTAGCCGAAGATCGTGGGTTCGAATCCCGCTCATGCCATTAGCTTTTTTTCATCTCAACTAAAAAACTTAATTAATTGTAATAAATGTTGAACCACTCCCAAAAGCGCATCTTTGAATTTGGGGGCCCGGGTGCAAAAGTGAGATTTGAGTCCCTGGTCATATCATCATAAAAATATTAAATCGAAAGGAAATAATAAAACAACAGAATATATCTTATAGTAAGATAAGAGTTGGGTGGTTGCAAAGCCTGTTCTACCTCAACCTAAAATATCTATTGTGCCCCATTACACATGTTGGCAACAAAACCATCAAACATGCAAACATTTTCGCTTTTTGAGGGAAGTTTGGCTTTAGAAACCATTTTACAGATGCATTCTGGAAAAAGTTTTTGGTTATTTTGTAAAGGATTTAGTTTAATTATGTTGTATGTACACACCAGTCATCTTTAAGCTATTGATCAAGTTGCATGACAGCTGTTCGGGGGCAAAGAATTCTTAATTGAAAGTTTTTTATATTTTTGTTATTTTATGATCTTATTAGTTTGATTATGTTTTTTAACATTTTCTTTCAGTTGTTTTAAGATTTAAGTCTAAGAATAGAAACGTTTGAAGAAGGTTCATAAAAAATGTAGTTACCTGGAATGGTGAAAATAGTTTAAAATTGACTTATTTTATATTACAATATAATAAATCAGGAATATGAGTTTAAAAAATAAAAATTATTACTAAAACCTGGAATAAATAGTACAAGGGGATAAATGGCATTTATTGTGCTGTACGGTTGCATAACCAGTCTCTATTGTGATGCTACTACCGAATATGCTACAGCATTTTTTTTTTTTTAATGCATTTCAAAACAAACTTACTAATATGTTCATAGCAAAATAAATGGAAACCAAAATTCCCACCCCAGAAAAAGGTAACGTTTTTTCCCAGGCACAGTCAATGTGAACTGTCCACCAATTTATCCTTTTTTTAAACCCTAAAAATTATTCTTCAATTAAAATAATCTGTTGCTGAATCATAAAATGTGCATTTCAAATGTTTTTCATTAATAAAATTACATCAAATATTGTCAAATATAATCAAGACAGCCACAACCACCTTGTCGACGATCAACACATGCAGTTAGTTGCAGTGTAAAATCTGTCTAACAGCTAACTAAACTCATATTTCTACTGTGACATAATTTTTTTACAGAAGAATTTGCCTGTGATCAGAAGTAAAATTAAAACAGATCACTTTCAATTTCTCAGTAACACAATTCAAATGCCCTAGATTAATAATGAACATATTTCTAGTTATTTTAAACAGAAGTTCTTCTAGAAGTCATGACAGCTAAAGTAATAGAAGCGCCAGGGTACGTACTATCCAGAGGTCGTAGGTTTGGATCCTACTCATGACACTAATTTTTATAGATTAATAGTATTTTATAATTAATTATGGTTTTTAGTTGAGATAAAGTCAATGGCATGAGAGGGATTTGAACCAAGGATCTTCAGCTTGATACACCGCTGCTCTACCACTTGAGCTATCGTGACCTCGATCCACTCGGACACTAACTTCCCATCTCAACCTCACCTTTTTTTTTTTAGTTTTCCCTCCTTTTTGCCATTTTTCAAATTCGTGTAATCGGATTGGATTCTCGACGACAAATGAAATGGCCACGGAGAGCTTTAGTGAAGTATACTTAGGCGTTTCAAGCTGAAGATCGTGGGTTCGAATTTCTCTCGTGCCATTGACTTTTTTATCTCAACTAAAAACCTTAATTAATTATAATATATTAATTTGTCAAGCGGACCACGAAATTAGTGAATTTAATAATTTGGAATGAAGTATACTTCACTAAAGCTCTCCGTGGCCATTTCGTTTGTACACATTTGAAAAATAGCAAAAAGGAGGGAAAACTCAAAAAAAAAAAAAAAGTGAGGTTGCGATGGGAAGTTAGTGTCCGAGTGGATTGAGGTCACGATTGCTCAAGTGGTAGAGCAGCAGCCTATCAAGCCGAAGATCGTGGGTTCGAATCCCTCTCGTGCCATTGACTTTTTTATCTCAACTAAAAACCTTAATTAATTATATATTAATTGGTCAAGTGGACTACGAAATTAGGGAATTAATAGTATTATTTTTTGAAAAAGGGTATTTCAACTACAAGATTATATGAACTCTCGGGGATACTACTGTTAAAAAAAAAAAGTTGCTGGATGTGAACTCTTACCAGCGAAGAGCGCCATGTCAAGGCCTTAACCTACTAAGTACATTAAACACAATAGAGCAAATAAATGGTACGATGTGCATGATGATAGATCATAGATCTCTTTCATGTGGACATTTCCCCAAAACTTCATATACATATATTTATTAATTAAGACATATTAAATTTTCAAGGTATCAATCCTCTTCATTATTTGTGTAGTTTCAGAATAAATTTATTATTCTAATTACCTGATGATAAAATGGTAATATCAACCAAGATATAACTCTTATTGCCAAATAAATTGTATGAACTACATTTACAAATAGAAACATTACCTTCATTAAATATTCTCTTTCTAAACTTCATGAACATAATCTTAGCAAATTTCGATGGGTTAGTCTTCTCAGAAATAGTTTTAGGAAGAGTCCTTTCCATCATGAAACAAAATAATTAGGATTAATTAGAAAACAGGAATGCATTTGAGTAAAAAGGAAATATTGTAGAAACTAACATTTTATTTTACTTTATTCGGCCATCTCACTTAAATTAAACTCTTCATCGACAATTATTATTTTTTTTTTTTTATAAATGAAAAACCAACAAATAAATACAGTTATAAATATGATTTTAACACAAATAAAAGGAAAGGAAAGGAAGAAAAAAAAAAAGAGCAAAATAAATACTGCTGTGAAATATGCAATGGTGTGTTATGATCCAACATAGCATCTTAAACTAATTAAATGAGTATTAGTTATTAATACTTATCAATAATACAAACTTATCATTTACTAACTAACTCAATAATAAAAAGAACAACATTGGAGTAAGCAATATATATAAAATTCTAATTAAATATATATATTTTCTTACACCATTAACATATGAAAATACAAAAATCTACAATATAATAAACTTGGCTTTGTAGAAAGCTAAGAACAAACATAATAGTTTGGATCGCTAGCTCTGTATATTCTAACACTAATTAAGAACCCAGGAAATTTCAAGAAATAAATTTTGAAATAATATAGTATTTTTAATAATATAGTATGTCCCAAAATAATACAGAAACGCCACGTGAAAAATGTCAACTATACTTTATAATTCTCAAATTCTAATCTACATTACAAAAATATGAAGAAAAAGAATATTATTTGATTTCATATGGTGATATATGTATATATCAAAATATGTGAGGATAAACTCATGGAATTAGAAATCCTTAACAATTATTTTCATGATATTCATAAACAGGCCAGTTTATTAATTTACTTTTACGTTAAGTTTATAAATAAATAATATTTTACGAAATCCATGGGACAGATTTTAAACTTAAATTCCAAGTTAGATTTTTTATGGTCAATCACTTTATTTTGTTGTCATCTTAACCAGCCTGTACTTTTAATAACAGTATACTTTCTAGTTGTTATAGAAATCTAAAAATGAGTATTCCATATTAGCTGAGCATTTAGAGAGCATATTAGATCTATCCCTTTTTGTTCAACATAGCAAATTTATGTTAAAGAGAGCTTTTGTCATGTTAATACTTTATATTGTTCCCCAGCAATGTCATAAAACTAGAAATATAAAATCACAATAAAGAATCACTTTTTAAACTGATCTGTAGGACAACAAATTAAAAGGATTTTAAATCAGAAGTTATCTTCAAATTGATATAAGATAAAAAAAGATTTTATTATTTTGTAATAATAAAAAATATATACATATAGTACATATGTATATAAAATAAAGGGAATAAAATAAATGCATAATTACTAAAGTTAAGTTAGTTTGTATCCAATACTAAAATTACAAATGCCTTAAGTGTAACACATTATCAAACAGAAAAGTTCATGAACAAGAATTAACACATAAAAACAGAATTTGCTTCTGCATCTTCCATATTAAACCAAAGAAAAATATGTAACATGTAAAAAAAATCTTGACACCTAATCATCGATCTTAAAATAATAAAAGAAATAATTATTTGTTACAATACAAGCAGAAAGCGTTAATTTATATAAAATGTAAAAAAGATAGTACTCATTTTTATTAGAGCTATTTATGAGATGTTCAATCTAAGTGAGCTATTTTTGGTTTATTGCCAAGAAAGTTACCCGAATCAAACACTTATTAAAATGTAACTTTGCATACTAAAAATATTTTTATTTTTTTATATACACCAATATAGGCACATAAGGGTTGACTTTCTATTCTATTTCTTAAGTAAAAATGTCATGTGCTATTAGTTTTGTTTAGCATTTTTTACAAACTAGCGAAATTGCTTACACGACGGACAATGTACAAATGAATACAAAAAATCTAAGTGCATTGAGGGAGCTGTAGAGTTATAAACACACAAAAAAAACCCTATTATAGTTTCCATCTATATAACTGACAATCTCACATGTCAAATACAATTGAAGTCTGTAGAGTAAAAAGTGATAAAAATCATTTTATTTACAACAAAATATTGTCAAACTAAATGTCTGATAAAAATGTAAAAAGTTAGTTAAAATCACTAAATAAAGGACTTGTTCAATGTACAACTTTACAGCATTCTTGATACAACTCCAAAGGTAAAATAAAACATGTATATAACTAAATCGCTTAATAAAATGTTCCATTTTAATTAACTAAATTACTTTTTTTTAAACTTTGTTACTACTTTTTCTTATTCTTAACGTCAAACAATATTAAGTATTTAAAATTGTTTTTTAAAAAGTTGAGGCCATATGCAAATATTATTTTATGTACTTATGTATTCAAATTATAAAACAATTATTAACAACACTTTATAACGGAAGTATGTAAAATATTCATTAAATAAGCTTCAACTTTTTTTTATGTACAAACAAAACAACATCCTCACAAATTATTTTCTTATTTCAATACCAACAATTTGTACAAATTTAATGAAAAAATAGCATCTGTATTAGAAAATTTTTTTTCTTTTTAAATACAACTATACATAAAATTGAAACATGCATTGCATATTGTTTGGGCTTTTTTTAAAATATTTTCTTGGCTAAAGCAGCAGATTTTATAAAAATATAACAAAGGACACTTTTTAATATATTACTCAATTTAGTTTGATGTGAAATCTATCTCTAATAAGTGCACCTGATTATTGTGTTTCCTGAGATTCTACTTTGTAAACATGAGATTCGTCTAGATTAAGCAAGAGGGAAATATTTTAAAAAGTGTCATTTTTGTCCGTTGTTTTTGTTTGCAATTAACAACAGTGAATTCTAAGGCTGCAAAATTTATGAAAAGAACGAATTTAAGACTATCATTTTTTTTTTAATTATGTGAACTTTGATTATAATATTTACAAAACTAAACGATAACACAACCAGATTATTGGACGAAAGAATTTTCATTTAGAGCAAAATAAATGCAAAAAATATTTTCATATTTTGTATTAAAAATAAACTTATTGAACTGAGATTCTAATCTACGTAAGCATTACAAAATAAACTGGAATCTTATACCACAATTCAACAGCTTATTTATTACATTTTACAGTACATTTTTTTACATTATTGCTTAAAGTTAGATAAATGGTATTTAAAACTCATCTGCAATGATTTTTCACAACGAAAGACAAGTTGTTATGATTTTAAGAAAAACCTATACCAAGTGTATAAAAAATGTAAAAAAAAAGATAAATGTAGACAATATAGTTTTGTATAATTGCAGATCTTTCATTTGTATAAACCTATAGTTTTAACAATTTACACAGCCCAAGTTTAAAACAACCCCCAAGTGAGATAATGGTTAAAAGGAAGACAAGATGACAGTTAAGAGTCATTATTATTAACGCCCCTTTCATTTAACTGAGCATAGTACAAAAATTAAATAAAATATAAAAACTCAATTTTATCTGTTGTACGAACACAAGAATTTTTTTTCAATGCATGTGTGAATATGTATCTAAGAGAATGTAAATCAAATCTAATGGATGTCCTGAGCTTTGAACATATATTATGGTTTAAAATACTCAGTCAAGTTGAAAAAGGATCAATGTGAGCCTGCAACAAGATTAAGAGGTTTATCTTGGTTAGGCGAAGTAACATGTTGTTGTATTGCTGCCATCATAAACTGTGGCTGTATCTGACGACGTAGAGCAGCTAACATATCATCACACTCCTCACTTCCTGAATTTCCCCCACTACTGGGAAATTCTGTGGGTGACTCTAAAGGAAAAAAAAATTAAAATAAAGAGTTTACTAGAGGAAGTGTTGGGAAACAATTATGTTCCTCATATTCCAGCTTCTCCTTAGTTCAATTCATGTTTATCATCTTGATTCATTAACTTCTTCATCCAAAGAAATTATCAAGAAAACATTACCAAATGAATATGGGTCAAAATATAGCTTTTTGTATTTAATTATACAGTAAAAATTATCCCTAAAAACCCTAAATGGGGAAGGGTGCGCTTTTCTAGACATGCTTAATTTTTATGTGGAAAACTCAATTCTTACATTGTTTCATCTTGAAAACACAAAACCTATTAATCAAAATAAGTATCCTAAAATTATGAAAAAAGTTAATTTTTTAAAATAAAAATATGCTGATTTATTATAAATATTGAGAAAAAAATGGATAATATTAATCAAGCAATTAAACATGTTACAATAAAGATATAACATGTGATAATATTACCAGGTGTGCATAAAGGTTTTTCTTTGTGCAAAATTAACTTTACTTCAAATACAGATTAATATAAAATGTATAGACAACCAAATGAATTAGCTGTATTTTGACAAAAATTTTAACCAACCAGATTGTATCATAATAATAGATAAGAACTTACACTTATATTAAATAATATTTAAATATTAGTATCTACAAATATACAAACTCACTTCTACTTTTTGACTGGGGTTTATCGGGTTTGGGCCTCCGACGCCTTGTGTGTATTGTATCCCTCCTCATCGTTGCGGGTCTATTGATATTGTGTAACTTGTAGTAAAGACCACAAGCGTTACAAACCATTTCACCATTTGGATTTCTTCGCCATATTGTCGTAGTTCTTGTTCCACAATTACTACAAGCGACTTGTACTCTTTTTGGTACCTGAAAAAAATCGATAATTCAATTGTCCAAATCACAAACTTGCAAATATATTTTTAAACGTTGAGACAAAAAGGTAAATAATTACCCTATTATTTCTTAAAATGTTGTCAACAGAGCCACACCAAGTGTTATTCGGTTCGTCTCCTGAGTCATGTTCGTTAGTGTCTAGATCACTGCCAGTGTAATTTGCAGCTTCTAGAAGTCGGGAAATAGCTTCTGCAGATCTGTAAAGCCTTTGTTCTGGTGGCTTAGTCGTGACGACCGGTGTTTGATTCAAGTAGGGTACTTCTGTAGATCTTAAAGGACAGCTCTGCTTCCGTCTTCCAGCGTTCGTGGTCCTTGACTCACCACTTGCACTTACTTCTAAACTCTAATGACAAAATTAAAAACAAGAATTGTAATAGAAATAAATGTTGGAGTGAGTATGTTGTTCAATCTTTATAAAAAAAATAGCTCCTACTGACAGTTAGTAACTATCTGTTCAAAGAATTCATAGATAATGTTGTATATCAATATATTACACACAAACAAAATTTAAAATCACTCACAGGAGTAGTCGTCTGAATATTTGTCCTGTTTGTCAAGACTTCGTTTGGAGAAGATGCTGGAGTTGGCCATCTCACTTCTTCTCTCATCAAAATCACTGGTCTCCCTGAATGTACTTGAGGCGTTGACATCAACGACCTCAGTAAACTGTTGGCATCACTCCTATAAAAATAAAACAAATGATAAAAAAAAACTATTTTACAAATTTAATTTTGCAATATTTACATACATTCGATTGCTATTGATTTCAACAACATGCCTAAGGAACTCTTGGTGTCTCCTAGTCGGAGATTCTGGCTCGGATATTTGTGTCTGCGGTTCGAGAACAGATGGATCTTCGTCTGTTTTTATAAATAGCCTATCACAGTCAGAATCTTCTTCACCGTTAACCTCTTCATGGACTGTCGAGACCACACATTCCTCTTTGACAACCTCGAGATCTTCGACATTCTGTTGAGTTTGGTAATAAACATTTCGGAGATCCTCCTGAAATGATCACAGGGCAACATCAAACATCAATTTACACAGGATAACATCAACAAAAAGATAAATGCTTTACATCAGCGTCGTCAGGTATCTCGTTCGGATTTTCGAGATATTGCCGAAGTGCAACATCCGATTTCGCAGCGATTTCTCTGAAGGTGTGCAAGGTGTCAAGTTTGACAACACACACCTCACACAGGAGATTTGGCAATTCATCATCTTCAGATACCTAATAACAAAATATTTTAGCAATATTGTCAGTACGGTAAACAAGAAAATGTTACGCAAAAACAAAATAGTTACAAAGAGAAAATGATCAATTTTGATAGAACCTTACATAAAGTGAACATAGATAGAGAACTATGGAAGAAAGGTGGTCCCAAGTTTTAAGAAAGGGGCCTAATATGGTACACAGATGGATCGAAGATGGAACAGGGAATATGTTTAGGGGTAAAAAGGCCGAACTACAACTAGCGATGACTAAGCCCAACAATTTTCCACAGTGAAGTCCATGCAATACAACTTTGTATACAGGAGTTAATAAAATTATGAAAGGTGCACAGATATACATAATCTTAGACAGTCAAGCAGCCTTAAGGCACTAAATGTGTTTGCTTTCAATTCAATCTTATCTGCGAGTGCCTAAATTGCCTAATGACTAGGAAAGCAGAATAAGATTACCTTACAGTGGGTTTCCAGACATGAAGGTATAGAAGGAAATGAACTAGCTGACCAACTAACCAAAAAAGGGGGCAGATAAAGAAAGAAAAACTAAAACACAGAACAAACACACCAGGTATGAGGCAAGCTAAGAAATTTATAAATCTCTCAAAAAGGAAGTTAAGTCTTATAAGAAAAATGCACATTCGAAGTTATAGCTATAGGGGTTCGGGTTGCAGTGGAAGAAAGGATTGTCATAACTCTCTATCAAACTCCCCCCCACACAAAAAAAAAAAAAAAAAGCAAAACAAGTAATAAAGACAAACATATTGGTAATTATGATAGTTTTTTCCTTATGCATATTAAGGTATAGCCATTTATTCATTTGTTAGTTAATTATAGATTTAATTTTTTTTTTAATTTTATTTAATTTATGCTTGCAGAAAAATGAAAAGTGTGAAAGTAGACATCTAATCTGCTGCTGCTAAGCAAAGAATGCCGCTCAACATCACATGCCTCTCTTTCAGAAACCTGCAGCACTCAGATACACTTTATGGGTCGTGTCATCTCTGACCTCACAGGATACAAAATTTATTTTAAATGGATACAACCCACAGATATAATGTCCAGTCCTCAGATGCGTAATCATTGAGCAGAAATATTTGCTTTTGCCACTTCCTATATGATCTCCCACCATGGCCGTGGAGACAGATTGTAGACTTAAAATTTTTTCCCTGGAAGGAATTGTGGATATTGGATCTGGTTAGCGTAAAATTATTAGCTGGCGCTCCTGCAACTGCTTTTTGCTATTTGATCCACTATTTCATTGCCCTTTACTCCAGAGTGACTCCTAACCAAAGAAATATATTTCTCTTTGTTTTTAAGTTCCAAGTTGTAGATTTTTGTAGAGGAATTAAATGATCGAAATAGTTTGAATGAAATAATTAATATATAAACAGACAGAAATAATTGCACTTCATAGGACAGTGTTTGGTCCATAATACGATCATAACATTATGATTGTGGTAATAAAATTAAAATATAAATAAAATTGTAAATCCCAGGCCCTGAAGATGATCTCAATAAAAGATCGAAACGTTGGCACGAAAAAGAAAATGTTTTTCTGAAACCTACATCACGCCCGACCGCATCTCACGATATCTGAATAACAATAAAATAAAAGCTCATATTATCTTTCAATGAAAATTTATTATTTACATTGAAAACAATTATAAGAAAGCGCAAGGAGGTGTACCATCATGATAAGTTAAGTTTAATTTGATAGTAGAGCTTTCGCGCCATGTATAAGTTTGAAAGTAAATAAATAAATAAACAGAGAACGGGAATTTTAAGAAGAATATCGTTATCACAGCTTAGGTGGGCCAGCGCCGTACTGTGTCTGTATCGTGAGGACCGATTAGTTATCACAATTTTCAAGGAGGAAAGTTATCTCGAAATTTAATACAGTTATCAGAAAACTTTTGGCCTTTTTATCGAAAGTAAAGATTCAAAGAGGGCAAGAGGATGAAAAAGGTTCCCATTCCATGGGAAAATCCGCGTAGGCCAGCCAGTACGAATCGGGGGATTCGGGACAATAATCTCAGTAGTACAGTTAAGCAAGGGGGGGCTTCCCTTGATTGTAAAATCCCTTTCAGGTACAAAAGCCCTTCTACCTGCTTTCGGACGCCTTTTGTGGATTAAAATTTTGGCGAGAGGCGGACGCTCTACAAATGATAACAGTTATACCATACCTGGAGTCTTAAAAACGGGTTAAAATGCACCCACAAATCTAAAAAAAAATTTGTTTTTAATATTTTTATTTTTGTATTTTTAACAAACCCGATTAACGGACGGTGTGTGATTTTGGCTAGTTCAGCCGATAGAAAGTAGATACATGTGTCGCGATAAACAAATTGTGAATTACACCTGAAACCGAAACGGAATTACAGTGCAGTCAAAGGATTTCGACTAAAAAATAACAATTTTTCAAAATGGTACATAAAATAGAGCGTAAGAAGGATGCGCGTGTCCTTGACTGCCCGTATACCAGGTAAACTCTTATCAATCCATCTTATCTGAGACCATCTTATATGTAGGCCAAGGCGTTGATAAATAGTTATATTAATTTGAATCAGAGCTGAAAAAATAAATAAATAAACCGTTTAGAAACAATAGACACTCACCGATATTGGAAGACATGTCGTTATTTTCTGTTGGAAGTTGCGGCGTGTTCCCTCATCATCGAAAATAGACAACTTCGCTCCATCGCGTGATAAACAAAGGCGACAGAGTTCGTAAAACTTCGACGGTATACTACACATTATTTTAATCTCAATGGAAACGAGAAAGGACACAATTTCGAAGTTGGAGTATATTCCATCTAAAATCGGCTATCACGATCTCTACGCTTATTCCGTTGGCTAAACAACAAATGATAACTCGAGGTTGTTTCTATCACAGCTCATGGTTTGGAGAGCAACACGGCTTTGCCCCCACCCCGACTCGCTATTGCATTCCACTCTTGCTTGTGAGAAAGGTCACCCCGACATCGGTGCCTTCTTGAGCGACAAATATCATATTTGACTTTATCTATTTACAAATGAACAATTATTCTCATAAAAACACATTTATAAGACATGAATCGCTTTTATTTTTATTTTTCTAAATAGTTTTCTCATTTTTGGAAAGCATAGATTAACAGAATTTGAGTTGATACAGTTTCCGCCTAACTCAGAGGATATCGTCTTTTTAAAAATAGGGGTTTGCATTCATGTGATTTTTTGTTCTGTTTTCTAAGCATCTCTCCCAACCATAAAACATAAATCACATTTAATATAATTAACAAAAAAAAATGCAAAAGTATCTTGCTAATAGTAAAGTCAATTATTTAAATTAATATTTATTAGAACAAATTTAAAATAATTTTTTAATATTAATCTACTTCAAATTAAATATTCCTTATTGATCACATAATATTCCTTACCACCAATTCATTTTTCTTCATTACAAACATTTTGGGTTTATTTATGCATCATTTTATTTTCATTTATTTATTTTAAATGAGCAAATAGGACTTTATGCCCCCTTACAGTACTTATATTAGAAATAAATTAAGTTTTCTAAACATAATAAAATAATAATACATAATATACAAAACAATAATGACAGTCAATTACATTTAGTGATCCGAATGACTTATTTCAAGTAATTAATCTTTTTACGTAAGGTCTTGGCTGAAATGAAAAAGATTACTAGTTGACGTTGATCAACCTATGTAGTTTAAAGTGATGTATTGGATCTTCTTATGATTCTTCCTTCTTGAAGGTGGGATAATAGGTCATGTGTTAATCACTAGATCGGACAAAGGAAATAAGACGGTCCTCATAGACAATAAAGAGTATAAAGACAAAATGGAAATACTATTAGGTGATACAAATACTTACATTTTGTCTAGAAAAGATATCACGCCTATTATTCAAAAGAAAAACAATATACTAATTGCTAATTTATTAAAGGACGGGCTTGTGTCCCCTTAACAGGGATATCACTTAAAATGCCACAAGGGGGCTGCGCCAAGAGCATACGGTTTGCCAAAAATTCATAAACAAAACAACCCACTTAGGCCCATTGTTAGCTGTATAGGCTCTCCCGCCTACAAGTTGTCAAAATTTCTGGTAAAAACCCTGAACCATTTTAGAAAATTTAATTCCTATAACATATCTAACTATGACCTATTATCCTACCTTCAAGAAGGAAGAATCATAAGATTAACTGTTGAGGTCAAAATATAAGAAAATATTGGATCTTCTTGAGATCATTATAGATGAATAAAGAACATCACTATTGGGTTTCACCAAGCTTTCGGCGAATGTTCCGCCATCATCAGGGCCTAATTTATTTAAAAAAACAAAATTTACATGAACAGAGTTACAAAACAATTTTATATAAATACATTACAAAAATACAAATACATACTTAACCCAGTTGTTAGGAAAATTCAATTTATTGCACATGTTTTGTAACATGAACACTTTTTCCAAAAGTAGTCGTCTCTCCAAGTTCAACTCTCTGCCCAGGATCTCAGGGGAGTCCAACTTGAAGAAATTACCACTTTCCGTCGCATGTGTTGCCAATCCCGTGGTTTTCTTACTATTTATACAATCCAGTCTATGTTGGTTCATTCTTATTTCTACTTTTTGTTTTGTTTGCCCAACATACTGGATATGGCAACCCGCACATGACAACTTGTAAATCACACTCGACTGTGAGCTTATTTGTTCCTTCGCCTTTAGGTTTGAATGCAAACATCTAAGGTTATTTTTAAATTTATACATGATACCAATATTCCCCATTTTATCTTTAAACAATTTCTTGGTTTTCAGGGATACATTAGGAACATATGTGATTGATCTAAATGAAATTGGTTTATCAATTCCCTCCATCATGACGTTGGGGATAATGTTATCCATTAGAGCAGTACTTTGAACATATTTTTCTTTAAATTCATAATGAGCCTACTTGCCAGTGCCACCAGGTAGTGGTTTGTTTTTAGCATTTTTAGGACCTTGGCTACATTTTGTTCCAGATATTTTGAGTCGCTCAAGCCCAAGGCTCGGTTTATCAAATTTCTGGCACAGTTCACCTTTAGAGAGAAAGAATGGGAAGAGTTGAAATCCAGGAACCTACAAAGCTAGTGGGCTTTCTGTACCAATTGATCGTTAATCTGTAATCATTTCTTTCAATGACCAAATCCAAGTATGGAAGTTTACCATCGTTCTCCTCCTCCACTGTAAACTTTAGGAGTTTAACAGTCTAAGCATTTCTTGGTATAATGCTCTTGGTATAAAGGTCATCAACATATTTTAATAATAATTTAATTTCAAACGGCAATTGTAGAGGTTTTTTTTTTCTTAGTATATAGATTCATTTTTCACCTTCACTTAAAAAAAAAAACATTGCAATAAATTGAATTTTCCCAACAACTGGGTTAAGTATGTATTTGTATTTTTGTAATGTATTTATATAAAATTGTTATGTAACTGTTCATGTAAATTTTGTTTTTTAAATAAATTAGGCCCTGATGATGGCGGAACATTCGCCGAAAGCTTGGTGAAACCCAATAGTGATGTTCTTTATTCACCTGTAATGACCTCAAGAAGATCCAATACAATATCAGTTTGAAAAAGATTAATTAATTGAAATAAATAATGACAATAATATATTTTTAAATATTAATTATTTATAATCGAATGATGAAACCACATTATTATTTTGTTTTATTACAAAAAAAAAAAAAAAAAAAAACCCAACTGACACTATACACACTAGCATTCCTTGTCATAAGTTACTGGAGATAATTTGGATATATCTTTTAAAACATTAATGGAATGATGAAACAACATTATGAAAGAAAAGAAAAAAAAAAAAAAAAAAAAAAGGAAACGGGAAAAATAAAAGAAAGAGGGAAGAAAAGGAGATGATTCATGCCATTTTTAAAAACTCGATATCATGGACCTGAAAAAGCCAGTGAGGAAGCAGAACGTACTTCCCAAGGAAGCAAATTCCATTTTTTTTTTTTTTTCAATGGATACCAGGAACTGGAGAGTTCCCTCCTGAGCACTGCAGCTGAGCTGTACAGCTTATTGTACTTTATCCCTGGCTCCATTTTTTTTTGTTTTTTTTTGGGGGGGGGGGCTCACAACACAAATGTGAACTTGATTGCCAGTGTTCTTCCATCGAAGAAACCCATTTTTGAAGGGGGTTGGGACCAAATTCAGGGTCGCTGAGATCTGATCCTGCTCCTTCCATTGATGAGTGCCGTGTCAATTTCTTTCAATTGCGGCCACCGGTCCCCTTAGGCATCAGAAAAAGTCCAGGGGCGACAGCGGGGATCGAACCCACGACAGCGGGATCTACTAGCTGAGAGTTTGACGCCTTAACCGCTCAGCTACCGCGGCCCCCCAGGCAATTCCATAGTCTTGTCCCTGAAATTTTGAAGGATAAGGCTAAAAGTTTAGAAGAGTTTCCTTTTTATGTAAGGTCTTGGTTGAGACGAAGAAGTTAGTGTCACGAGCGGGATTCGAACCCACGACCTTCAGCTCAATATGCCACTGCTCTAATTACTTGAGCTATCGTAACTTCATTAGAAGTGCTTAGAGCTTAAGCTCAAGTGGTTAGAGCAGCAGCGTATTGAACCAAAGAATAGTAGCAGTAGAAGAAAAATCAAAAAGATGATTCCAAATAAGCAAATTATGATTTTATTAATAAATAATAAAATCGATTGTCCATTATTACTGTCTTACCTAAATTTCCCATGTCCACTCAATAATCATTTTCTTCCTACCTCACATTCTTCATGATTCTGTATCAACCAGCTCCAGGATATATTTATTACCTTTATCCAGAAGTTTACACAAATGGATATACTCAATTAATTTACACAATTTTTTCGAAATGAAAGCTTATAATATTTTGCAAAATTAATTTCCTTGTGAAAAAAACAAACAAACATGTATATCAACAATAACAGGATGATAGAGTACAAAAAATGATACTAATCTTGTGAACACGAAAACTGGCGGATAAATCAATTTTAAAAAACCATTTATTGTCTGGACAATAACACAAGGTTAAAAAATAATGAAAAATTCTATAATTGAGCTCTTTCCATACCAGGAACATCTAATTTCATGCTACACCTTCTCTTGAACCAATGTCAATCTACTAATTCATATTCCACAAAGGAAATGACCGTAGTTGAAAAGGACGGTTCTGCTCACAGACTGTAAAAGAGGAAATGCCATTTTCTGACTTACCCTTTTTTTCGGTAACAATTAAGTACATTTTAACTGTGTAGAATATCTAGATAGGTCGGTGGATTAGATCGGCAGAATATCTCTTGGGTATAAACTGTCAATAAGCGTCCGTCCCATGGAGGACCTGTCTAACAGATAAAGAGTAGGCCATACAGGGTTGACACACGGACTTTTGGGCCAAAGCCCACTTATGTGTCCAACATGCAGACAAAATTTGCTCAATGTGTGCGTTTAATAGCATTCCTTAGTTTCATATATAGAGCGTGTTGAACTGCTATTTAATATGGAAATGGCGTATGAGCACAGAGGTGAGCATCTACCATCTAGGTCACCTGTTCAGATTCTTGGAAGAAACAAGGTTGTTTTATTGCATATAGTACTGATAGAGAGTGTGTATTTATTAGTGTGAATGTGCAGTGTAAGAGGGCCAATGACAGAATTGTGTACCGAATTGAGGATCAAGTTATATAAATGTAACGGAGGAATACGAGTACCCTTACTACGCTGACGGAATGTTATGTAAATAAGAAAGGTTGTTTGTAAGTGTGATTGGGTTTCGATTTAGGAAATAATTAAGTAAATGTCCTGGCTGTTGATAGGAAAAAACCTCAGTGGCTGGAAGGATAAGGAGGAGGTCCGACCCCGGACTGCCAAAAACCCGGGGTGGGTGATTCTCGAGGCATGTACATATCTGGCAATCTTACTCATATTCTATCATATTACAGTAACAAAATATAAAACCTTATTGGCTTCTTAAAATTGACCAACCCCCCTTTTTTTTTTTTTTTTACCACAGGGTGAACCTGTTGTTTGGTTGTTCTTTACTACCCTGATCTAATTATCTTTGACCTGTCAAGCCAGAAGTGGTCAAAAGACAAAGTTCCACCATTCTTACAATATCCCACTTTATTTGATTTTATATTTTGCACGGTAACATCAAGGAAAGAAGAGGTACACAATTATGCCCAATTCTATTAAAACATAACCTACACACGAAAGTACATCTTGCAACCCCACGATTAAATTTCAGGAATAACAATAATAAAATAAATTTAGAACAAAATTTAACATATATATATTATACATTTCCTATATACAATACATATTAAGGTATAAACGAGACTTTTGAATTGATATCACAGATTTATCAGTACACCCGACATGATAACAATAATACACACAAGGTTATGGTGAACGTAACACTGAAATGATATAAAAATATACCAAATTATGAACTTATAAACTATTATTTAAAGATGCGCAATTTTATTTTTCTCGTATTTACAAACATGGATTGCCAAATTGGCAGTACCTTATGCAATAAAAACATAATTGAGAATTACCGTTAACTCTATTCGATTGCGCATTTCCCAACATTAACTTTTTACCCTTAAAAAAAATAATAAAATAAAATAACAAACTAACTTAAAGTCAATTTACTTTTCAAGTCGTCTAAAAAAATCACAGAAAACTGAATATCTTGTATTCTAGGTAAATGCAAAAGAGCAACTTTGAGAAACTCCAAAATTTTTAACAGCCGCCTTTGCTTTTGTCTGAGGTGATACTTGCAATCATGTGACGTACTGTACTTCAACTTAATAAGTGTAGATCTGTATTGAGCCAATTTTTGTGATACACCGTCTATAAGACTTGTACGGACGTCTTGAATGCACATCTCGGCCTCCTGTGAAACATACTGAAAAATAAAGACAAACACCTATGTGTATATATATATTTATTAAACAATACAAAATCAAATAGTTCTATTTATTCTTATATTTACTATTACCGATTATAAACTAAATTATATTTCAATAGGAAGACTTACAGGATTGTTATTCCAACGAGAACATAAAGCGAGCATTATTGAAATCCGTTCATGGATTTTCAAATTTGACAAAATGAAACTCGACAGACTATGTAAATTTAATGGAGAAGACGTTGGAAATAATCGGCTGTCTGATTTTCTGAAGAAAAAAAAATGTTTTTATTAATAAACAAATATCTACTTTCTATTATAGGTAAAACTAGTACCAAAAAAAAAAAAGAAAAAAATGACAAAATACAGAAATTAAAAGTTGATAATCATAACTAAAAATAAAATAAAAAATAATGAACAGGTGTATGGACATATTTTATGGTTTATGTCCAACTGTATGTAGTTTATGGGAATTACAACAAACTTATTTCAATGAAAATCAAGTTGAACAAGATCAGAAATTCATGAGGGAAAAAAGAAAAAAATTATGATGGTTTGAAAGAAAAACAAACACTGATAAATCGTATTACAAATCGTAAGTGTTTAATTAATATTACAATAAAAATACATACCATTTGAAATAAACAACAAAATACGAGTGTCTGGTTTTTTGTCATTGAGTATATTTGGTATGTTTTGGTAGTTTTAAGAATTAATTATAATGTAATGTTGCATGCAAATAGAGCTTTACTTCACATAATGATAAACAGTTGAACATGACAAAATTAAAATTTATTTCAAGATAAATGTACATGCTGCTTTCAATCAATTTTAAATAAACTTGGCACAAGTCAGATTTTTTTAAATATACATTTACAAAATTACCTTTTCGATGGAAAGAACAGAATACTAGGATAAGAATGCATCGTGAATTCCCATGGCAAGTCATTTAGTTCACCATCAATCCTGGCAAATGTTATATCTCTTATATTTCTCAGCAAGTAGGCAATAGTGAGAAAGAGATTAGAAATTCCAAGACAAAATGAACAATATGGTGAATGAAAAAGTACTACAACATTCTAAATAAATAAATAATTATTAAACTGTGTTTTTTTAAAGATATGTAATTACATATGTACAATACAAATATACCTGCGTACTATTCAAAACTACATCGCTGAAAGAAAGTGTATTTAATTCCATTATTGAAACAGAAGTGACATCTTTTTGGTGATCTTTCACACTGTTATGAAAATTAACAGAATCTTTCATAGAACGCAATCCTTTTTCTCTTTCACCCGACAAGAACCTACTTAACATGTTCGCGACACTGGTTTCAGTTACTTCATTACTATTGATTTTAAGAACTTCCTGTTGGAATAAAATATGTCATTAGCTTAACATGCATTAATATTTCAACAATGATTCACCTCATCATCAAAAATCACAACGGAGGTTCGATGTCTCATTTTCTTTAGTTGAATTCCTAATCCGTTTGCAAGATGGGAATACTCATGGCTGTCCAATGCGATAAATGAAAATGAGGAATTAATTTTACATGAACTTAAAGTCTCTAAGGGATTTTTTAAAAATTTAGGCACTAAAGGTAACGGAGTCCTCTCTAACAAAGTACACTTTTCTACTTTTGCGGCCTCCATTAATTGTTCTGGTGCCCCATATAGTGTCCATTTTTTCAACCTGGAAATATATAACTTAATTATACATGGATTATTCCAGGGATGTATTAATTCAGATATCGAACATGCTTCAACAATGCCCTTTGGCTGGTAAGGGTGTTAAAGTATATACAACATCTACATCTATCGTTAATTTATTTTTGAAACATTCTAGTGCTCATGATGTGACTACTTTGCCTGCACCCACAGAATTTTTTTAGACAAATTTTTAAAAATGTTGACATATATTTTTAGGCCTTTGGGTTGAAAGTGGTTCTAAATAGAATTAGTCTTCTGACATTTCGGCATCCTCAAATAATGATTTTATTTATTAAAATAGTATAAACATCTTAAAAATTAATTAATTAAGGTTTTCAGTTGAGATAAAAAAAGTCAATGGCACGAGCGGGATTCGAACCCACGACCTTCGGCTTGATACGCCGCTGCTCTACCACTTGAGCTATCGTGACCTCGATCCACTCGGACATCAACTGCCCATTTCAACCACACCTTTTGAATTTTCCCTCCTTTTTGACATTTTTCAAATGTCGTGTAATCGGATTGGATTCTCAACGACAAATGAAATGGCTACGGAGAGCTTTAGTGAAGGTTTACTTCATTTTAAACTTATTCAATTCACTAGTTTCGTGGTCTGCTTGACCAATTAATATATTACAATTAATTAAGGTTTTCAGTTGAGATAAAAAAAAATCAATGGCACGAGCGGGATTCGAACCCACGATCTTCGGCTTGATATGCCGCTGCTCTACCAATTGAGCTATCGTGACCTCCATCCACTTTGACACTAACTTCCCATCTCAACCTATCAATAAATATTTCTTGATACCCATTTTTTGCTAAGGTTTTAATAGTTGCTAATTTTTTTTTTATAGTTAGCAGATGTTAATGGAAGTTTTAACATCCGTTGTATGAGCCAAATGAAACCAGCAGCCTTTTGGGACCATGGGTAGGAAGAATCCGCTGGTATCATAGTGTCTGTAGTTGTGGGGTTTCTACATACGTCTATTTCTAGTAGGTTGTTTATTATGGACAATTTTAGGTCTGAAAAGTTCAAACAACCATCTTTGTTAATTTCCAATGTAAAATTTATATTACGGTGTAGAGAATTAATTAGTTGGAGGAATTCTTTGAGATCCTCTAATGTTCCCGACCATATGCATAAAATATCGTCTACATAGCGTTTCCAGAAATGAACAGATTTAATTAATTTGTTCTTTGATTTGAAAAGGTTTTTTTCGAAATTATCCATGAATATTTCAGCACAAAGTGCGGAGGTCTCAGCGGGTTCACTTTGGCAAGTCATGTCGAGAGACGTGATTTTAGAAGTCCTTCAACCTGATGATGAGCTAAAGGGCTCGAAATCCGAGCAAAACTTACTGTGAGTAGGAACTATCTTTTTAAAAAGGATTGAACACCACTCTCACTCCATCATTTATCATTTCTAGAAAGTAGACGATGTCAACTTTTTAAAATTATATACATACTTGTGTTTCTTAGTGACCTATTGTTTCATAATTTGTTGAGGTCGTGAGGAGCGGTCAAGAATATGGTAGTTTAGAAAAACACCTTTTTTCATTTTTTTGTTGATGTTTTGGCCATACTTTCACACAAAACCAACATTAAACCACAAGAATAGCACGACACTTTATGTCGTGAAGATGACCCGAATAAAGGTCGAAACATCATTCTTGACTGCTCCTCACGACTTCAACAAATTATATACATATTCAAACATTCGAAATTAAATACACCGTGTTTGTTTAATTTCCCATATCAATAACCAATTATTTATTTTATAATTACCTGTTATATGGCAAAGATTCAGAATATTTGAAAAACTTCACACTGGGGCAAAAGCCAACTGAATTCTGGCATGTCATATTGTGCCATTTTTGATGTGGTGTGATACATTGGGTCTGCATTCTCCTCTTTTTCAGAAATCTTGAACATTCCTCTCTTTCTAGTTTATCAGCTTTAATCAATTCTAGAAAATATACTAAATGTAAACCTTGTTTCAGCGTTATGATCTGTTACTGTTAACATTTAATTTCACCTTCTTCATATCCAGCATGATATAACGATCCAAACTTAAGTACATATGTAAAAAAGTCGTCTTCCGGATCAGAACTTGTGCCATTAGTACAATAGTTAAAATTCATTGCCACACGCCTCAACTACCATAAAAATGAGAATAACAATATGAAACGTATCAAATCAATAAACTTTACCTATATAATTTATACAAAAAATCTGTCAGAAAATTTCTAAATTTTTGGAAATTTTCTGAATTTATTTGTTATGTTTAATATGGTGTTTCTTCAACTATAAAACATGTAATAATTAAATCCATACTGTATCTCTGATAGTCTTGTAATAATTAAACAACATATCTCACAATAGCCTAATTATTAATAAAGAGATTTTTACCAAATGGTAATAAGGAATAATGGTTGATAGCGGATTTCTGGGTGTAAACATGACCATCACAGGACCTTTTTTGATATGAGGAAGGATGGTATTAGAGTTTAACTCAGACATGTCATTTTCTGTGTGCTGCAGAACCCATTTGTGTACTGATAGAGCATTTATAGGTCCTTTATATTTCTGTAAAAAAAAAGGTATTAGTCAGTTAAATGGATAATTACACTTTAATGCAATCTCCACTTTAGAATTATAATAAATTGAGGTGAAGTAAAAGTGATGAAATAAAGGTAATTATGATTACTAAAAAAAATTGTATATAATTCTTTAAATTCACTAATTTCGTGGTCCGCTTGACCGATTAATATATTACAATTAATTAAGGTTTTTAGTTGAGATAAAAAAGTCAATGGCATGAGCGGGTTTCGAACCCACGATCTTCGGCTAGATACGCCGCTGCTCTACCACTTGAGCTATCGTGACCTCGATCCACTCGGACACTAACTCTCCATCTGTGGTAGTAGCGGCGTATTTAGCCGAAGATCGTGGGTTCGAATCCCACTCATGCCATTGACTTTTTTATCTCAACTAAAAACCTTAATTATTTGTATGTAATGTTACTATTTTTTTTTTTTACCACTCTCTTATTCCATAAGTATAAAACTAATGATGGCGATTCATCCACATCAAGGGCGTCATTTTCTTTGGTATTGGTAAAAACAGCGACTGCTATGTGTCTTTCATGATCGTGAGTTGCGAGCCTTAGAGAAGTGTCGTATAATACTTTGTATGCATTTCCCCCGATGATACCTTTGAAGTTAAAGTGACCAACCAAAACCACCTATAAATTGAGGATTTACAGTACAGAAAATAAGAAACCCGTGTATAAAAAAATATACATCGTGTAGATATCTAAGGTGCCAAAGCTCTGGCACCGATTCTATCCTCGTAATCGGGTGTATAACCGAATGAATAAATCTTATGATGTGATCGGCTGTTTGAATTCCTTTATATTCGGCTGCTTTGTGAGATCCGATGTATAATACCAACTGTGGAAAATGGTACACTACATCTTTGAATGTCAACTGGCATTCACTGCCCGGTTCCCAGCAGTTCATAGCAGCAAAATAAACCTGAAAAGTTGATTCGTCATGTGAGATTAAAAAAATATTTCAAATTTACATGGTTTTACCTTGTTTGAATAAAACTCAGAAACTTTAATAAATTCCTGTTTTACATCTTGGCAGTCGGCGTCCCAAGGGGCATAAAACATGACAAAAGAAAAATCAACATGTGTAATTTCATGCATCAGCTCGGACAAACTGCCTTGATAAAAATCTCGAATATTTGGGTGATCGAAAAAAGGTTCTGCGGGAGATCCTCTTTGAGTCTTTTGGTTCCTGGAAATAAAATAAAAATACAAATAATTTGTTTTTAGGCAACGTACAGTTGTTATTAAGAGGTTTTTTTTACATCTGTTTCTATGATCTTAATAACTCTGCACAATCATTAAACCCGCATGAACTTTTCTGGTTGGTTAGGGGTGACAAATGGTAAACATAAACAGTTGTTGAGAAAGTACCTTTGAAATTGATATCATGAAGCGTAGTGTAAACGTCATTTGTGAAAACAAGAAACAAGAGGCCTTAATTGAGATCCCTGAGGAACTCCTGAAGTAAGTGATAATTTAAAACATTCAGAAAAATTAACTTTCATCAAACCTATTTCCAAATAAGAGTGAAACCAACAGAGAAGACCCACCAAAACCATGTTTCCCCAGCTTCACAACTGAAATATCATGATTGACCGCAACATCAGTGTGAATTGAATGTACATAAAAATGTCCTCGGCGGCTGAGTGGTTACAAATCCCGGCACAGCCCATGGTCTACTAATTGAAAATAGTAAATAGAAGAGCCATAAAGTGGTATGACCACTAGTCCACAACATTTGACTAGTAGGACATTATGCCCTCCAGTATGTCAGAAATTACTTATATAACAATTTATTAGGTTTCGTGGTCCACTTGACCAAATAAATTCTCTTCAATTAATTAATTGAAAAATGGCAGAAAGGAGGGAAAATTCAAAAGGTGGGGTTGAGATGGGAAGTTAGTGTCCAAGTGGATCGAAGTCACGATGCTCAAGTGGCAGAGCAGCGGCATATTTAGCCTAAGGTCGTGGGTTCGAATCCCGCTTGTGACACTGACTTTTTTATCCCAACCAAAACCTTAATTAATTACATAACAATGTTTATCAAATGCATGTAGAATATGTTTTTGATAGATTAAAAGATCGGTGATCATGATGGATACCAGAAAGTGGGGGTTTTGCTTGCCAGCCACTGAAGCCTTCTTACTTATTGTACCTTCCTAATTCCCTTACTTTGGAAATATTCGAACATCATCCTCTTCCCAAAACCTGACAAACCAATGCAAAAAGTTTCGTCATGTCACCTAATCTGCTTACTTTCCATCATGTCCAAACTATTTGAAAAAATTCCCCTTAAAAGACACTTGATCAAATTTAACTCCTCCAACCTTCTCCCAGATCATCAGTTTTGCTTTCGTCCCATCATTCCACATCCAGCAAGTGTTTTGCATTGTAGACTCGAGCGAAAAAAATATTGTATGGGGGCCTTTCTCAATGTCACACAAGCGTTTGACCAAGTGTGGCACAAGGTTATTTGGACAAATTAAAGCATGTCCTTCCCAATACCTTTCTCTGAAATAACAGAGTGGTTCGTTCAAGTCTGACAAGAATTACACTAAATACTGCTCTCTCTCGTTGCAGAGTAACTCTCATTGCAGGGCAGTGTGCACGGATCATACCTCTATATTTTTTGTACTGCAGATGTTCCTACTAAAATTACCATCCTACTTGCATCTTTTGCCGATGACAGTTGTACTAGCTTCAAACTCCAAAACTAAAGCAAGAGTGCCCATGTCACATTTCCACTCTGAAACAAAACTCCTCTCACAATATACTACAACAACATTCCTATCCCAAAATCTATGCTACCTTGGGTTCCACCTAGACTCAGCATATGGGACTGAAATGACAAGACTTAAGCAGATCTTATGGTTTACTTTACAAACTTTTACGACGACAATACAAACTATCGTTGAAAAACAAATTTACAGTTTATGTGTAATATTTAGTGAACGTTAAGTAATTATTATTTAGATATTGTGAGATGTGGTCTAGTAATTTTGGCACGATATAAAAAATGTTTTTTTAAACCTACAACACAGCAGACCACATCTCGCGATCTTTAAATAATCCTTACAATTTATCAAACACTACTACAACCGATTTGGTCATAAGAAATAGAATTGTGGGGAATCGCTAAACCATATCTCCACTTCTTTCAATGTAAAGTCCTCAGATCACTTATAACTTCTCTGTATTGTCTCTAATACTACCTCCACATTGACTTTAAAATCACATTCATCCAAGATTTAATCCCCAAAAATTTACCAAGTTCCAAAATAATTCTCCTATCACCCCAATAGTCTCGCCCAAGCCTTGTCCAACAGAAACCATCCCCAAAATCCCATAAGAACTCAAGGAAATGGAGTTGCGACCTCCTTTCTGAGGAGTAGTTCATTTAGTATAGTGAATTGGAAGAATAATATTAATCATTTACCCCCCTCAATGCACAATCTACAAAATGGGATCATCACTGATTGCTGTGTATGGTGATTAGTGACCGTAATCGATGATTATTCAGAAATCGTGAGATGTGGTCTGGTGTGATGTAGGTTTCAGAAAAGCATTTTCTTTATCGTGCCAACGTTTCGATCTTTATTGAGATCATCTTCAGGGCCTGGGATTTACAAACATTGTTTAAATTTAACAAAAACATGTAGGATGTGGAAACAAGTGAATTTATACAATGCAAAAAAATATATTTTTTATATTCAATCAAAGTATTTCTACTCACTCAAAGTGTTTGTTTTCTGCGTAAGTGTGCCATTCTTGTGTGTCGTGTTGAGCTAAACATAAAACAGCAATATCTCACTGGCACTCTCAACACGACACACAAGAATGGCACGCTTACGCAGAAAACAAACACATTGAGTGAGTAGAAATACTTTGATCGAATATAAAAAATATATATTTAGAAATCGTGAGATGCGGTCTGGTATGATGTAGGTTTCAGAAAAACATTTTCTTTATCGTGCCTACGTTTCGATCTTTATTGAGATCATCTTCAGGGCTCAAAGTGTTTGTCTCCTGTGTAATTGTGCCATTCTTGCGTGTCGTGTCGAGTGTGCCATTCTTGTGTGTTGTGTCGAAAGTGCCAGTGAGATATTGCTGTTTTATGTTTAGCTCAACACGACACACAAGAATGGCACACTCGACACGACACGCAAGAATGGCACAATTACACAGAAGACAAACACTTTGAGCCCTGAAGATGATCTCAATAAAGATCGAAACATTGGCACGATAAAGAAAATGCTTTTCTGAAACCTACATCACACCAGACCGCATCTCACGATTTCTGAATAATCATTGATTGCTGTGTAGATTTTTTTTTTTCAGATGCCAGTGACCAGGAAAGTTTGATGGATACTGACTTTATTTTTTACAAACCCATAATGTTGCGGGATAATAATCTCAGTCTCAAGTGGAAATATCTCATCATAAATAATAGATTTGTGTACTTTCGCTATTGGGCAAATGGTATCAACGGGACGGTAGGAATAGCTATTATACAGAAATAATTAAAACGGGTGGATAATTAATATTCTTTCTTCCTCTGGCTAGTAGTAATAAATTAAATCATTTAAATATTTGATTATGTAAAATAGTGAATTAAAAAAAATGTTATATTTATCAGGTCGTTTTTGAAGTGGATGATGACAGATCACCAACCGGGAAGATGGATGGTTTAGCTCTAAGTGACATTGAAATTCTAATGTCTCATTTAATCATAAATCAATAGTAATTTAACAATGATTTTGAGTGTTTATCAATCATTTTATAACTAAACTCTTATTTATTCATCAGCGACTTCTGCGTTATATGATTCTACTTTATAAATAACTATAATCCTCATCTGAATTTTGTAAGGAAGGAAACAGAAATCATTTTTATAATTCATATACAATCAAATACTTAAAAAAATATGAATATTTCTATTGTGCATTATTATTTCATGTAATTGTGGATGTAAAATGAAAATGATTGAATAAAAATTAAAACTATATGTTAGTCTAGTTAAGAATCTTGGATAAAACTTATCTAGGCCTATTTTCAAAAAAAAAAAAAAATTACAGATATAATAAAAAAAATGATGTCTGTAAATACTCACGAATGAAGGATTGATGCATAAGCAGCGAATATTGCTGCAAATATGAAAAAAATTGCCCGGCACACGATAAACATTGTTGACAGCTTATGAACTTTATTGTTTGCATTAACGTCATCATTCTCTTCGAGTGTCTTTTCCGAACTCCGTGTCATCACTCCACGTCATTAATTATATTATTAGCCATTAATGCAAGGCCTATCGCAGCATCTCTGATTGATTTTATGATAAAAAACATAAACAATTTGCCAGAAACAACTAACAAGTGTGACGTGTGGTCGTCTGTGCTGATCTTGTGAGGGTAACCTGGGACTGAGGTTAAAACATGTAACACCCTTTTATCACTCAATTTCAAATATTCAAAACTACGTACACAGAAAGGAGTAATAATGAAACAATTTTATTGGCACACAACTTAATAAATTGTCCACACATTAATAAAAACTCGCTTTTATAGCTTATTCGTGCTTTTAAAACGAGTTGTAAAAAATCACGTAATTTTTTAAATGATTACACTTTATTAGTTTGAAATGTCTGGTAGGAAAGACAAGTTCACATTTAAATTTGAGAAACAGTCATGAAGTAACTGCATAATATTGCACATTTAGCCCTTAGTAAGAATTATTAATTTCTTATTCAATATTAATTTTTTTACAATTATTTATTTATTTACGGATCGAAATCCACTATAAAAAAAATACAATAACAAAAAATATAAATAATATATATAAAAAGAATAAGGACGTATACACATGGAAATAATATAAATGGTAAATATAAATGATAAATATAAAAATACAATTAAAGAGTAAAAACTGTACAACAAAAATGAAAGACATAATTACTAACCAAATAAGGCAGAGGAAACAAAATAAGCTGAAAGGCAATTGAAACTACAATAATTAGGTACATATTTAATGAAAATAATGCTCTTTGTAAATATATAATAAGACTAGAGTGCGAGAATTAGTTGAACCAATAAATGAAATAAATTGTAATATGAAATCTTTTCGGAGGATCTACGGAAGAGGTCAAACACAGAGAAAACTACCTTTTCGCCGAGCTTTCAACAGTTTTATACTGTCATCTTCAGGGCCTGTTTTATTATCATATAAAAAATAATTAAAACATGAAAAAAAAATTGCACAAAAATTGAATATCTTACTTAAACCTTAATGGGGAATTAAACGACATGGTGTTTTGGGCACAGAAGTACATTATGTTTTTTGGGGCTCAGCATCTAAACATTATTTAAATTGAATAAATTAATAATTAAAAATTACTACTAAAATTACAATAAGAATTTGAATAAGAAGAACCCATCTTATTTTATATATTACCAACTCCATGGTTCATATGATGACTTTGTGAACTTGGAACAACTTTTCATAAGTGAACTGTGTATCTTGCAGAGCTGGTGAAACGTTATTTATTAAATAGAATGACTTTTAGAGAGGTTCCACTTATCTATTGAACGGTTGAAAAATTCCAAGTTCTCCGTGGTTTTCATTTAGTAAATTACATGGACGTTTCGGGCTCCTGGCCCATCATCAGGACCTAAACATAGAGAAATCTCATTAACAAATAAAGGGGGTGTAAAAATAATATACATATATGTATCATTGGCATAGGCCAGGTATGAATACTTTTATTTAAAAAAAAAAAATAAAAAAAAAAAATAATAATAATAAAAAAATAAATTAATTAAAAAAAAAGAGCAAATTACTGATGTGTGTGCCTTCAGATTGGGAATTATACCATGAGATTTCTCTATGTTTAGTTTCTGATGATGGGCCAGGAGCCCGAAACGTCCATGTAATTTACTAAATGAAAACCATGGAGAACTTGGAATTTTTCAACCGATCAATAGATAAGTGGAACCTCTCTAAAAGTCATTCTATTTAATATATAACTTTTCACCAGCTCTGCAAGATACACAGTTCACCTATGAAAAGTTATTCCAAGTTCACAAAGTCAATGATGAATCTGATGCTGAGGCCCAACCACCAATACCTTGGTTAGAACTCCAAAACTTTTTTTTTTGTTATCTAGTGGATTAAACTAATTTTTATATAAGATCCTGAAAGGCAACAATTTGTCACAATGGCTCAAGATAAGTTCACCCGCAGAGTCCAAGCATATGTTCCTTTAAATCTTGGCAAACTTGTAAAAAAAAATTCAATTCTGGAACTTCATTCTGGAAAGTTCTATCCTCACTCGTGTTCTATTCATCAAACGCAAAATCCCTGCTATTCTACTACATGTCCATACAAGCTGAGACTAAATAAAATTCAGAAATGTTTAGACTCAAATTTTATTGTTTTGTTAGCATATTCATTAAAAAAAGTGTATTTGAAGAAGTATAAAACTTATGAACGGTTATTGCAATCAGTTTACCTTATTACTTACCATAAAATAATCAATTGAGAGAATAAAAATATATCAATTTTGTACATAATCTTGGAAAAGAACACAAAAAATAACAAATTAACTTCATTTATTACAAAATTATTTCAATTTCAGTACATAATTTCAACATTTTTAAAAACTAATTATGTAAAATACATAAAAATATTACCAAAACTACTTATAATTTGGCTCATTATATTTTGTTGTTGCAATCTTTGGCATTACTAACATATACCGAATTAATTAATATTTTATGATTTTACAGACAAATTTTTATTCAGAATAAATCTTTTCAAACTTGAAATTTTTATTATTTATTTGTTCAACATTATCTTTTCTAATGCATCAAATCAGTGTCTCACTGTAAAAATGGACTTAAGGACTTCCTAACAAAGAAATGATAATCAAAAATGTCAAAATAAATAGGAGTAAAAAATTATAAGGAACGTTTTCACCATCAGATTGTTTAGCCAAGCTAATTTTATTGACTTTTTACTTTCAATGGAATGTTTCAAATGTAAATTACATCACAGTCAATAGTAGTTTAATAGTTATTTGCATTTGCAATGATATGTTGTAATATATTTAATCACATTTAAACTAATATGTTTTAATATTTATCCAACTATTTTACTGGCTTTCATTAATTGGCTCAACATTAGAAAATAGGCAAGACGAGCTACATCTCGTAATCAACCAGTTACCTTTTTTTTTTGAAAAATCAGTTATGATAAACTATTCTAAACTTCTAAAGATGTCTAATAAATTACAAACTTGATGTTTATTTTATGATCTCTAAAATAGTTTACTACAACTTACATCAACTACTAAACATCTAATTACCTCCATGATGAAGTAATTCATGACCTAATGAATACGTACAATAACTCACTTATTGTAATTATTATGGCTAGTTAAAAGCGTAATAATTAATAAAGAAGGGTAATTTCCAGAGGTAAAAATATCTCTTTTAAATGGCACATATGGTTGGAGGTATGTACATGGTATTTTATCGCATCAGCACCTTTCTCAGCAATCATCATAACAGCAGCATTGGTATTTGCACTTGGTAAAGTAGGCATGATTGATGCATCAATAACAAACAAGTTATTTGTTTTATGAACCCTACAAAGAACAATTTATTTACATGAACTGTACATTAAATTTTTTTAGAGTTTATACCTTAGGCTATGGTCTACGACTGAATTTTCATTATTTCCCATTTTACAAGTCCCGACTGGATGGTAAGAAGTAAGCGTTAAATGGCGTACATAACACTCCCAATATTCATCCGATCTAAAATGAAGATTTTCACAACCAGGCAATGCTTTCTCATATATGTGGGCGCCCATTTTTTTCATAGCGTTAGTTTCAATTAGCTCTTCGATTAATCTAAAACCTTAATGTTGTTTTAAAGAAAGAAAAATTGTATGTTACCATATTACCTTTTACAAGTATTTTGACATCATCTGGATGGCTTAAGTACTGTGGGTCTATAAGAGGTTGGTCGTCAGGATTTGAACTTGACAATTGCACACTGCCACGACTTTTAGGGTGAAGTAGAGAAGGTAAAATTGTTACAACTTGTTTACCGATTAGAGGAACAAAGTATTCTTCCCAAAGCTTAAAAAAAAGCGAGTAAGTTACGGTGAAATGGACAAATACAGTATAGCATTCACCTGATCAGATACACCCATTACATCTCTCATTACAGCTCCAGCATCTGTAGATAAACCAGATGGTAGTGCCATTAACTGTAAATCTGGGCCTGTTCCATTTTCTAAATGAAATAAACCAACAACTTCACAGCCAGGGTGTGACATTACACCTTTTCAACAATAAACAATTTAATTAGCAACATTTTCAAATTTAGGTCATATATATTTATTTTTTATGGGTCATTTATAATTTAAATATTATAATACACTCTGTCACTGACCAAAATAAATAAATAAATACATAAAAATAAATAAAATAATATGTTGATCAACAAACATTATAATTTGATTCACTAATTTTGTGGTCCGCTTGACCAATTAAATCATTACGACTAATTACGGTTTTTAGTTGAGATGAAAAAAAGCTAATGGCACGAGAGACGATAATTGGTCAAGTGGACCACGAAATTAGTGAATTTAATGAATTAAAATGAAGTACACTTCACTAAAGCTCTCCGTCGCCATTTCAATTGTCGTCGAGAATCCAATCCGATTACACGACATTTGAAAAATGGCAAAAGGTGGGAAAACTCAAAAGGTGGGGTTGAGATGGGGAGTTGATGTCCGAGTGGATCGAGGTCACGATAGCTCAGGTGGTAGAGCAGTGGTGTATCTAGCCGAAGGTTGTGGGTTCAAATCCCTCTTGTGCCATTAGCTTTTTTCATCTCAACTAAAAACCTTAATTAATTGTAATTATAATTTGACATGTTTCAACAAATAATTTCCTAAATTCTTTACATTTTATAAACTATATAAAACTGATTAAAATCACAAGAATTTTTTAAAGTGATGTAATTGATATAAAACTAGACTTATTAATTTTATTATTGCAGGTGCTTTGCCTTATATACCACATATTCTCATACTGGGGTCTTTTCTGTGGCATAAAGGTCTCCTACAAAATGAAGCAATTCCTTCCGATCACCTTATAATTAATCCTTCGCTCCTACCTCACAGGATGATTTGTCCAAGTTCACCAAGGATCAGGCTACTCTGGCTGAGGGAGCAGGAGCACTATATGGCAAAGTGCTCGGATTAATTCTAAACCTTCTCCACACCTCAGACATCCCAACCACATCCTCGACCCACCTTGCATCCTTTGCCGATGACACAAAGCTGTGCTTTCCTATGATCCCTTGGATTGAGCTTCAGAGGAGCTCCAGGCACACGCTCAACGAATAGCCGAATGAAGGAAACTTTGTAATATAAAGATGAATGAAAACAAATCCACCCATGTTACATTTACCCTTCGAAACAAAACCCCCTCACGCGATATTCCTCAACAACATTCCTATTTCTAAAACTGACTGTGTACATTATCTTGGGTTCTATCTTGACTCATGTTTAACATGGAACATACAAATAAAAGGACAAGGAGTGAACAGAATTTCAGACTAAACTGTAAACTATATGACACAAATCTAGCATGTCGAAAGAAAACGAACTGGCACTGCAAAATACTGCTGACATGTGGACATGTGGACTGTATTGGAGTGTCCTTTAAGGAATGATTATATTCCGTCTTTAAAGGTTTGATTAACCCCCTTGAGGCCGGTGATCTGCCTCAAAATCAAAGGAATTTTGATTTGAAATAAAATACGAATACAATTGCAAAGGGACACCTCTATTTTGTCTCTTTTAAAACAAAAATGTATTTCCTTATGAATCAAAAACGTTATATAAAAAATATAAAACAACAAAACATGAACCTTTGCTTACAAACTAACAATATAAGAATAATTAGATACTGTGGGAATAATATGGCCTGAAGGGCAAAATTAAAAATAATCAACCTTGATAACAAAAATGGAAAATACCAAACAAAAAACCATAAATGAAAATGGGCCACACAACAGAAATAATTTATACTAATAAAAATCAAATGGATACAAATCTGGTTTGACTGGCTTTCAGATGGATTTTTTCTTATTATTTTTCTCCCAATGCCTAGGCTAGACTCAACTATCCGTTCTTGCTTTCCTGCCTCCAGCATGGAGGGGAGAGCCTGGACATAATTGTTGTTATAACTGGAATATGGGAATTTGTACCAAATTTCTCGGAATCATAGTCAACGTTCCCTACTATGTCTCCAATATCACCATCCACAAAGGCCTCAAAATATTATTTGTAAAATTAATCCTAACCAAATTTTCCAGATTTATGAAAAACTCTCCACTTCCCCCAACACATTCGCCCAATCCATGTCCAACATCATTCATCCCTATAATCCTGTCTGACAACAAAGGAGATGGTCCCATGACCTCCTCTACAAGGTTATATCATTATTTAATAAAGTTGCTAACTCTTCTCAAAAATGTGTGTCAATGTGATTTCTAATTATGTATCAATACATTACATAATATAATGTATAATGCCATAATTATCGGGTCCAGGCAACTCCTCAATTCCCTCCCCAGCATTCCACCTCTCATACTAAATAACCATCCCATCCCCTTCTGCTCTTCGGTTAAAAACCTAGGAGTAGTCTTTGACCAAAACCTTTCCTGGCATTCTCATATTTCCCAAATTTCCCGCCATTCAATTGCCTCCCTCAGCCTGTTTTGTCAGTCCTGGCTTCTCTTACCTTTCTCCACCCACAAACTCCCTGTATCTTCCCTTATACATCCCTTCTTCGATTATAGCTGTTTGGCATACGGTGGTCTCTCGGAGGGGGAGAACGCGCGATTGAAGTGTATTATGAATTGTTGCGTAAGATTTGTGTACGGCACCCTACGGGGATCCCGGGTGTCGGGGTTGTATTCCCAACTTTCCTGGCTATTTCCCTCCTTCCGTGCACAGTATTTCCTACATTGCTTTCTTTTCCAGTCCATCCACGTCGTCCTCCTTACATCATCCAATCCCTCCAATTCAACTCCTCACATCTCACTCGTAAGACCCGCTCATCCACAATCGACCTTATCCTTCCGCAACGTACAACCCATACCTTTGAAAGATCCTTTCTGATCCGAGCCCCTAAACTCTGGAACTCCCTTCCCCTTTCTATTCGTCACGCTGCCTCCTTTTCCTCCTTTAAATCCCACCTGTACAATCACCTCCTCTCCCTCCAAGCAGAGACCTCATGTTAACATTAGTTATTTTTGTTTAATATTCTTGTAATTTTTTCTTCTGTCCTGCCTTATCGGTATACATTGTGCCAAGATTTCTATCTTTTTTTTACTTTTAACTTCATAGAAGGAACTTCCTTTATTTATTTCATGTAAATTATTCTTAGAGGACACCAGTCCCAGAATAAAGTTATTTTTCTTCTTCTTCTTCAATATATGGTAATAAATATTATTTATTTTAAAAAAGTTTTAATACTATTATCATGCAGATTGAATGAAATTAGATGTGTTTCTACCTTTTCCTTTAACAAAATATTGATATGCATAAAGGGGTGAATTTAGCAGGGCTTCTACTGACAGCGGTAAAGTCTGATTGAGGATGATGAGGTCGAGCCCTGAAGTCACATGGTCTTGAAGATTTTTACCAACTGGTAGATCAATAATTGGTTTGATCTGAAATGTTATTGTTATAAAACAGTTTAAATATTGATAACTGAGTGTGTTATTTAACTTACACCAATATCCCTTAGTTCGGCCTGTGGCCCAATGCCTGACAGCAACAGAATTTTTGCAGAACCCACCGTGCCTGCAGACAATATCACAGCCTTTCGAGCAAGTACTTGACCTCTCTGGTTGTTCCGCTTGTATTGGACACCGTACGCTTCAAAACCATATCGTAATAAAACCTTTAAAAAATACAACTACATCAAAAATGTTTCTATTAAAACATTAAATAATAAAATTTGATCTAAAATTATAATTATCTGAGCAAATTTTTTTTTTTAATTTTAAATAGAAACGCAATGGCTTGTATTTAACAGTTCCGACCTTCTCTACAAAAGTGTTTGTCATTATCCTCAAGTTGAAACGATTTTTTAAAAGCTTTTTCATTGCATAATCAGAGCTCCACCTGGCACCTCGGTGACCTGTAACTTGCACTTGCATCATACCAGGGCTGGAAGTGAGCTGATTGAGTTCCACCGTTTTGTAGCCGAGTTCTCTTCCAGCACCCAAAAGTCCATCGACGAGATCAGTGGAGAAGCTCAATTCAGAAACAAAAACTGGCCCTTCTGTTCCGTGATGTTTTTCTATAAAAATTACATTTAAAAAATTAATTAATCAATTTTAAAAAAAATCATAAAAAATACACTGCTCCACAAAAAAGGTGGCACACTTTGAAATTTTAATTTCTTTTTTTATTTTGATAACGTTTAATGATATTTTTGTTTAATCTCTTTAAAAATTATGTAATACTTATGGAAAGTACTTAATGATTTTGTTGCCAATAGTGAGGCATAACCAATTAAATCTTAATTAGACTTTAAATCCTCACAATGAAAATCATTGGGCATTTTTTTTCTTTGTGATTTTTTATTTTTATATAAAATAATTTATAGGTTTTAAGAGAGTGCGAAGGGACATGTAGCTGTCGTTGAGAGAGGAGAGAAGGACTATCAATTAGATTGTTTAATAATTTAAATACAAAAACAATATCAAAATAATCCCTTCTTAGTGCCAGTTTGAAAAGTTTAAATTCAGAGCGGATTCCCGGGTAGGCAGAATTTGGAGGAAGATTGAGTTTGTAGGAAAGTTTTTTAAAAAATTTGTTTTGTCCAGATTGAAGAATTTTTTGATAATTTAGATAGAATGGGTTCCAAACAGGTGTAGCATATTCTAGTATGAGTTGTACAAAAGCTTATAAAGATGGTCAAAACAAAGAGGATTTTTAAATTCATAGGTGTTCCGGATGATAAAACCTAGCATCTTCGTAGATCTATTTTTTATTGAAGAAATATGTTCTTTAAACTTGAGCTTTTGATCAAAAAGTACACCAAGATCCTTTACGACCTCAACTCGCGTTAAAAGAGCATCATGGAGAGTATAGAGATAAATAAAAGGTTGTTTCTTATGAGAGAATGTAATTGTGTACCATTTGGAAACATTAAGAGCGAGTTTGTTATTAGAGCACTAGGTTAGCACATTATTGATACAATTTTGTAATTGTAAGCAATCGGAAGGAGAAGTGATTATGGAATAGATTTTCAGATCATCAGCAAATAATAAAAATTGAGGAGAAGGGAGAGCAAAATGGATATCATTAATAAATAACAGAAACAAAACTGGTCAAGATGAGACCCTTGTGGGCCTCCCGAGGAAGCCGCAAAGGAACCTGATTTAAATGATTTTATTTTGACTATTTGTTTTCTGTCGGAGAGAAAGCTGGATAACCAATTCAAGATAGTTCCAGTGAAACCATAATCCATTAGTTTCCTTAACAGTATTGTGTGATTTACTTTATCAAAAGCTTTAGAAAAATCAGTATACACTGAGTCTACTTGGTGTCCAGAGTTTATTACATCTAAGATGTAATTTTGAAATGTGAACAGGTTAGAAACAGTTGATCTATTAGAGCAGAAACCATGTTGCTGAGGTATAATAAAAGATTTAATGTCGTTTTTAAGTTTATTACAAATAATAGAATCAAATATCTTGGAGAACATATTGATTAGATATTGGTCTGTAATTGAAAACGTTAGATCTATCGCCAGCTTTTTGTAGAGGAGGCATTTAGTCCTTTAAAAATCCCTTTCATCACTATTGTATTGGTAGCACAAAACAAAAGATTATAAAAATGCCCATAATCAATGAGCAAGTAACCCATATCATCGCACTCGTTGAGGATGAAAGAAATCAGAAGTACGCACCATGAGTTTTAGGTTTGCCTTAGTGGAACCAGTAGACTAGAAGGTGTACTCAAAAAAACCACGGGACCAGCCAACGATTGATTTATCACATTGCACACTGAGAAATTGCTCTTTCACAACTTCTTTAACACCTCGAAGATTTCGAACTGTGCAAGATATGCCCATTAACGTTGAAATGGTACAAAAGAGACTTGCAGAAATGAGTATACATCCCAGAAGGTCAACAAGGGTCCAACGCATACAAGAGGATGGTTAGGGATAAAGTCAGATAGATGGATTCGCAGGATAGGCTCCGCCGTTAGATACCCAGAGTGTGGAGAAATGGACAGACCCAGGCCTTACTGTGAGTGGACTCATCCTGGACGACAGGTGGCATAAGGGTAGAAAATGCACTTACAACATCTACACAGATGGAAGTAAAAGTGAGGAATGTCGGATGCGCCTTCCTAGTCTACGAGAATGAAGGTAAAGTAAGCTGTGGGACATATAAATTGAGCAATAAGTGCTCCAATAATCAGGCTGAACAACTGGCAATTTACAAAAGCCTAGAATGGATAGAGAAAACCTTACTTATTCATTCCACCCCCAGAAAGACACAGTTCTACATCCTTATGGATAGTCAAATATCCCTGGATGCCCTCTCAAACCCTAATAACCATGGAGCTATCTTAGATAATATTCGGAAATTGATGCAAATCGAAGATTTGGGAGGGTCCAGGTACTCATCGGGATTTTCGGTAATGAAGAAGCTGACCAATTGGCAAAATCGTGTCAAGGGATGAAAGTCTAGAAATCTCCTACTACAAACACCCTAAGAGCCTTTTTAGAAGAGACTGGAGCAGGAAGCTTTTTCAAGATGGGAAGAAACATGGCGGGAAACGACTAAGACGGCCCATACAAAGATGTTTGTCCCCTCCCTGGCCTTCAGGAGGAAGCTCGTTTTTCCGGACAACTACAAAATCATCCAAGTGTTTTCAGGTCATGGCAAGTGCCTGGCCTATCACAAACGGTTTGGACACGTCCCTTCATCCTCCTGCCCTTGTGATGGCCAAGCTGAGCAAAACTTTTTGCATATAGTTTTTCATTGTCCACTTTCGGAAAGAGAAAGGGGTCAGATAATACAGCATTTCGTTTGTATAGGGAGAGGCTTGCCGGTTCCTCCATCTGAATTGCTTCTGAGTGAGAATATGAACATGTTTATTGGTTTTGTGGATAAACTGGACTTGGACTTCAAATTTCACGTTTAAACTTTTATTTAATGCATAATTAATATGCTCTACTCTGCAGTAAACACATGTAATATTTATATGGAACATGTAGATTTGATAAAATAAAATTTCTTCCTGCAGGGCTACTGTAGGGAGGGAAAAACACACACCGTAATAAATACCTAAATTATAAAAAATATAGGTTCTAAAAGTACTGAAAAGACAAGTTTATAAAAAATATCAGAATTTCAAAGTGTGCCACTTATTTCATGGAGCAGTTTACATTGATAAAACTTACTGTCATTGCTGTACAGCCCTTGTTGGTTCTCAGACTTTTTAAAATAATAAAGGATTTCAGAAAAACTCCAGTCATTACGGTAAGTCCAATTGTCGAAGTCAGTCTTATGGCCTCGAAGATATACCATATAATTTAACCTACTGCTTCCACCCAATACTTTTCCTCCTGGCCATAAGCTCCTCTAAAATGAATCGCTATGTTAGATGTGTTAAATCTGTAAACCACTTGTCGCTTTTGTAAATTTTGTAAAACTCAATTGAAGCAGATTTCAGACCTATATCATAACCGACTTAATCTTGATTTGTTCTTACTCTGTCCTTCATTCCCAAGCAGGACGACTTCTGGGGAACTGTTTTGTATTGCCAGTCATACGGTGATTTTTGTTGCATCGGGCTTATGATCGGTATGTCCTGTAGGGAAGAAGCTTCACCCCCGGCTTCGATAAGAAGGACATCGTGCTCGACATTTTCCGCCAGTCGACCCGCGACAAGAGAGCCTGCTGTTCCGCTACCCACTGAAAGATAAAACGATTAAACTAGAACAAAGTCGGCATCAAGAAAAATGTACACATACCCACTATAAAATCATACTCCTTCTCCAGAATGTTTTCGAAATCATTGTTGAACACCCATTCCCTGGCGTTCTCGCATTGTTTATGGACGAAAAGGAATAAGCTGAATATGCCGGCAAAAGTGCAGTAAATGTAAAGGATCCAGTAATATTTGATGTAGAACATATTTAGTGACGGCGGTCGAGTTGTGGGAAAGCATTAGACCGATTGATTTTAACGTCTTTATTATATAACAACTAAAAATCAATAAAAGTCCAAACCAGAAAAAGCTTACATTTACAAATTTAAGAATTGATAAAAGACAAGAAAAGTCCGGCTACTCTTGTATTTAAACCACAACATCCTAGCAGCTTATTATTAAGAAAAAATTAATTATTTTTTCAAATAATTATGTTAAAGTTGTTTATTATAAAAATAAAAAAGTAAGTAGTTTTTGTATTTAACGTACATGTACTACTTTTGTATTTTTGATAATCGGTAACCTCGAAGAACCTCAAAGACAAACACTCAGACGGTGATAATACTTCGGTTAATTTGTATTTGTTTAAATTTAAATGTTTAAAATTCTCAGAAGTTTATCACTGTAAGTACAGTTTGCACTTCTATTAAAAGTTCTAATGGAAAAAGCTACATTTCTACAATTTATTTGTTATTATCGGTTCATCCCTTTGTCGGTTCGACGACAATGCCAATTTTAATTCTAGTTCGAACACTATCTACCTTTCCTTTATTTTCTGTCATATAGGTCATATTATATTATTTAAATCTATATAATTTCGATTTATACAAGCTCAAATCTGCACATTCACACATGTAATAGAGTTGAGCCTATCTTCTCGCAGTCCAACAGCAATTACAGCTTTTGTAATTTACAGTAATTACCAGTAGGCCTCGAGAATCACCCTCGCAGGGTATCCCAGCAGTCCAGGGCTCGATGAGGGTCTACGAACAACTAGGTCACTTTAGTTCTCAACGCATGCAGTTCCAGACCCATTCGCACTCATAATCATTCAATTAGGGTGGTAGAGTACTCGATATTCTCCATCACTCTCTACTCGTATTGTACAACAACCTCGGGAACTCAGCCGTGCTCGAGCACAATTCACATATTGGGCAGCATTCCTGCGCGCTCCCTAAACAGCCAAAGAATTGCACCCATCAATTAGGTTGGATATGTCGAGCAACTTTCTCTGCTTGCCACACACGTACTTGTGCATGTACTTTGGCCGAAAAGTAAATGCCGTGTGTCAACCTTGCCTGGCCTGACCTTAATTGGGTGATGATGACCTCACTTCTAGGAGTCAGATTTTTGAGGGCCATACATGAGAGCTTCCCTGCTGAACCGTCTCATTATAAATTTAATTATTACTTTTATTGCAGTAATAAATAATTGTGCCACTAACTTTTTTTTTCTAGAGTCTCTCTGCAGACTAGGAACGTTTCTTATGGCCCACATTTCATTGAGCCTATTTATAGAAAATCAGAACTTGAAAAACTTAAAGAAAGCGAAAAGGCAAAAGAGTTACTCCACGTCCCAGTGAAGGCAGCAAAAATTGAACAAAGTTGTTCACCATTTTATGATCCTGTGGTCGAGTATGGCTTGTTTGTTTAAATCAATCTCACATATTCTAGTAACTTTTTTTTTACAGGAAATTTATAAATTATGTAATGAGATGTGGCAAAAAGGATCTGGCGAGGTTTCTTGTCAATAAGGTAAATTAAATAATACTCTAGGCACAGTCTAAATTTATTTGTACAATTTAACATTTAAAATATATGCTGAATGAACTGGGTCACGTGTTGGGTCCGTGTTCAAAACATCAAATGTTTGAGTAGTTCAACAAAACGAGTTCTTAAAGCTAGTTCACTGACTCGCAGACCAATACAACAAAATATACACAATTTTTAAAATATTGATTTCGTTTACAGTCTTTGGAGAGTGTGAAAAGGATTCAACTTAAAAGGTATCACAAAACGAAAGATCCAGATGAGAAGTCTAAAATCATTATAGACCCTCTTGTAATTTTTCATCGGGCCGTAGAAAATTGTAAACCACTACTTAAACTTACCCCAATTAAAAGGGGTGGTGCGACATATCAGGTAATAAAATTGTGCAATGTTTTTGTTGATATATTTAAGGTAATTATTCTGAAGTTTTATCTTCTGATATCATTTTGATCTGCATATCTTGCTGGTTTAATCTGTTGGAAATGATTACCAATGTTTAATTCAGACCAGGATGATCAGAAATAATCATGTTATACATTAAATACAATCTTTTTATTCTAGGTTCCTGTACCGATAACAGAAAAAAGATCAACATTTTTGGCTATGAACTGGTTGATTGAACAGGGCAAGGCTGATCCCAAGAACGGTAGATTTTATGATAAACTAGCTCAGGAACTTCTGAATGCGAGCAATAATGAAGTATGGGAGTATTTATAAAATTCAATAACATTATTAGTACTCCAAACTATTTTTTTTCTTTTTTTTTTTAAGGGTAGAGTGATTAAAAAAAAGCAGGACCTTCATCGCCAATGTGAAGCAAACAAGGCTTATGCGCATTACAGATGGGGTTAATCATCTTTGTGAGATGTTTGTTTTTAAATATAACTATTGTAAATGCTTTTTAAGTGTAATAAATTAACATACAGTTTTTCAGTTTGTACCTAAATTGTAGGTAAGGTTTTTCTGACAAACCTTATTTAAAACTTCAATCAATTAAGGTTTTAAGTTGAGATAAAACAGTCAGTGTCACGAGCGGGATTCGAACCCACTACCTTCAGCTTGATATGCCGCTACTCTACCACTTAGTAGTGCAGTTAGTGCCCGAGGGGATCAAAGCCACCATAGCTCAAGTGGTAGAGTAGCGGCATACCAAGCCGAAGGTCGTAGGTTCGAATCCCGCTTGTGACACTGACATTTTATCTCAACTTAAAAACTTAATTAATTTAATGATATTAATTGTTCAAGCGGACCACAAAAAATAGTGAATTTAATGAATTAAAATGAAGTATACTTCACTAAAGCTCTCCATGGCCATTTCATTTGTCGCTTAGAATCAAACAGATTACACGACATTTGAAAAATGGCAAAAAGGAGGGAAAATTCAAAAGGTGCGGTAGGGATGGGAAGTTAGTGTCCGAGTGGATCGAAGTCACGATAGCTCAAGTGGTAGAGTAGCGGCGTATCAAGCCGAAGGTCGTAGGTTCGAATCCCGCTTGTGACACTGACTTTTTATCACAACTTAAAAACTTAATTAATTGAATGATATTAATTGATCAAGCGGACCGCAAAGCTTCATACAATAAAATGGAATGGTTCTTCTTGTAGCAAGCACCTAGCAACCCATCCAGCATTTTTTCATTCAACCGGTCAAACAAGTGTCATTTTTATTTTACAAAGCGAGTTCTAATTTATTTATTTCTATCCCCCCCCTTTAAATTTACCTTAGCTCACGTTTTCGAACATTCAATTGTTATTTTTCAACTCTACTAGAACGTTATTTAAAAACCTGGATATACCAACGTAAAGCATATTAGTTGAAGTTTTTGCGAAATTTGACAAATTGTAGGTATTTTTTTGTAACCTCAGTAGAACATGCAATCATGACGAAAATTTTAAATTTTGACATGTTCCAACTGATATTGGCTAACATTTTATGTCATTCGGATTATTGCAAATAGAAGTATCTTACAGCAAATTTAGCGTTCTTTCAAATGGTTTAATTGGATTTGGAAGTTGTAAACGTTTTTATGTGGTAAGGTTGTGAAAAGTTGAAAAAACCTAAATTGACGAATATCTTCAAAATAGAGAACTTTACGAAAATTTTCTCCTGGGATTTTTTTGCCTTTTTTAAATCGATTCCCTGAATTTTGTCAGAAGGAACTGGGACACCCGGTACTTGCGCTCTTCTTAGTAACATTATATATAATAATTTAAAAAATTATTAACATACATTTTTAATATTCTTTGTATAAGGAATTTACAGGATACAGAAATTAGAAAGTTTTCCCCTACTCATGAACGTAAGTACCGTTATGTCGGTTTTGTTTTGTCTCGTTCAATATTTGAAGGTCATTTATTGAGAAATGCCAAATTTATGGGAATGCGGTTTTATTTATTAATCAACTAATTTATTAAACGAATTAATTTACTCAATAGGCCAAAATATTTTTGAGGCGGTAGACGTGAATTGTAACAATTGTTCTACCTCTTTGTTTATATACAGTAATGTTCTGCGACTACATCCTCGAAGTCAAAGAAAAAGAAAAGGTGAAAGAATGAGGAACTGTTACTTCCAAGGACGGAACTTTCGTAAGAGAACGAGTTCTACGTCTGTCAGTTAATACCCGACGTCTGCCCTCGTGTCGTCTCGTCCGATAGTGAATAAACTATGAATTTAGTTATAAACTCTGCAGAAAATGCTTCTGATCTGAAGCCGGCCAACGGGATTTCGAACGGGACCCGTTCAAATAAATCAGAAGGCATTTATTCAAGTGAAATTTACGGAAAACTGAATTTACACGAGGTCTCAACAAAGTTCAAGTCGCCGATTGACGTCTTGCGACCAGCGCATAATCTTAAAGTCCGCCCTTTGGAAATCGGCGATTTTGAAAGAGGTATTGCAATTTGCCTTCACTAGCAGTCTTAATGAATTAAAATGCAATAATGTTAATAATAATGATTTTAAAGGCTATTTGGATCTTCTTGGTCAACTGACAGATGTTGGCCACGTCCCCGCCGATACTTTCGATGGTATGTGCACATTCTTCCAAATGAAACTAGCAATAAACACAATTCCTTTACACGATTAGACTGCATGGAAAAAGCCCACTGTTTCATACATATTTTTTTTAAATTGATACGACATAATACCAGATTTTTAGCAGCTTTTTAGCGTACTCCTTCCTGGTTCAATTTTGGAACTCACAATAGATGTAGTGTACTGCCACGATTACGTTGTACATCCCAAAACAATTGAATGAATGAATGAATAATAGTATTTATTTACATGGAATACAACAAACTCAAAATATGTTACAAAATACTTTACGGCATGGACAACAGTCCGTCAGCCGGAGTTGATGTGAGCAAACACAGAATAATAATAATAAACACATGAAATAATTAAATTAAATTAGTCTATGAACATACTAAAAAATACTGCGATTAAATTAAACAAACTTACAAAAATTAAATAAATGAATAAATCAAAAATAATAAAAATAAAGCAATACTATAGAAGAAAATCGAAGAACCAAATAGTAATAATAAAAGCTAACAAAATAAAGAGATATTGTAAAACATTAATAATTAAAGTGTTGGACTAGCTCGAATCTGTAAGTCCAAGCATGGCGAGCAAATCTGATGAGAGGACGACACAGACGGCCATCATTTAACATTGCTATGAATGTGGGTCCGGTCAGCCTCGCCAGGCCAACGTGCAGGTCGCGAATCTCTGCCAGAATCGAACATTCGGCGACAAAATGAAATGTGTTTTCCACCGCTCTGGAATTACATAGAGGGCACAATTCAACTACTTTTTCCATCCATGGAGTGTAATTTAAGAATAGCAACTCGCACCTCAATTTAAATAGCCATCGGAGCTCTCTAAACGACAGACCACACGACCTGTCCGCAATCAGGCTGCATATGCCCGCACAATGATCAAGTTCCGGATATAATGTAAAACGGGACGGGACTACAGCTTTTTTCTGAAGCTCCTCATGGTGTGCAGATTTCATTTTACTCAATAAGGTGGCCAATTGGCCACTCCATAATGACATGTCTTCCACAGTCAATTCACAATCATATCTCTGAGCCAGATCAATCCAATTCCTAAACCAGAAAGTTTTGGCTTTTATTATTTCCAAGGCAGAGATTCTTGGCAATCTATGAGGAGGTAACCTCAACATCCTTAGGCAGTAATCAAAGTGTAACTTCAAGGTGAACACTTCAAGTAGATCTACCTCCGTTTCGAGATAAACCATATGGTTTGGAGCTACCGATGGAATACCAAATAATTTTTTAATGAAAAAACGCTGGAATTTCTCAATAACTTCGAATCGTTGCGCACCCCAAGCCTGAGCTCCATAACAGACTACGGAAAGACAAACAGACTTAAAGAGACCGAACTTAAATGGAAGAGGCACTAGTTCCTGGGAAAGGAAAGCAGGCCAAACTCTATTAATAGCACGTTTAGCTACGGAGACCCTATCGAGAAGATGCGTGTTCATTGATAATCTCGGAGTTAAGGACACACCCAAATACTTATACTGAGATACTGTCTCTATTGGTTTCCCATTAAAAAACCACTTTTCATTGGATGCAAGCCGACCGCCCGAACGAAAAACTAGACATTTGGTTTTATTTAAATTAACAGAAAGATTCCATAGGTCACAATAAGCCACCAGTTTGTCAATATTTTTTTGGAGCGTTACAGGATTTGTAGACAGGAAAACCACATCGTCTGCATACATTAGTATACTGACTGACACGTCACCAATGCGAACGCCACCATCAAGTACAGAGGGAAGGTCATCTAGAAAGAGAGAGAACAAGATAGGACTTAGCAAACAACCCTGCCTGACACCTGAATCCACCCGAAAAAACTCTGAGACTCCATTGCGCCCATGCAACACTGATAAACAGTTGGAGTACAACGATTTTAAAATATTTATAAATTTGGTAGGCAGCTAAATTACAAAGTTTGAAGTAGAGGGCTCTCCGGTCAACTCTGTCAAAGGCGGCTTTAAAATCCACAAATAAGCAATATAACTTTTGACCTCTTTTTAAAAATCTCAGATTGATAATGTTCATTAAGGTAAATAAATTATCAATGGTGGAAAGCCCGACTGAAATTCACTTAGAAGTTCATGCCAAAATAATTGTAGCATCATAGTTTGTTAGTAGGTGTGTTGGTGTCTTACCTGCTTCTTTGCAGAATCTGCACATGCTATGTTCATTCAAACCAATCTTCTTCATATACTTTCCAAAATTTACTAGCATAAAGACCAAACCTGCTAAACTCGATCATAAGCTTGGTCAAGAAAGGCCCCAGAATACTTCACCAACTCAAGAGGAAATAATGTCTACCACACAATGGCACCTTAGGATAGTTGCATGGTAGTTGTAAAAACTAAATTGATGTTCGGAGATTGTATTTTAAAAATTTAGGATTGGACGAATTCTTTTTACTAGGAGTTTTTCGAAAATTTAACCCAAAATGGAAAAGAGGTAATATTCAGTGTGTGTATATACTGCACCCTTTGAAAGTTATTGCATCCCTCATTCTGTACTTACAGCACACCGGTGAGCCCCTAGTTCTTCAAGAAATTCAATTAATAGGTTTCAGTAGTTGAAACCGTTGTACATCCCACAGTTTGTTAGTAGGTGTTGGTGTCTCATCTGCTTCTTTGCAGAATCTGCACGTGCTATGTTCGTTTATACCAGTGATTTCCAAAGTGGTCCCTACGGACCCCCAGGGGTCCCCGGTATCATTCAGGGGGTCCATGGAAAATTAAATTTGATTTGGGGGTCTCTGAACAACGTAAGGGGGTCCACGCAAGGTTTAATATAAAATAATATAATATAAATAATAACATAAAATAATATAATATAAAACAGAAGTACGTTGGTTATCTAAAAGTGCATGTTTAAATCGATTTTATGTGTTGGAATTCCTGGAAAGCAAAGACAATGATTTGCGACACAATTTAATTAACTCAAAAAATGACAGCTTATATGACTGATTTATTTGTCAATTTTAACGAAACTAATTTGAAACTACAAGGTGACCAATTAAATTTAATCAAAACTAAAAGCGTAATATCTGCGTTTGTTGCAAAACTTTTTCTGTACAAACAAAACTTGGGAAGAGGAGAAGTTCTCAGTTTACAAGTCGTTTGAAATTGCAAATTAGAGATGAAGATTTGCTTGCTTACTGTCAACACTTAACGGCTCTTCATACAGACCTGAACCAAAGATTTGAAGGCATTCTTCACTTGGATATTCCCGATTGGGTGTTGAACTCTTTTGCACGAGGACAAACTCAGATCCCAAACAAAGATGAATCCATACAAATTCCGGAGCAGCTCATTGAAATATCCACAAATGAGGAACTTAAGCCAATGTTTGAACAAGGATACCACAAATTCTGGTTACAAAAACAGATCCTTATATCCTGCATTTTGGGTTATTGTACAGAAGTTGTTGACTGTTTTCCCATCTTCCTATTTGGTAGAATCCACACCTCATCACAAAAAAAAAATTCAAAAAACTAGAAATTAGTGATCGTGGGGATTTGCGGTTGCTACTCACAAACATTGAGTCGGACATATATACACTCGTAACATCTCATCATGTTCATCGAAGTCATTAATTTTTGTATATTTTATTTTAAACAAAAGTAATTCATATTATAATTTATATATATTTATAATTTATAATTTCAATAAATACATCTTCAACAAAAATTTTTTTTGTAATTTTTATACTATGCATTTATGTATGTTGCTTTTTCACTTGGGGGCCCGTGGGCAATTTTTGACTATAAAAAGGGGTCCATGGGTCAAAAAAGTTTGGGAACCACTGGTTTATACCAATCTTCTTCACATGCCCATTCAATCTGCAGTGTCCTGTCAAGAACTCTGCCAGCTTTGCAATTCAGCTCCATCTTTGAGCTAATGATGTTTGAACTTGTGCTCTGATGACTTCCTGTCTATCTGACATGTTCAGGTTGAACTGAGTACATCTATCAATTACATGGAATTCAGCCTGGAAGATTCCAGTGTACTTTCCTATGGGCTCTGGGTATTTGGTTCCAGGAGGACTGAACACTCGTTCTCAACATCATTGTGTTTTAGATCCATTGGTAATACTTGAAAGGCTCTTAGATTTTTTTCCATCGTTGATCTTGTTTCATGTAACAGAATTTAGTTTGAGGACACAAAGTGCAGCTGCCTTTCGCACTTCAATTCAAAAAATTCAGGATGCATATTGTGATGTGATAAATGATGTTAATGTTTTATTATAATCTGCAACACTAATATTTAGGTTTTTCTTGATTGTGATTCATAATTATTATTTTTGTTTGTAGACACTTTCAGGTTAATGAAAGAAAGGGCCTCACATTACATAACAGTCATAGAGGATGCTCAGGAGGGATCTGTTATAGCCAGTGGAACGCTATTCCTTGAACAAAAATTTATCCACAGTTGCAGAGTGGTAAGTTTATTTATAATCTAAAATGTATGAAAATAATATTGACACATATTTTTACAGCGAGCGAGAATCGAGGATGTTGTTGTAAGCGAAAATTACAGAGGAAAGCAGTTGGGGAAAATGTATGTTTTTGTATTTTTATTCTTAAACTGTTTTGATTAGTAATTATTTATTATTTCTAGAATCGTCTTGCTACTGATAGAAATGGCTAAACACCTAAACTGTTATAAAGTGTCTCTTGAGTGTAAGGATGAAAATGTATTATTTTACAAAAATCTGGGTTTTAAACGAGAAGAAGGAAATTCCAATTTCATGCAAATACGATTTTAATGTATATAACATATATTGTGATGTTTTTATCGCACACTACTTTTTTTAAAAATAATCGCAGGATTTAAAACAAAAATGTTTTGTATGTGATGCACGATTACAAAAATAGAAGTGCTGTTGTTTTTATTGTTATTTTGTTATTTTTTGACTTGAGTTTTACCTTAATTGTATGAATAACTTACTTCCTTTAACTTCCTGATCCTTCCACGAACCTTCTTTGCTCAACTATAAATTATCTTCAAATGATGATTTGAAAGTTTTTAAATTTATTCCAATTAAAGACTGTTAAAGTAAATTATGTATTATATTGCAGAGTAAACACTCTTGGCAGGCAAGAAATTAATGTCATGTTCAAAAACAAATATCAGCTAACAATAATTTTATAATAAACTTACAAACCTTAGATCAAATTTGTGAATCACAACAAACTGTATATTTCACTTTTGGGGGAAATTCAGCCTAAAATACTAATTTTCGTTTGCTACTGCAACTATAAATGTTCAGAAATCACCAAACTACAATTATATGACAATTGTTGTATATTTAAAAAAAATAATGTTACAAAATTTAATTATCTTATTGATTGATATCTGCCTTAATATTATATTGTAAAAAAAAATTTAAAAGTAGTTTCGTGGTCCGCTTGACCAATTAATATCTTATAATTAATTAAGGTTTTCAGTCGAGAAAAAAAAGTCAATGGCACGAGCGGGATTCGAACCCACGATCTTCGGCTTGATACGCCGCTGTTATCGTGACCTCGATCCACTCGGACACCAACTTCCCATCTCAACTTCTCCTTTTGAATTTTCCCTCCATTTTGCTATTTTTCAAATGTCGTGTAATCAATTTGATTCTCGGCTTTGGTGATGATTGGTGTGTATAAGACCATTTTTTGCGTTTCCGAATTAAATGGGAGGACTATAGAAGTTGATACACCCTGTATACAACTAAATTCACTAATTTCGTGGTCCGCTTGAACAATTGAAAAATGGCAAAAAGGAGGGAAAATTCAAAAGTTGAGATGGGAAGTTGGTGTCCGAGTGGATCGAGGTCACGATAGCTAGGTAGAGCAGCGGCATATCAAGCCGAAGATCGTGGGTACGAATCCCGCTCGTGCCATTGACTTTTTTATCTCAACTAAAAGCCTTAATTAATTGTCCTGTATACAACAATAACATTACCTGAAATAAACATCTGTATATACTAAATTATTCCAGTTTGCTCCAGAAATTGAAATAGAGGCCCCAAAGATTTGCTGCTGTTCTCGAGCATATTTATTGCTCGCTCCCTATATGGAGCCAAGAAATGACATCCCATGAGGTCTTGAAAAAGGGGTTTAAAACTATCTTACTTCTACATATTAATGTAATAATATTCAGTATTTATTTGGAAATCGTGAGATGCGGTTTCAACATTTTCTTTATCGTGCCAACGTTTCGATCTTTATTGAGATCATCTTCATTTTTCTGAAACCTACATCACACCAGACCGCATCTCACGATTTCCAAATAAATATTGATTAACGGTCACTAATCACCACACATAATATTCAGTGTCAATTTTTATACATTTTAATAAAATTCATGGATGGTTAAAAAAAAAAATACCATTGCCACTGGTTATTATTACACAAGAAAACAAATTCTATTATATCTTTGCTAAGATATATTTAAATTTATCTAAATTCCTGTGGCCTATGACTATTTTTATTTGCCAATTTTCTCTTTTGTTAAAAAAGCAGCTCCTAAAAACACCCAACTGATAAATGTAACAAAATAATTATCAACTAGAAATTGCAATCGAAACAGTTAATTTGAAGAATTTAATTTAAGAAGAAAAATCTGCAACAAAGACATCTTTATTTTAATGAATCTGCAATCAATATGATATAGAAGTGATTAGTCACGCTTCTCGATAACATTGTTTTTTACAGTTACCGTTTCTAATCGTGGAGGGATAAAATTGACTATTTATTAATGTTTATATTGAAAGGTCGACAATACTCGGCAGGAAATCGTTTAATTGTACCAATAAATAATTATTATTTCAGTTGAGGATAGAAATTGCATTAACGCCGGTTTCTCAGGCCTGATCGTAAAATGAAGTCAGACGCATTTTCATTTGACGGTATTTATAATTCCTTTGACAGTCTCAACTCGGGGCAATAAAAGTTTAGAAAAGGAATTCCTTTCCGTGAAGTGTGACGGATTGGAGTTTATATTTTCCGCTGGAACGGCAGTCGTTAAAGTATCCAAGAGGCGAAAATGCTCACCGAAGATTTGGATTCATATGCATACAAATTGGAGCTGCGATGTTTGCAGTTTTTATATTACGATTCATCTATTTTTTTATTACATTTATTTGATAGTTATTGCATTAAGTAAATATTTTCATATATGATGAATTTGTCATTTGAGTGGCTCTTTCACACTGAAATCTCAATCTTCACTCATTGAGAAAGTCTCATGGGCCAGTTTAGCTACAATCGTCTAGGAAGATTTTTGAGTCTGGTGTACTAATAACTAGATTATTGTGGGTGTTCAGTGATTGACGAAAATGTACGATTCATAATGTAAAAAACAATTTGTTTGCTAAATAACGTAAACACGGAAGAAGGCAATAAATTAATGCACATATCTTTTTGGATCTAAAGTATGTTAAATTTACGTCAGGGATTTTAAGTTACGATTAACTTAAGTCATTCTTAACTAGCCTTTTTCAAACTTTCTTTTTTCCTTCTTGGTTTCCACATGACAAAGATATGTGTGGTGGTTAGTGACCGTTAATCGATTTTTTTTTTAAATTTTACGAGGGTTCGCAACAGCAGAGGTTATAACAACCCTCGGTGTGCCGGTGTTTTTGAAAAAAAGCCCATTTGTAAGTATGTCGGGTTCGAATGCAGGGCCGCTGGATTCGAACCCAGGACCTTTACCTTACAGTGATGAGCGCCGTGTCAACGCCTATACCGGCGGCCACCGACGCCCCTAACCGTTAATCGATAATTATTCAGAAATCGTGAGATGCGGTGTGATGTAGGTTTCAGAAAAACATTTTTTTTGTCGTGCGAACGTTTCGATCTCTATTGAGATCATCTTCCGGGCTCAAAGTATTTGTCTTTTGTGTAATTGTGCCATTTTTGCGTGTCGTGTTGAGAGTCAACAACAACTCAACACGACACGCACAATTACACAGAAGACTTTGAGCCCTGAAGATGATCTCAATAAAGATCGAAACGTTGGCACGATAAAGGAAATGTTTTTCTTTCTACATCACACTAGAACGCATCTCACGATTTCTGAATAATTAAATAGCAAAGATAGTTGTACATACAAGGTGTCCCAGAGAATGCGTGAAAAATTTTTTTTGGTGATAGTACACCCTATTTAAAAAAACTTCCAACATATAGTCCCTATATGTACATTATAGTATAATAATTTAATACCTTTTAATAACAAATTATTTTTAAAAAAAAGCGACAAAAAGTTCACATGGACCAAGGTTCGATTCTCATCCCTTTCGCAGATATTCAACATTTTATGTTTATTTTTATGTTATGAGCAGCGGCGTATCAAGCCGAAGATCGTGGGTTCGAATCCCGCTCGTGCCATTGTCTTTTTTATCTCAACTGAAAACCTTAATTAATTTAAGATTTTACGTTTTGTCAATTATAAAAAAAAACACTATATCTTGGTTTTGCATTTTGGTTCGATGTAATTAAAGAAAATGGTATACAGCTAGAAAGCTTAGCAAGCTCTACCAAGAAATTTTCCAACGAGAATGAACTTTTTTTTTTCAAATTGAACAGTTTTTGAAAGGTTTAGTGCTTTTTTTTTACCAAAAATTAAATTGAAAGTTCTAGAAGGGTGTCTAATTAAAGGAGATTTAGTGTTCTTTTCAATGATTTTTTTGGATAACCCTAAAAATTAATAAATCAGGAGCTAAAAGTAGATTTATGATGAAAACCGAAATAAAATATAAATAAATCCTTGATTGATCGATTAACGTTCTAAGTTAATTGTGTTACTTTAAGGTTGCATTGTTCCTCCTGTTCTGTTCTCACCCGTGAGTAATAAATTCATGGAGAAATTGTTTCGCTTGTTCAGGTTGAAACAATTGAATTGACAATTAAAATTATTGATCTGAAACGACCAAAGTGCAACTATTTGTGTCATAGATTCCAAAACATTTTCTCCTGCGGATGTAGCTTTGGAGTACATCATAAAAGGTTTCTTTTGTTTTTAAATTACTCTGTTGATCGACGACATTTTCTCCCGTGCCCATTGGGTGTGTAGTGCCCCGATAAACCACAAATAAGTTGACAACATTGGAATACATCCAAGAGATTTTGATCCTTTTTCACAGTTGTCGGACCTTGAAAAGTTGCACTTCACCAACGTCAGCCGTGGATTTATGGATAACGGTAAACAGCCAAAAAAAAGGAAAAGCCAAATCATCACTCCGCATACTTCAGCAAGAAATCCCTCAACCTAGACTAATGCTCAAATTCCTAATAGAATTTGTACTTTTACTCGGTGAGGATATAAAGCACATCATTCTACAACAGATCTGTAAGAGCGCCGTGGACCGGGTCCCAGGAAAAGACAAACCGATTGTACGGTAGCGTTTTTAAAGTCATTACAATCCAATTAATAATTAATTAATTTAACGGTTTAAGTGGGATTTAAAACAAACCAGCGTCTCAAAATTGTCTGTACTTAAAGATCGAACCCCGGTTTAGAGGTCGAGGGGTTGGGGGATGTCTAGACCTCCAGACTGATCGAAATGTGGGGCAGATTGAGGTAGGTTCACTTGTTGAATCCTCCAACCGAAGATCGGCCTGATTTATAAATTTGTTTACGTGGTTTTTATTATCAAATAAACCGCGGCTTGTATCGATGTATAATATGTCTTATTAATATAATAAT